GCCCCAGCCCCTCCATTATTCGTGGCACACACATCATACTCTGCCGAGGCCACACGAATCCGGCTCGGCTGCGACCAAGGCCCTCCAAAAATAAGAATACATAACCGTCGAGAGCGACTGGGTCAGCACTGGCAGCGTTTCCACAGGTCGGCTCATGAGCCTCGGAAGACGTGGGTGAGCCGCAATGATGGGCATCGGGTGCTATCCTTGTCAGTTTGATTGGCTGAGAAGATGGGACGAATTTAAAATTGGTCGACAGGGGAAAATTGGACGGACTGGTACCGAATGTGGTCCCGTGTCTGGCCCCAGGGTGGTTTGGGCCGATCGTCATGCCTGCTGTCCTGCAGCGGAATCCTTAGTCCCGGGGCCCTATATCTGATCTCTCCCTGATCATAATACCGGGTGTTCCAGATTTGGCTGGGCCTTCCAACAGCCAGCTACATGACGACCGTCAGAAGAGCATCATGAACGCCAGCACAGAGTATTGCCTCAGCAGTGACGGCTCTCGGAAAAATTCAGCACCAAAGAGTTGTTGTCGGCTGCGAATAGTTTGAATGATTGAGGATTATAGATCGTCTCCAATGCTCGGTTTCTATTTCCATCCGTCGTGTACCCAGAAGTGGTGCATCCGGAACGGGCCCCCCCGCCGTGGATGCTCGGCGACACCGCTTGTTGTGAGCGCCAACGTCCGGTCAGTGGTCACGGCGGTCACGGCGGCCACGACGGTCAATGATTCTTCACATTGATCGATTCGCGGGGCCGCAGAACAAACGCGCGCATATCAGACGCCGATGGACGTTGCATGTGTCAGTTACTGTTGCATTGAAAACGGCTGTCCCGAGATCCAGGGCCTCCTCGGCTTTTGCTGCGCTAGCACGCCAGAGGAGGCTGGCAGTCAAGCGTAGCAAGGAATTAGCGACAGGGACGGGTCCGTCATCGAGAGTCGAACAATAACACACGCCCAGACGGATCTGGAGAGAGGCCACTCTGACAGTTGACAGATGGGACAATCGTTGGAGTCTGGAGACATGACGCACATCCGACTTCACCAGCGTCTAGACTGGCCGGGTCGGGTCTTTGTTGCGTCCAAGTACGACCGACTGCTGAGGCCCTGCCGTAAGCTTCGCCAAACAGGATCAGGGTCAAAAGTAGACCGACCACAGCCCTGCCCTGAGCCATCCCAACCGATCAAGGGTCTCTGAACCACTCGGTGATTATCATCCCGCGCGCATTGGCAGTGGAGTGGTTACGAAGGCCTGTGACGGCCCCACCAACCTGACGAGCGCATCTGATTCTGATGAGTTGGCTGCATGTGGCCGGCCGCACTCGCAGCGTGGAGTTCTGACAGAGACATCAGACGAACCATTTGGGGCCCCTGTCACAGGCCGCAGATTCACCCGAGCCGCTGTGAAAGCTGGAGGGAACGGCAAATCACCACCGTACCAAGTACAAACCCCTGGTTCTTGGAGTTGTAGAATACTTGTACCTGTACATGTTTTCTCTCCTCGCATGCCTTGCCTGCGTACCCGTCCGACGCTTGCTGGGAGCATAGGATAACCGACCCTTCAGTTCTCGAGTCCCGACAGGCTGTCCGGCTGGCTGGCATTGGCGCCTTGCTCTATCATCCACGGCCATGCATACCCCTCTTTGAGTTCATCCCATAACATGGCAGCAACAAATGACGCGCCCCGTTGGATCAAGCCATCCCCTCATGATCGTTCTCAGGGTTACCGTATCGGATCAGATGGACCAATTTGCGGATTGCCAAAGGATCTTGTGTTGCCACGGATATACGAACAGTCGTGGGTCGCGCGGCTGCACGGCAGCCCGAACACATGTCGCCAATATCGTGAATCACGGACTGTTCCAACAAAGTCGTCTGCTGCAAGGCGGTCAATGCGACATGAGTAAGCCCTGGAGCCATCACATCAATATGCCCCCAACGACCTCACCGTGGCAATTGGGATGGCGACGGCATACGACTGATCCTGATCATTTCCTTTGGTGGTCGCTGGCCAATAAGTTACAACCAAGCCGAGGAGGAGCCACTTGGGCAGAGAACTAGACGGAACTTGGCAGAGATTTTTGTTGATCATGTTGGCAACCCTAAGCGACGAATCATACCGGGCGAATTGCCAAACAAGCTGTCATTCTGAGCAACTGCAAACCGAGGCATTGCCGCACCGTGAGAACGACCACAGTCTGGTGCGGTCAAGGTCGCGATAGCGCTTGTTTGGTCACTGATCCTACTTGTGAGGTTGGCTCGACGTATGCGGTCAACAGTTTTGATATTGCAGCATCATCAAGCGGTGATCCTCAACGTCATCACCTTAGTGTTTCTGCCATTGGTTCCGAGGCTGAAGCTCTTCAGAACGTTCATCCAACCTTCAAAGACTTTGACACGCCTCATTAGCCATGCGTGGTAGTCTCTCAAAGCCGTCATCGCGTTGATGCTAGTGTAAACAGGATAGCTCGAACAACCACACTACTCATTTACTACAGCCACATGGCGGCGGCACTTTACACAAAGACGCCTCCGAGATCTGCAGCTAGACGCCCGTCAGCTACTCGACAGCTCCCGAGGCTCCAAGGTCGTTGCTCTTAGCGTCCGAGCAAAGACGCAGTGGCAGATTGGGGTTGAACAGATCTAGACGGCGCGAAGGCACTAGGACGTCCGCCCTAGTGTCAAGACGTCAAAATTACAAGAATCAGCCAAACTCATGCTCGTTGAGCTCTGAGCCCGCTAGCCCGAGCGGGTGGAAAGAACTATTGAGCCTCCCGGTTTTAGTCGTCAAAGAGTAAGCCGCGGCCGTTCAACCTCATCACCAAACACGAGATAACCTACTTTGACTAGTACCTCGTGGGTGCGATTTGACTTCGGGCCCGGCACGACAACTCATTTCAAATGTTCCGCAGGTTCCGTGGTTTCGGAGGGAAAAAGGGGGAGATTTTCTTTTTGTCTCCGTCCGCACCGGCGCGAGGCTGCTCCCGGCCGTCCATCCCGCTCTCCGACTTTCAATAGTCTGTGACCTAGAAGAGCGAAGCATTCGTCGAGAGATTACTGGCGAACGCAGACTATCTCGAGAAAGGGCCCGTTCTGTTACTCACTCCCCGTGTAGAACTACTGTTATTTTCCCATTTGCACTCTCAGACAGGTACCGAAGGCTGAAGATGGACGCAAACTCCTTCGAAGACCTCCGGAATGCCATCACTAATCCGCACTGTCACCAAAGAAAATAGTGTGGGATAATTCTACGCCCGTCAGAATGTTGCACTGAGACCAAGAAGTCACGCCGCGATCTACCTACGCCCATGAGCAGCTTCTCCCGTCCATCTTCCTTTCCTTTCCTCCCGAACACCCGTCCAGCCACCTCCGACGGGAGACAGAGAGAGACGTCACACGAAAGGACAACGGGACCAAACCCAGGAGCAAGAGACAAGAAGGAAAAGTCTCCGTAGCACATGCCCCTTCCCTCTTCCGTGCTACACGAGGCTAACGGAAGTCACTCGCTTATCGAGTCCCAGTAGATTCTGGTTATGCCGTGGCACGGATACCACAGCGAGGGGACGTGTGCTGCAGTCCGATGTCATCCTACCATGCAGACGACGTTCGGATGAAAACGCTACCAACAAGAACAAGCACGATGAGTGATCCATAGCAGCTGAAGGCAGCTTCTGTGCTCGACATCTCCGCAGTCACGCCGGCGCTTCGACAATTCGAAGAGCAGCCTCCTTCTCTACGGGCCGATCTGCCTCCAGCACACCGGTCCCAAGACAGCTGGACTCGTCGGAGGCAGCCAACGCCTAAATCAGCATCATCTCTCCTCTCGTATGCTCAGACCAGGCGTTCGCCGCGTCGTCGGGAACGGGGCTCGCCCGCGGCCAAGGAGAAGAACGCAGCCGACATCTAGGGTTGCCAAAACTTCCGAGCTGGTAATCTGCGGGCACCCGTCGAGCTGGTCTTGAATGCAGGTAATCCGTGGGGCCACGCCCTCTTCCCGAGAAGGGAGCTTTCCATCTTGTTCTTGGCCGGGAAGAGGGCGTGTGCGCGAAGCCCGGGCTCCGTGTAGATGGAGAGAGAGGCATGGTAGTTAGATGATGTCGTACACGCATGCACAGTCGGATACCGCAGTTCCTGTCGACGCTCCTTGGAAAGCAGAGCCAGGGCAGGGACACGCGGGCCTATGTTGGCTCCCCAGAACGTTGCGTCTTATCAGGACGTCGAATACGCCCGTCTTTGAAGGCTCGAGCTGTTGAGTCGGCAGGACCTTCAACTTCCGGGCTTGATGTCTTGCACGGTACAAACATCGTGACACGGCATGAACCCGTCGAGAAATAGGCGAGCCAACCACTTATATCTGCAACACAACTCTTGGGTGCGCCCCGATGATGCAGGTTCTCATTCCCTACCCCCCTTTCCTCTGATCACATCCCTTCCCCCCGCCCAACTGGGACCGTTCCAATACCCTTTTCCCTAAACACCCAGCTTCAGTTGCATATGCGTGGGACATGGCTAAGGCTCTGTTGGACATCACGAATACTACGCCCACGTCTGCTTGGACAGGGACGTACACCGCAATAATGTCTCGAACCAGTATACAATTCACATCTGTGACTAAGAGTACATTGAGACGTGCATGAACATGTGCCGTCGGGCAAAGTGGTGTATTGTGCATCTTGGGTACAGGACGACTGCTTTCCCATACGTACACGCCCTCCCTCGATACCTCCCTCCCGTATCCAAGACAAGGAGCGATACTCGTGGTGATTCAAGCTGCAAAACCAAAAAGAATAAACGCCGATTGAAACCGAGACCTCGTCAGTTTTGCCGTGTCGTTGATATGTGCGTGCCGTTTCCGTCAGGCTGGAACGTCGCGAAGCGGCGAGGGGCCCCGGTTCCGATGATAAGTGGTGGTTCGTGATGATGACTCTGATGAGATGAGTGGTACAATCTGCTGCTGCGTGACCTGATGTCTGCAATGAATGTCGTGGCTGCCAATTTACAAACGGCTCTCGATAGGAGGGAACGGCTCGGCGCCGGGCCATTGGGAATCGGGCCAGACGAGCCGGATGGCCTCCCAGATGTGGCTGTTGAACAAAGGTCAGTTACACTGCGCTCATCGCAAGAAAGGGAACGGTTCCAGGGGCCAGGGGCGGGATGGTGGGTTGTGAGGGCGCGTGGGGTCGCACCGCGTCGGGAACACAGGCGGCACCGTGGGACGGGGGGAAGAGGGCATTTGGTAGAATGGGACGACCTCAGGAAGCGAGGGGGAACGAGTCGGTGTTGAACTTACCTGACGTGGAGGATCTCGAGACCGTCCTTGACCTCCTGCGGGAGATCTTTCACATCCTTACGATTTTGCGCGGGGAGTAGCACCGTCTTGACACCCGCTCGGAGGGCGCCGATGAGCTTCTCCTTGATGCCTCCGACGGCGGTAACACGGCCCCGCAAGGATATTTCACCCTGTATCACGAGGATGCCGTGTCAGTGTACAGTTTTCCAAAGGGGGGTAGGAGGCAGTTGGGTGAGATGAACTTACAGTCATTGCCATTGTCGGCGGGACGTTCTTTCCAGAGAACAGAGAGATGAGGGCGATGGCTTGCGCAATACCACTGCTGGGGCCGTCCTTGGGAATGGAACCAGAAGGGCAGTGAACATGAATGCTACGCTCCTTCATGATGTTGGTCGACGGCTCCGCCGTCAAGCCCAGTTCATAAGCATGGGCCTTGACCCAGGAGAGGGCAACCTCAACACTCTCCTTGAGCACATCACCCAGCTTGCCGGTAAGCTGCACGCTGCCGTTTCCAGGCATGTCGGCAACCTCGATGAATAGGATGCTACCGTTGCCGCCCGAGCTGTACGCCACCAGCCCGGTTACGATGCCGGGTCGGCTGGTCTTTTCGGCAATTTCCTCCTCGAACTTTTCACTTCCCAGAATCTCCTCAATGTCGTCGACCGTCAACTGCGGCCTGTATTGCTCGAGCTGTCCCCCGTCCTTGGCCTCGGCGAACTCGACGGCCTTGTGACGGCAGACGGAGCCAATTTCACGTTCCAGGTTGCGAACCCCTGATTCACGGGTGTATGACTCGATAATCTTGGACACGACGTCCTTGTCGAAGCTAACCTGGTCTTCCGAGAGACCGTTGACCCGGATCTGCTTGGGCACAAGGTGTTGCATTGCAATGTGACGTTTTTCAAGCGTCGTGTAGCCCGGCAGGTAGATGGTCTCCATTCGGTCTAAGAGTGGCGCCGGAATGGTGCTCAGATCGTTGGCGGTGGCGATGAACAGCACCTTGCTAAGGTCAATCGGCAGGCCGACGTAGTGATCCGTGAACGAGTTGTTCTGCTCGGGGTCGAGGACTTCGAGCATGGCCGCGGAGGGATCACCATGGAAGTTGGACATGCCCAACTTGTCAATCTCGTCCAACAGGAACACGGGGTTCGCCACTCCGACTTTCCTCAAGCCTTGCACGATCAGGCCGGGCATGGCTGCCACATACGTGCGTCGATGACCACGAATCTCGGCTTCATCCCTGACACCACCGAGCGAGATGCGGTGGAACTTCCTGCCCAATGCCGTGGCTACAGATCTGGCGAGACTAGTCTTGCCAACACCGGGAGGTCCAGCCAGCAGCATGATGGGCGACCGATCGACCATGCGCCTTGACCGGAGGACCTCGAGCTTGGTGTTGGCCAGCTCGGTTCGTTCTTTCTGCTCTGCCTCTGCCTTGTCCTCGTCCTTGGAATTGCCATCAGTCTCTTTGTCGGAGTCTGCCGGGACGGCCTCCTGCTCAGCCTTCTTGATCTGCTCTTCAACGTCATCATTGATGGACTGCTTCAATCTGAGAACCGCAAGGTACTCCACCAGGCGCTTCTTGACCTTGTCGAGGCCATAATGGTCGTCGTCGAGCTGCTTGCGAGCTCTCGCCAGGGTGTCGGGTCCCAGCCTGTCGTCTGTTGTCACGCTCCAGGGGATATCCGCCAGTACGTCGAGCCACGTGCGAGTAACCTGGTATTCTTGGTTTCCAGGCATCATCTTCTTCAGTCTCTTCAACTCTCTCTCGGCCATTTTTGCGGCCTCCGGAGGCAGTTGAGCCTTGTCCAGCTTCTTCTTGAGCTCCTCCAGCTCGTTGGGCTCTTGGTCCTCGTCCTGGTTGGGGCCCATGACACCGTTGGGGCCGGGCGGGAACATGGTGTTGGGTGGCATCGGCATGCCGTTGGGACCAATGCGTCGCGATGACTTGTCGTTGATCTTGTCCAAGAATTGTACCGGCACACTGGTAAATGTTGTGATCTTGAAGTTGTTCTTGATGCCCCCAACCTGACGATCCAGTAGCTCAATCACCTTGGCCAGGCGGACCTTGACATCCAAAGCCGCCAGGACCTCGAGCTTCTCCTCGTATGAGGCCTCGACTATGTTGGCCATGAAGTCGGCGAGGTTTCCGGCGTCCTTCAGCTCCTTCTTATTTATGAACATCTCGAGACGTCTGGTCAACAGCGGCGACAGACCGCCGGGGCTGTCTGGGCTTCTGGGGAGGAGGGCGGATATGCGGAGGATGGTAACGAGTTCGCGTGATCGTAGCTTGAGGAGGGAGAACAGCTCCTGCATCTGAGCGTCCGTTGAGACTGCACGGCAGACATTAGCCTGTGACGCAATCGGCGACATCGGGGGCATGTACTAACTAACCTTCATCATGGAAGTACTTAACCTTGGCCTCGAAGTGTGGCCTCTCCTGAGTGACCTTCTCTACACGAACTCTTGCGACGCCTTCAACGCGCAGGGCGAACTCGGCGGTACCTCTTCCCTCAATGCCGGTGATACGGGCAGCGACGCCATAGTTGAACAGGTCGGCCTTGCGGGCGGAGCCGGGATCGACGTCCTTGATGAGGCTCTCGTCCACCTCGACGGCATCTTGGATCAGAAGTTGGCCATTGGGGCCTACGAACGGGGAGGAGACGGGAACGCAGGCGATGGGTACGGAGTCGATGCGCTCGTTCGGGGCGGCGGAGGCGGCACGGGTGTAGACGTTGGCGAGGAGGGCGGGGATGTCGGGTCGGGCGGCGGTGACGGGGATGCGCTGTGTGACACCGGGCAGGAGGATTGTGCCGCGTGCGAGAGGAATGACGGGGAGGGTTTTGGTTTGGGATCGCGCCATGTGGGAGTCGAAAAGGGGGTTGATTCGGTTATCGCGTGATTGAAGTGGTGTTGTTTGTTCTGCGTGCACCTCGAAGTGGTGACGATGATGCGATGCACGGTAGTTATTGACTGTTGGGGATTGTGGTATAAACAAGCGGCAAAAAGATGTACGAATGCGTAGAATACAATGGAAACGCCGGGACTCTGTACGTGTGAAAAGAAGAGCGTGACGGTATCAATGTCGCAATAATGTCGGTGGGAAAGAAGGGGAGATTTTGGGTTCGAGGTTGCTGGGATGGTTGATGTCAGAAGCATCAGGTCGGCATGGGGAAGCCGGAGAGGAGACCTCGACCTTCCCGGCAGCGCTGCGGTGCTGTGGTGCTGTCGCCAGTCCAGCAGAGTGGACCATCCGCGTGCATCAGCGGGCCAGTCGCTGTCGAAGCTGGAAGCCGGGGTGCGGGAACCTCCACTGCGACAAGAGCCGAGGCTAAATCGTTGGTTCGGACCCTGGCTGCCAATGCCACTGCCACGACCGTCATCGAACACGGGGAGAATCTCGTGGAAGAATGCCAGAACCGTCTTTGCAGTACGCATTCTTGAAGATTTTCGACGCTATTCTCAAATGTGAGTTAGTTTCAGAATAAGCTACAGAATTCCTTGCCACCATTCTGCTGTTGCTGAGTCGCACATCGTTGCCCAATGTCATGAGGGAGACCTTGCAAATGTTGCTGTCATCGTGATTAGTCTCAAATGCTCGGATGAAGGCCGGGATTAATAATGATGGACGATATCGGCAATAACCCACGACCATAGCACGTTTTGTTGACCATTCCGTGTCTAGCGAAGAATATCAGATGTGGTTCGTCAAAAACGTATATCGTAAATCGTAATAAACACCAGAAAGTAATGAATGATGAAGAGCAAGATGAAGCTATGTAATACCTTGGTAATTGCCTGATAATGGAGCGTCGTCTGTTTTCCCAGGTATGAAATGTCCAGTCACTTTCTGGTTCAGCACACCTCGTTCGGTCTGGATTACTTCTTCCTACCTATCACATCATCTCCCGAGCCTGATTCGAGCAGCTTGGATCGCATCTTGCTTATGGCTTGCTTATGGCTGCAATCGACTAAGACACCCTCATCAATATCTACCACCCTCTGATACGAATATGAGATGTTGTCTGTAGAGATCACTTCAGATGGTTTTGGGCTTGAAAGGAAGGCCCTCTTCCTTGCTTCTCTCTCATCCCATGAATTGAGGACGAGTTGTAGATGATGTACATAGTTCGAGCGTTTTGCAAAAGAACTAGACTCCAGGATTGTGAGGAATTGCCGTCGCAGCCGTTATCTTTATTAGCGGCTTACAAAAGAACTGAGCATTCACGATTGACGTTAGAGTCAGCATTGAGCGAATGGTTTGGCGCTCATCATCTCAATAGAGGATGTCTTGGCTTGGCCCTGTGACGGCTGACTAGCGGCAGGCTGAAGTCGAACGAATCAGGATAAGAAGCCCATCACCACTCCTTCATGTTGTCATCCACAGACGATAAGACCTGTGAGATTTTGCATCTAGAGAACTGCATCTCGGGGGCTGAGATGTGAGTTGCAAAGGATCCTGTAGAGTCGAGCAGATCCAGCCCGCCATGGTTCCCCAAGGCTCTGGGCAGAGGCCATGCAGCATGCAGACTATATCATCCGCCACTATCCGACATCTAATGAACGTGGGCTCTGCACTCTTGAGGGTGTCTCTCAATTTCAGTAAGTCGCAGAAATGGCAGACTTCACCGCCGAAGACCTCAGGTCTCGCAACCCAACCTTCCAGACCGTCAATGACGCCTACATCTTGCCCAACGATAATGCGGAACGCAAGCGTCTCTTCGAGATGAACTGCGCCTTCACCGCACTGTTCAACAACAATCCCATCCGCGCACCGGTACAAGAGCCCGTCTCGACCATCATCGACATCGGCTGCGGCGGTGGGGCCATGACCCGAGATCTTCGCGCCCTCTTCCCACACGCCCGCGTCGTCTACGGCATCGACCTGACACCCGTGCCGCCTCTGCCCGGAGATGACTCCACCGCCGCCGGGCCACGCCTCGAGTTCATACAAGGGGACTTTTACAAGCTGGCGGGTACGGATCCGCGCTTGCGTCCGGGGAGCGTCGACTTCGCCTGGAGCCGGCTGCTGGTGTGCGGTCTCACGGACTGGCGGGGCTACGCGAAGCACGTCTTTGAGTTGCTGCGTCCCGGCGGGTGGGCGCAGATGAGCGAGTCCTGCGTGGACGCGTGGTTTGAACCCGGTATCAGTGCCAGACCCGAGGGCTTCCGAGCTAAAACGGAGTGGGAATGGCTCCGGGCCACGAGGAAGGGACTCTCGAAGAAGGGTCTTGACCCAGACGCAGGGCTGAATGTGCCCGGTTATATGCGTCAAGCCGGCTTCGTGGACATCCAACAGGTGCCTCTGAGGATACCGTACTGGAAGGGGGCTCTTGAAGAGCAGCCAGAGGCTAAGTTGCTGATGGACCTGTTGGTTGACGACCCGACGTCCCTGTTCTGGCACATGATAGCGAGGTCGACGGAGGACATGGGCTTCAGCAGAGAAAAAGTCGCCGAGCTCCAGCTGGACTGCCTGAGAGACTTCGGTGAGGAGGAAGGAAAGTATCGGGTCTTGTTTGTGACCATCGGGAGGAGGCCGAATCTTGACGAATATTAATCATAACGGAGGTGATTTTCGGCTCAATAATCCGTCGCATTAATGGAACAGCATCCGAAGACGAAGGGTACCTGTCGGAACCTCGATCCATGGATGTCATTGCCTTAAGCACAGACCATGTGTCTTCATTACATAATCGCCCCAACAACCTAGAGTGCCCAGTCAACGCGGGGCACCGCCAGTCAGCAGCGTGGCGTGCATCAATTAAACCCCCGTCGCGTAAAGACGCGTCTACCCAAAAGACCACCCTTCACATCTCTGCGTCACGACAAATTTCACCCCTCCCAACATACGTCAACCTCGAAACCACAACCGATACACACAATGTGTGAGCTTTCACCTCATTGTCTCTATATACACATCGAATAACTAACTTTGTCCAACTCAGCTGCATACGGAGGATACCAAAAAACATCATACGGAGCCCAGGGAGGCGACGAGGGAGGCGGCTTCGTCTACGGTGGGTCGCAACAGAACAGCCAAGGCGGTGGCAAGGTACGCATCCGAACCTCATTTGCACCTAGTTGTCTCCGGGAAGAACATATGGCTAAGACGAGTACAAACAGGCGTATAGCGAAGAATCCCTCCGGCCCGTGACGATCAAGCAAATCATCGACGCAGAGGAAGCCTACCCCGGTGCCGACTTCAAGATTGACGGAACCACAGTCACACAAGTACGTCTCCTACCTCTTCTCCACACAACGACATTCCGAGACAAGAATTCTTTTCTCTAACCCCGCGTCTCAAAAAGGTAACCTTCGTCGCCCAAATCCGCCAAGTCTCCCCGCAACCGACAAACATCACCCTCAAACTCGACGACGGCACCGGCCTGATCGAGGCCAAGAAGTGGGTCGACACGGACAAGAAGGACGACGACGCCGCCAACCTCGAGCCCGACGCCCACGTCCGCGTCTGGGGCCGCATCAAGTCCTTCAACGGCAAGCGCCACGTCGGCGCCCACTTCATCCGCCCCGTCCAGGACTTCAACGAGGTCAACTACCACCTCCTCGAGGCCACCTACGTCCACCTCTACTTCACAAAGGGCCCCCTGGGCGCCGACGGTGCCGGTGCCAACGGCGGTGCCGGCGGCGGCGATAGCATGTTCGTCGACGGCAACGACTCGTACGGCGGCGGTGCGGGTGCCGGCGGCGCCGGTGGTAACTCGGCCCACGCGGGCAAGTTGAGGGGGTGCACGGCCAACGCGCAGAAGATGTTCAACTTCATCAACAACGCCCCCGGCGGGAACGAGGGCGTGCACATCCAGCAGATCTCGGGCGGCGCGGGGATGAGCATGCGGGACGTCATGGGTGCGGCCGACGAGCTGCTCGGCCAGGGTCTGATTTACACCACCATCGACGACGAGACGTGGGCTATCCTCGACTACTGATCAGGCGCCTCTGGGACGGATGATTTGTCAGGTTGATCGAGAGAACCGAGAAAAAGACTATACGTCGGGACTGCGACAAGAGGCGGGTCGCGGAGGACTGATATCCTATCACAACAAAAAGTGGCGAGGCAACGGGACACCGGTGCTCCCGCGATACCCATCATTTTCAGCTGTATGAATGAAATGAGTGAATTGGTCGGTATTCTAATGAACGACTACAGCTAGTTGGTAGATACAAGGCGAACTGAAAAGAGACAGGAGAAAAGAGAAAAACATCTGCAAAATCATCACATCTTGGAACATCCTCTGCGATAGAGACAGTGAGTCAAGAAAGTTTGCACCGATGTTGTATCGGGCACGCCCCTCAGGGGAAGGTTGAACACTTCAGCGTAGGTCAGCATTAAAAGACGGAGGCGCAAGCCCGAAAGGGACTGAGAAAAAGAAGAACTTCCCCAACTTCCCATCATTCATCTACCTGTTTCATCACATCACTTCATCTCCAGGTCAGGGGAAAAGGTGACTGACTAACAAGCCTTCAACGGCACTGTGTCATCGCTTACGCCCGCACCACCTCCTTCATGGCGACGTTGACTTGCAGCTTGATGTTGCTCGACACAACGGCCGAGTACGTGCCCACGCCCGCGCCAGCCTTGCGCTGGACCGGCTCGCGGACCATGACGAACAGGCTGACGGGGGTGTTTCCACTGGTCAGCTGGATCTCACGTTTGTACTCGAAGCCGAACTTGCGGTAGTAGGCGTTGTTGGCGAGGGAGCTCGACTCGAGGTACACGGCGCGGTTTTCCGCATCGGCCTGTTTTACGACAATCAGAGTTGTTCAGAGTACTTCGTGGTTCGTGTTCGATGCTAGTAAGACGTACCCTCTCGATCATGTCGTTGAGCAGCTTCCGCGCGTACCCTTTTCCCCGGGCGCTGGGCTTGGTCCCCAGGTAGACGAGGTAGTAGCAGTCGTTGTCGCGGTCGCCCATGACCTCGTGCTTGGTGGTGTGCAAAAGGGGCATCAGCTCGTCGTAGTAGCGGCGTCTGCCCTCCGCGGTGAATTGGTAGTAGAGCCGCCACATACCACTGCGGAAGATGGTCAGCCAGCCGTCGTCCGTTCCGGGAGGCATCCTGTATATGTCCGATCTCATGTTAGCTCAGAGTTGCCACTAACGAAAACTTTTGTTCAACTCCAGTCATCTTTCTTCTCGACGATATCAGATGCCAGGTTCACAAACACGAAGGACCGAGTCGGTTACTCACCAGAGAGCAACACCATCGTGATCGGGGCCGATGGTGGTGACGAGGCCGTCGTAGCAGTGGGAGGCTGTGATGTAAGTCATGATGTCGACGTGCAGCTTCCACTTGTGCTCGGGGGAGTATCCGGCCATGTCGTGGGCGTCGAGGAGGTACTGGCTAAGATCATCAGCAGCAAAGGCATGGGCCAGCGAGAGGCCGGCCTCCTTGCACTCCGACATGCCAATGACACGCACGGTATCCTCCCACTTCGGGGGCACGAGAGAGCGTTTGAGCTCGACGAGGGTGACGCTTTTGCTTACGTGCTCCATGACGGGGTTTCCTTTTACGGAGAGCCTGTCTTGTTCACGAATCTGTTGGAACTGGGATCAGTATCTTCGACTCATGTGGGGTGACTGTGAGGTAAAGACTTACTTAAATTCTGTATACTGTCGCCCGTATGTACTCTCGAGAGTTGTGTTCTCGAGACGGGCATAAATCTGGATGGGTGACGCAGGCAATTGAGGCTTGTGCGAAGGTCAACCGACATCAATAATGATTTGACGGGTTAGATCCTTTGGATTGGTAGTTGAAGTTCGAGTTGTGGGTGGGATGGAGGTGCCCGTCAGCGAGGTGTCGAGGCCTTCACGATGTGCAATGTACGGGATGATGTGGGAGTAATGGTCGTAGGTTTCAAGGAAGCTTCAAGAGAATATGTGTGCGGTAGAGATGGAAGTGTATCTGAATGTCTTTTGAATAAGAGCAGTGATTTGTTTCGATTTGGAAGTTGAGCGAGTAGCAGTCTAGCAAAAAAGCACAGCTCGCGGCTGTGTTCTTGTTCAGAGATCTGCCCCCAGGAACTTGGGGCTTTCGAGAGCGGGAGAACTCTCGATACAACAGATAGGACTTTTAAATCCTGATCCTTGTCCAGGTGGAAAACCCAGGTACAAACTGTCGACGAGAGCCTATCCAAAGTGTGTGATGATGGTGAGAAGAAGAGAGGGGCGGAAGATTAGACCAGGGCAGGAGCGGAGAGGAAAGAGGATTATGTAGTTTGGGAATGTCACTAGACCAGACGGTTAGAGTAGGGATGGGACGAAGGGAGAGTGAGACATCGGCCTAGACGACTAGAGATATGGAGGGCAAAGGGACCTCGCGCGGGATGGAGGGGCTGCAGCTACCCATAGCTGGCATTGGGGGCGAAGGGACTTGGGCTGTGGCGGCCATGGACTGCGGGATGTTGAGAGAAGCTACCGAGCAGGGCGATCGTGCCGTGCCTTTGTTGTACATCTACCGCAGTACGACTGATGAGTATTGGAATGGTGGGGAGGCATGTTGCCTATCTGCTGTAGAACTCAGGCCGAACACGACGAGAACGTCTGATCGACTATCACCGTACCCATTCAGCTGCGGGGGAACGACGGCAGGCAGCTCTGCTCGCACCGACAATATGCGGGCAACTTTGCCTAGGTTTGCCTTTGGTATCCGTCTTGGCTTGGCTCACCACTAGCCAGAACCGTGCTGATGGGATTCGATAATCGTCCAGATATGCCGTAATAAGAGAGGCACGAGGACAGCTCCATATAAGCTTTAAGCGGCACTGGGCACAAGACAAGGCCGGGATGTCCTGGATTGTGCATCTGGGAGAAGGACGCTTGATGTGTCGGAATCGAGCATGTGTTGGTGTGCGGCATCAGCACTGGTGGTTACTGATAAAAGGCCGGCGCGGGCGGGTATGCAAGTCTAGGCCAACGGCGTTTTTCTCCATTCCAATGGGAGGACCGGTCTATCGGGCAAGTGGTTGAGAACGACGCACGATGTTGACTTTGTTTCTTGGTGACGGGAGGATGAAGTAGAGTGTGCGGGGAAAGGTTGGTAGTGGCCAGCCACCAAGGAGAGACATTACCTACCTATCTCTGGGTCAGGTTTCCCAGTGATTGCCAGCTGGATGTGATTCACATCCTTCACCTTGTTACTTCGTACACGTACATGAGAAGGAACATCCAATCGACGCGGGTGCACATGCCAACAACGGCATAGTTCGCTGTGAAACCTCATGCGGCCAAGGCGTTCCCACTCTTTGCCTATCAGCTCCGACGGTGGAGCCACGGCCCTCCCCGGCGGTGTCCGGGCGAGGCCGCACCGTGTGCCCCGCTCCGCTCTGAGCCGCCCATACCGTCGTGTCCAATGGAGCCCGGCCTCTCCTCAACAAAGTTACTGGTCCTCATACACACCTGCAGATGCTTGTCATCTGTGGAGGCTCTGTCAAGTGTTCTGTCCCGTCAGCTCGCCGAGGCGCGCCGAGCAGGTCGAGAGGAACGCTGCGATAAGGCTCGGATGCACCGCCGAAGTTTGTGATGTGACGATCCCAACTGGCGCACGTGGGGTGCATATGCCAAGCTGGCAGGCGAGGGATCGCCATGCCGTTGCTGCGTTGGACAAACACACTGTGTCTGTCGGTGTTTGTTTGGGAGATCGAATCTTGTCTCACTTGGACGCTCAGAAGAGTATCGGGGTGGCAAGCTGGCTAGGGCAACCAACACATGCGTTGTGTAAGCATTTGGACGCCCGGGACGACGGTTTCCGTCACCACCCACGCTCCTTCCCTCAGCACCTTTTCCCTGTTTCTTACAATGATGTGTAAGTCAAGTGCTAGTTCATGATTTTGGAGCAAGGGAGAACACAACCACTTACAAAATTCAGTTTGGTGTTTGTGCTCATTTGAAGCTATGTGATAATTGTATGCGTCGTCGGACTTTTCCTAGAAGCATTGTTAGTTAGGACAGTGACACGGATTTTCTTGGCACGACTGTGCAGTAAAGTCCAAGATCATTCCACGTTTCGGGTCGAATACTGGTGTAATGCCAATGAATAACAAGGACGATACTAGCACTACTGGGGAGCAGCAAGTATAATAGTAGAGGCAGCAAAGGCAATCATAGAGGTAGCAAGGAATAGTTAGTTGCACGGACAAAATCCGGGGGGATTCTAATGCGTAGGGACTTTAGTCAACAGCGCGGATTGCAAGCATCGCAAAATGGCGTTTGTATTACTTATACACTAGTATGGTCTCGTAGTGTTGCTCCTTTCCACGCAAAAGCAAAATGTTCATTGTCTGTGTCATGAACTCTCCCTGCTCAGCTGATTGCAAATAGCTTCCGTCGTGGGTTCCTGTGATTAGGGGCCTGTTGTGCTATTGTGTCCCGGTCCAAGCAAGACAACCCTCTTCAATCTCCTCAACTTTCACCCTCAACTCTCTCTGCCGCATCTCGTGACTTGGCGCTGAAGGTCATCAACTTATGCCACAAGCGGATAGCCACCCGACGAAGTGAAAGGATCGAATCGGCGCTGAAGACCAGCAATCTCCCGCAGGAGTGAGTTGTGGTTGTCTTGCAATCTATCGAATCGCGCTTTGAGGTCGTCGTAGTCTCGCTTCGGTACCATCACCTCTTGCTTGTTGAGCCCGTCCCCGTGTTGCTGCTGCGAGGCCCCAATCTCGTTGCCGGGCTCGGCCCTTAGCCTGTCAAGCTTTGGGTGGTGGTATCTGACGAGATTGAAGTGCTGAAGATATCCGGCAAAGGTGTCGTCATTCACATTCGGAGCTTGCTGGAGGTTGACCAGATAAGACGAGAAGCGGAAGACGTCCATGATGTATCGGTACTTCTTCCACTTGGCAGGCGGGCCCTGGTGATAGAGTGCGGTACACACCAGGACATCGTGAAAGTCCGGTTGGCGATTAAGCCTCAAAGAGCTTCGTACTGCTCTGATGGCGGCGTGTGAGGAGAGATAGCCGAGTTCATTGATTGTTTTGCTACGTCTCGTGTAGACTTTCTTCAGAGACTCGTGCTTCTTTGATGCCGATAGTATGATGTTGTTGGGATCTCTGTTGAACAGTTCGACGAGATAGTCGAGCGCGAGGGCCTGGTCATCCGTGATGGTGTCTGTCGAGACTCTGGGCCATTGCCAACAACCCGTCATACTCAGCTTGCAGTCTCTCATTGTAGGCACAGAGTTCTTCGGGACCTTTGACGCGGTGGAGGCGCCATAGAGGTCGATCGTAGCTTGAATTGCGTCGGTTGTAGGAAGTTCCTCTTCGGGTTGCTCTTCGGATTTGATGTAAGCAGTGAAATGTGGCTCATCTGAAGGTCCACCATTGCTGTTGTCCAGTCCGAACAAATCGAGGTCCCACGCCGCGCCTGAGCGCGAGTCGATTGTTGTAGATGTGCGGGGGAATCTTGGTCGCTTCGAGGGGTGCTCCTCGTCGGCGCGGGCCCTGTATCCCATCTCGGCCTCACCTTCACGTGAGGCCGTCAGATTCTGCATCTTGATAGCGAATAATGGCAAGTAAAACCCTTTGGATGATGGGTAGTGAGTGAGAGGGAAAGTGAAAGATGGAGATGGGTGGAGATAAGGTTGTTTAATATCGGCAGGCGCTGTCGGCCTTGTCTGGAAGGAGCAACCAAACCAGGTAGTCGGGGCAAGCAATCTTGTTGTGGGCATGAGAAGAGTTTGATGAAGAGAACAAAAGAAGGGAGAAAAAAACCCATCCTCTTGCTAGAAAATTTCGCCAGCGTCCGTTCGAGAGTGAAGGCTGACGATAGTCCGCTGACCGGAGGAAAACACAAAATACTTCACATACGAAGATCAACGCCTATTTTCCTTTTTTTGCAAGATGATGTCGAGACTCGAAGGATCTCGTTCGTCCACAGACTTGTTCTTTGAATCCCTCTCGTTTTCTTCATCTTATGCCCAACGCGGCCTCCGCAAAGCCAGCGTCCGTAGTTGTATTCATGTGTTATGAAAGGGTTGGATATCTAGGATTATCAAAACACAAAATCAGGAAAAAGAAGAGCCACCCTACGATGGCCTCGCGTCAACATGAACTCATCGTCCACAGCTTTTCAATCACACCATACACTCCTCCCACATCTCTCTTATTAGCGTCAACTTCTCCCCTCGCACCAAGTCTAAGACCCTTAGTAGGAAACACCTCCCTACATGCGACGAATCTCCTGCTCGTTGGTGTACTTCTCCAAACCGGAGTTAAGGTTCGACCACCACTCAAACAGCATGCTCTCGCAGATGAGCTTGAACCACGGCGTGAACTTGAGGTCGGGCTGCTTGAACAGATTCTTCAGCTCGTCGGCGCTGACGTACTGCGTGGCCTGGACCTCGTTCTTGTTGATGTTGAGGTCGACGTTGGCCTTGATGAAGAGGATGTAGTCAACTGTCAAAACGTCGTCAGCGCTCGTCTCAACTACCCTGTGTCCAACGCAGGCACATCCAACACAGCAACATAATACTCACTCTCGTGCTCTCCCCACTTCCCATCGCTGGGCGCCTTGTAGTGAATCCTCGTCAGGAAGTGGAAGTCCTCGAACGGGACCTGCTTGGGGTCGATGCCGAGCTCGTGCTCCAGCTTCCTCTGCGCGGCGCGCTTCACGCCGGCAACCGAGTCCTCCAGGTTCGAGCCCGTCTCGCCGGGGATGCCCAGCGGGTGCGAGCAGCACGTGTTGGTCCACATGTCGGGGAAGGTGATCTTCTCGGACGCGCGTTGCTGCAGGAGCAGGCGGTCCTCCGAGTCGAACAGGAAGACGGAGAAGGCGCGGTGCAGGAGGCCTTTGTCGATGTTGGTCATCAGGTGGCCTGGGCAGTGGAAAAGAGTCAGCAACTGTAGAACCGAGGGGAAGAAAGCAAGGGGGGTAGACTGACAGGCCTTCTTGCTGGCGTTGCCGATGGGCTTGTCGTTCTCGTCGAGGACGATGCACACCTCGTCCATCAGCCGAATCTGCTCGGCATCGTGGCCGGAGAGCGCCTCGGTGCTGGTGTCGATATCGGGGAAGAGGCGGAGGATCGACTCGGCCGTGATGGCCTCGGTGTTCGTGGTGGTGGTGGTCGACATGTTTGCGCGCGCCAGATAGATATCGTAGGTACAGATTTACCTGTTCTCTCTTTCTCCCACTCAATTGGAACGGAACGAAGTGAAAGCTCGCGCGGGGACCTCGCTGGGGTTATATGTTATCCGCGGTCGGAGCTTTTTTCCCCCACGTAATGTGCGAAAGTGCGAAGGGTTGTCTGGTCGAGTTTGACTCGAGAATGATCGGACAGTTTACTCTCTCTCATAAGCACAACAAAAAATGGCGGCGCAAGCGAAAAGGAGGGGTCGTTTGCATGGGCAGGCAAAAAGCTGACCACCCCTGTTCACCGTTGCTGAGGCGGTAAAATAATTGTGTTTGCTTGCACCCCTGTCAGCTCTAGGCCGTACCGTCATGCGGCCTGTGCCATTGGAGGAGGAGGGGCAGTGGGGGAAAGCAAAGGCTCGACCGCTTCGAATTCGATGTCATTTCCCCTGCAGCACCAAGACCAGCCCGGACACTTTATTTGCAGTTTATTCGGACACATACGATCCCACGACGTAACAGCTTTCCGTTTCTTGCTAACGACAACCATTTCGTTCAAGTAATACTCTCTCTGTTCCATGGTTTAGCTACAACCCCCAGCACAGGAAACAGTACTCAACCACGCGCCGGAACTCAGGAACGAAGTCAAATGTCTCCGCTCCGATTGGATCCGAACCCAGCACCCGAAGACCGGGAACATGCCGTTTCGGGCATTCCATTTCCCTCCTTCGCACCGGCCAAGCCCTTTAGGAACCCGAACCTAACGCTCGCTGAACCACGGACGTCCGTCATCACCTGAGCGCGCCAATGGCACCAACAGTCACAGACCGCACTTACAAGCTGATAAGGATTTCTGAGGTGAGAAGAACAGACTCTCCAAAACGGACAACGGCCAAGCCAAGTTCTTTCCCCTTCGTGTTCGATTACTTCCACTCAAGTGCAAAATACTGCTATTCTCATTATGCTTGCTTGCTTGCTGTGCTATACGTAAATCAAATGATGTCCCATCATTATATGGTGCTTCCGACGCTACAAAGATGCAACACATCATTATCGTCATCAGGCATTATTAGTAAAGCGAATCCACCGCTTTTCCCAAGCCCACATGGGTCGTACATGTTCCATGCATATGACCCCAAACCTTTTAAAGTGTCCGACCGTAAAAACGCTGCACAGTCTTGTAGTATATGTTTAACCCTCCGATTCCCACCGGCTGACTGTTGATGAGCTACCGCCATCTGCCTCCTTCAGCTGAGGAATGTGCTCGTTTCACTGGGAGCTGTTCCTCGACTCCGCTTCCCTCGCCGCCTTGTGCCAGTCGAAGAGCACGACGAACGCATACTCAATGACCGAGACCCTGTGCACCACTCAGTCAGTAAAACAGTTTTCGACATCTCATCGTCGAGCAATCTTGGAGTCTCATTCGCGTGATCACTTACAGCGCGAGTCCAATCGTGACACCAGTCCACAGCCCCTTGAGCTTCCAGTCCAGCGCGAAGCCGGTCGAGAACGACACCGGCAGCGCAATCAGGTAGTACACCACCAGGTTGGTGTACCCTCCGATCGCGGGCCGTCCGATACCCCGCAGGAGCCCGTGGGCGCCCGCGGTGAGGCCGTCAAAGACCTGCATCAGCGCGCACAGCGGCAGCACGTCCGCGACGATGGCAATCACTTCGTCGTCGTTGGTGAAGAGCCGCGGGAGGTGGAAGCGGAGGCCGCCGAACAAGACCAGGTTGAACAATCCTACAATCAGAGCCGCAGCGAATGCCTGTCACACACAAACGTTAGACTACCCGGCCCGGAGACAAAAGGGAGAGAGAGACATGGGACGGTGCGGAGCTAGCGAAAACTTACCACTCTGCCGGTAGTCTTTGCCGCATCCACCAACCCTGCACCGATGAGGTTTGCGATTCGCGTGGACGCCGCGATGCTGACAGGGAACGGGATCTGGTAGGTGATGGCCGTCATCGTGAGCACGATGCTCTGCGCCGCCAGGTACTCGGCGCCGAAGTGGCTCGAGAACAGCGTCAGCACCTCGAAGGCCATGTACTCGGCCTCGATCATGATCATACCCGGCAGCGCCAGGCGCAGCATGGGTCCCCAGTTCGACAGCGCGCGGCTGCTGAAGCCGCCCCAGCACTGGTGGCCGTCGACGAAGCGCACGTAGAGGAACAGGAGCAGCGGGAGCAGGTTCTGGGTGAAGACGACGGCGATGGGCGCGCCGATGAAGCCCCATCCCAGGTGCCACACGAGGAACCAGTTGACAAAGATGTTGATGGGCGCCGCGATCAGGAGGACCCAGGTGGTGGCCTGAAACAGGCCCTGCGCCTGCACAAACCGCTTCCCGCCCTCGAAGCAGACGAAGGCCGGGCCTCCCAGGATCAGCACGCGAAGGTACAATCCCGCGAGGCGCGCGGACTCCTGCTCCGGGATGATGGCGCCCAGGACCGCGTCTCCGAAGAACCACAGCACGGCCAGCGGGAGGAAGCACATGAGGAGGAAGTACGTCATGCGCTGCAGCTGCAAGCCGACCAAGTGGCGGTGGCCGGAGCCGTAGGCCTGGGAGCACAGAGTGTCGAGGCTGGTTGCGAGGCCCTGGAAGGGCGCGTAGCAGGTGATGGTGGCGGTCATGGTGGCCAGGCTCACGGCGCCGAGCTCCATCTTGCCGATGCGGCCGACGGCGAAGATGGAGACGACGTTGATGGAGTACTGCAGCATGAAGGTGACGACGAGGGGGGCGGCGTACTGGACGATGGTCTTGGCCTCGCGCTGCCACGTCGTGCGGAGGTGGCCGGTCGCCACGGCGGCTTCCCATTGCTCGTTGAGGTGCTCCTGGCCGTCTCCCGGTGCTGCAGGCGCGGCGCCGGAGAGCAGGGGCGTGGACTCGGTCGGGCGACGGACGACGATCTGCGGAGCCTCCTCGTCGTGAGGCTCGAGCGGGACCTTTGTGCTGAAGAGGCGGCGGTATGCCCTGCGGTAGAAAGACTCGTGATCCGTTCGGGGGTGTTTTGGTGGGAGGACGTGGTTGTCGCGGAGGAGACTCCGCTCTGCATCGCGAGACTGCTTCTTCTCGACTCTGGTCAGGTATGGCGGCTCTTCCAAGTCGACAGTCTGCGGGTTCATGACCGGGCGCGAGGTGCCAAATGCTACACCGCTTGGTCGGCGGTAAAACAGAGGCCCTTCGTCACCGTCATATTCTGACACGGAGCCGACGGCATCGTCGTTGTCGTCTGCGTGTTCTTCGTCTGAGCACTCTGCCAGGTCTCTGGCCAGGAGTTCTTGTGCGGTTGGTGTCCCCGAGCGAAAAGAGGAACTGAGTTGCGACACGAAGTCGCGGCTCGAAGAAGCCTTGATCGGGATGGAGCGGTCGTCGCCCATGGTGTTGGTATCGTGGTGTTGGTGGTGAAGTTGAGAGTTCCGCCACCGTCTCGCGGTTGCTTGGTGAATGCCCTCCTTTCAATGTCCTATTTTGAGATCGACCGGATGGCGCAATTCGACGTAAGACCCCAATTGAGTCTGATCTGGATCGGCAATCCGGATTTCGGGTCTCAAGTGAGACGGCGATGTAGTAAACACCAGATGACGAGGTGTGCCGAGACCGGTGTGCTCACTGCTTCTCCAAAAAAAGGGCCGGTTGCGCTCCCCCAAATACTTTATGCGCCGGACAGAGACAACGTCGCAGCCGTCTCAACGACCCGTGGGCGTGGGGTCTTGTCGTATGATTAGTTTCTTTTCTCCCCAGCCCGGTTGTCGAACGGAGAGGTGTTGTTGTTACCAAAAGCAACGATAGGAGAAAACTCGGAGAGAGAGACAGAAGGGGGAGGCGCAGAAGAGACCTGAGAGAGATAGGAAAGTTCATACGCGGTCAGTCGGCCATGTCCCCCGAGGCAAAAGCTGGGGAATAAGACCATCTTTAAGACGCGCCCGCGCCGCAATAAACAGATCGTGCGGGAAAGGCACCTCTCTTCCAAGGGCCCCCCCCTCGTCCTTCGGGAGGAGCAAGGTCATCCTGTCTTCGCCCGCAGCTGTTGTAAAAATGCGGCTAGACCACCGCTGCTGGTGCCTTTTGCCTTACCCACCCGGTTCAATTGCGTTACCCACACCATCTCCAAGCAAGCCGCTATTCGCCGTGGCCGAGGGCGATTTGACGGGCGGAAAACTGCTGGAAAACTTGTAAGTTACAGGGCGCGCAGGTGCACCGGCGATCCGCCAATCCATCTGACTCATCGGCCAATGACACCGCCGGAAAAGGTCTCAGAAATGCTGCATTGAGGAATACGTCTTTTGCCAAGTTTGTCACCACCATGAATCAGCCATATCCCATCCTCGAAGCTCAGCTCTGCATTTTCCATAACGAATATCCATCACAACCGACTCACCAACATCATCCACCAGCCAAACACCCTAAGCAACCCCCGGAGATAACAATCAGGCTAGAGGACACGAGTATCGACAAGGACCCTGGAGTCAACACCGCCAAAGGCCCGACGAGCCATCGCTTTCATCGCGTATTCGACTCCCGACCCACTCCAAATCACCATCCGGTGCCACAATTCGTCCCTCCCCGCCACGCGCCCGATGCCTGTCATTGCCCACATCAGGCTGGTTCGACCCTCCCAGCACCAACACTAACGGAGAGGGAGGGGATGATGGATGATGGGGCCCTGTTGCAACCCGCAAATCGGCGCCGCACGCCGTGTCAGCGCTAGCGCATCGTCAAGACCGCCAGGGTGCAGATACAATGCAGATGTGAACCCCATGCCTATCTATCCCGTCCGTCTTCCCCGTCTCCCCCGTATCGCTACAGGCAACATCCCACCACCAACCAGAGTGACGTGTATTACGTACAAGGAAGACGTCCAAGACGACACTCCATCTCGGCTTCCATCGCGATGCCGCCTCGTGGGTCAAAAGTCCGTCCTCGTGAGCCGCGAAACTTGTCTGCTCATCATCATCGACTTCCTTCGGCAGATGATGCCGATTGCACAGAACCTGAAGCCGCCAAAGTTGCTTCACGCGGCATGGCGGCGTCTGTAAACGACTTCTTTACCACGTACTGTCACAGCTCCTGTAAGTGTTTAGATCTGACAAACGCCATTTCATTGCAAACCGATCCGTCTATTCGCGGGATCCCATCTGTCTGGTGCCCTTCCGCATGCCACTTGCAGATGTAGAATTACTATACAGTGTATCGTGTCCCAGCTCCGAGCCTGAACTTACGACCCCAAGACCCCAAAATCACTCATAACGCTCTATTTGTCCTCCTCCCAATCGGGGTTCTGTCCAACGTTAGTATCACGATCAAAGGTCAGGCTATGCGACTTGACTCACCTTCTTGAGAATAACCAGTCCCTCTAGTGTGCTGTTCAAGCTGATGTACTGCTCGTCTTCCAGCTCAGCACGCTCGCCGTAGGCCAGGACGACCGGCGTGCTTTGTGTTTGCCAGCCGGTAATAGTCTTGGGCCGACCCGCCTGGCCGACAACGTCCACTGCCTGACCAACGCGCACGTTGACCTTGAGGGGCTTGAGGTCCTCGTCCAAAGTGACCAGGAAGCGGGGGTGCATCGCCGTCACCAGGAAGTAAAGCAGGTAGTGAGAGTTCGATGTGATGAACTGCTTGGCGTCGATCATGGCGACCAACACTGAGAGCAAGCCTGCCGCCGACACGCGCGAGAGGACGTTGCGGTCCGTGTGGAAGGGGTTGACAGTCATGGTTCCCTTGCCCATGTGCAGCAGACCCTGTGCGATGCGCACCATGAACAGAGACTCCTGGTCGCGGTGGTAGAAGCTGGCCAGTTGACGGAGCAGCTGAGCCAGTCTGGCGTTGTTGGTACCGGCACCCAACAGACCCATGGCGAAGATGGCGTTGATCGCGACGTCGTTGTCGTTGTCGTGACTGTATCTTGAGAGCGTGTCGTAGACCTTCATCTGGGGGTTACTGGGGCTGATGAGACCCATGGCCAGGGGAACTGCCCTCCTGATGTTGGGCTCGCCGTAGTGCATGAGATGACCGAACTGGCGCAAGACCATCTCCTGGCCAACGTCTTCGCCCATGGCCACCAGAGCGATACCGAGAACAGCATAAGACTGAAGAAGCTCATCGCCCTTCTTCTCATCTGAATCCTCAATGTGCTCGTTGCAGATGTGCAGGAGCTCCTGGATCTTCAAGACGGCACCAGTACCCGCCCAAGCGCAGATCTCGGCCAACACTGCGGTGGGCTTCGCCATCGGGTGGTCGACGGCCTTGAGAGTCTCAAGAATAACGTCAACCTCCTCTTGGCGGCCGAAGAAGAGCAGACCAAGACCGAGAGCAAGGAAGCGAGTCCACTTGTCGGTGAGCTGGTTCTTGCGCTCGTCATCGAGCAGAGTTGTGACGATCGCCTCGCTGACTTCGGGGCTGGAGGAGCCGGTAAAGATCAGACCACACGACAACGCAGCCATGGCGGAAATCTGCATGTCCTGGGAAGAGTCGGTAATGATGGGAAGGAGAAGCTCCAGAAGAGTCTCGTTGTTGGAGCCTGCGTAGGAGAGACCGAGACCCATGATACTGGCAGTTCGGACAAGCGGGTTCTTATGGTGGAGCTTGTCCTCATCACCCAGCAGGGCCAGGGCAGGTTCCGAGTCGACATGAGCACCGGAGTTCATGATGCCAATAGCAAGCATCGAACCGGCCAAGATCTCAGGTTCCGCCGCGTAAGTGTACTTGTCAATCTTATCCAGTCCAGCCTCCACATCCCACAGCAGCAGGGTACCCAGCGACGCCACGGTTGACATCATGCCGTCACCCTTGGTCTTCCACACCCAGCTCTCCTTGTCGTGCTCAACGAGCATCATCTTGTCGTTACCAAAGCCAGCGTTGACGAAGGCGTTCACAAAGGCAGCGGCAAGGTTGTGACGCGCAGAGTCCAAGTTGGTCATGCCCGCCACACGGCTGCTCTCGAGGTGGCTCTTGTAGATGTCCTCTGTTGTCTTGGGGTCAAGGATGTTGAGCTCCTTGCCCAGCGACTTGAAGTGGTCCGACAACTTAAGATTGGACAGGCACTCCACAATGGCGTTGTCGCCGTCATCGGTCTGTACGTCCATAGCGATTCGTTGGCGTGCAATCAAGAAGGCAAGCTGCTTCTTGAGGGCAGGGTCGCCCGCCTTCTCGAAGTCGTCCTTGATCAGGTCAACGTCATTCAACCGGATGGCCAGCGTCATTGCCAAGGTGTACTCCTTGTACTTCAGGTAGATGTCGTGGGCGGTCTTGAGGAAGAGTTCGTTGTCGGGGTACGTCAGGAGGTTGACCATGCTGACCATGTACAGGCAGACGCGGCCGTAGGTGTCCTTGTCGAGGTAGTTGGGGATCTGGTCGATGATCTCGAGTTCGCTCATCAGGTCCACGGCATCGGCCTCCGCGTTGCTCTGTAGGAACAAGGGAATGAGGATGAGGGCCAAGTCCACCAAGTCCTTCGTGGGCTCGTCGGCGTTTATCCTCTTGCCGTAGACCTCGCCAATCTCCAACGCCAAATGCCGGGTGTATTCGTGACCCCACGAGCCAATGTCGGATGACGGTGCGAGCAGGCGGTACTTGAGGGTGTCCTGTCGGTCCTCATCCGAATACGTCATACCAATTACCGACAAAACATCTGCGAGAGAAACCTTGTTGTCGCCCTCTGGCCAGTCCTCGTACAGTTTTGTCATCGTCTCGTAGTGTGGTCTAAGGAACTTGAGGGGCTTCGGCACGGCCGTCATCGACGAGGTCGACGTCTTGATGAAGTTCTTCATGGCCTCCAGGGCCGGCTTGTAGAGGGAAGCATCGGATTCCTAGATCCGGTTGTCAGCCCGAGACCTCCGATATCAAAAGTTAGCAATGTGAAGCATACCGTCAGGCGCTCAACGAGCATATCCAGCTCGTTCTTGAGCTGCTGGTCCTCTTCGCTGAGCTCTTCTGCGGCTGCAAACGGTTAGCCACCTTGATATCCCACCATGTCTCCTCAGGCTGCTCACAATCGACAATCTTCTCATCCTCCTTCTTGCCGTTCGGCTGAGCCTTGTCCTTCTTGTTGTCCTCCACGGCCTTGCCCTTGCCCTTGTCGGCGGCGGTGGGCTTCTCGCTGTCCTGCGCCATCTTGACGTAGTGATGTGGACTCTGGGCGGGCGGGGTGCGTCCTCGGGATGTCGGTCAAGAAAATGCGCGGATACCGATGTTCTGGTCGAGAGAGACGAACGTCGTCGATGATTGAGTTCGGAAGAGAATGGGGTGGCGGATGGTTCGAATCGAGAGGGATAGAAGGTGGGAGAGCTGTGTAAAGCTAAGCAACAAGTCGAGCTCCCCGGTTACGCGAGCCTTGCCTGCCTGCCAAATGCAAACGGCGCACAGACCTGGAAGTGACTAGCCGCAAGAGCCACACGTGACCTCGGAGCTGAGAAAAAGGTTCCCCCGATCGCCTTATCGATAACGATTACGAACCATCCCACCACGACCTTGATGGAAATTTCTTGGTGGGGGTGGGCTTTTTTCGGGCGCAAACTAGATTTGAGGTTTCGTTTTGGTGCGATCACGTCCCTCGAGATAGAAACAGCTTGCCAAACCTCGAGTATATCAATCGCAATCTCGTGAATATGCATTTGGATACCAAAGCGCTGCGCCATCTGGCGTCCGAGGATTGGAAAGTCCTCGCAGCTGTGCGCTCCTTACCCCTCCATTGCCCCTCGCAGCCCACTTACAAGTACCCCAGGTTGAGCAAGGCAGCAAAAACCACGAGTTGGTGCCGACACCGCTGATCGAGAGGCTGTCACGGCTTCGTGGAGGAGCAAACGGTGTGCACAGATGCATCTCCAACCTCGCCAAGGTGGGCCTCATCGCCAAGGTCAAGGAGGCCAAGTACGATGGCTACCGCCTCTCCTACGGTGGTCTCGACTACCTCGCCATGCACACGTACTCGACGCGCAAGGAGGTCTACAGTGTAGGGAGCAGAGTCGGTGTCGGAAAGGAGAGCGATATCGTCATGGTTGCCGACGACAACGGCAAGCAACTCATCCTCAAGATTCACAGGCTGGGGCGCATTTCCTTCAGGACAGTCAAGTCCAACCGTGACTACCTCAAGAAGAATCAGTCGGGATCGTGGATGTACCTCTCGCGGTTAGCAGCCATGAAGGAGTTTGCCTTCATGAAGGCGCTCAAGGAAGAGGGGTTTCCCGTGCCCGAACCGATCGCCCAGAACCGCCACACCATCGTCATGTCCTTTATCGACTCCTTTCCCCTTCGCCAGATCTCCGAGGTGCCTGATCCGGCCACGCTGTACGCCGAACTGATCGAGTTGATTCTCCGTTTGGCTAAGCACGGGCTCATCCACGGTGACTTTAACGAGTTCAACATCCTGATCAAGGAAGAAGTAACCACCACAACGACGGAGGAGGGGGAGGTGGAGTCCATCAAGCTCATTCCCATCGTCATTGACTTCCCGCAAATGGTGTCTATGGACCATACAAATGCCGAGATGTATTTCGACCGCGACGTCAACTGCGTCAAGCGCTTTTTCGACAAGAGATTCCACTTCACCAGTACGACTCCGGGGCCATTCTTCAAGGATGCGAAAAAGACTGTCGGAAAAGGCGGTGCAACAAGACTGGACGCCACGGTAGAGGCCTCTGGTTTCACCAAGAAGATGGCCAAGGATCTGGAGAAGGCTATCCTTGAACAGGCCTCGTCGAAGGACGAGGACGGAGAGGCTGGTGACGACGATGACGATGAGTATGACGAGGAAGAGGAAGAGGAAGAAGAAGATGAGGACGACGCGAATGCTGAAGGCAATGATGGCAGTACACCATTGTCCAGCGGTGACGCGAAGACCGGGGAGGAAGGCAAAGAGATAGATACCCAGAAGTTTTCAAAGTTGTCGGTAACGTAGCCATGGCCTCAACAGCAAAATAACAAGACTATTCGGAATCCATGCCTTCTTTCGACAACAATGCAGAACCCTCTGTCTGTCGACAACGACAAAAGTGAATCCATACATCAGCAGACTACGATCACTGGCATGCGGAAGCGGACAGAGAGATTCATGATACGGCAAAGGACAAAGCTCCGTCCCGATTTGAATTGCCTCCAAAAAACTAACGTACAAGAAGAATTAGAGCTGCGCCCAACCGGGCAGAATGCGCAAGAGTATCAGCTACCTCAGAGCATAACATGTTCCCTGATCAAAAACCGATACTGCCATGTGTTGCGGCGCTGAATACCCGAAGACTGCGGCAAAACGACGAATGATGTACCCCGAAAATGCAAATGCTCCTCATGACAATTCTCTCACTTTTGCTCCTTCTTCTCCTTGTTCTCCTTGACATCCTTGATGTCCTTGGCGTCCTTGGTGTCCTTGATCTCTTTGATCTCCCTCTTCTCTCTCTTCGCCGTCGGAGAGGATTGGGTGCTGACAATGACCGGCGTGGTCACCTCGGGATGGATCGTCACACCCTCATCGCTGTCGTCGTCCGTGATCGAAGCGACGGGGACCTCAGCGGTCGATCTGCAGAAGCAAGTTAGTCAAGAAGAATGCTCCAATGGCGAGGGTGGTCACGGTACTGGGTTTTTCCCTGAACAGTGCTGCCCGCCTGGTAGCCCTCAGACTTGACCCCCTTGCCCATTCGATCAAAACCGCCGCCCATGGAGCGAGGCGCGTAGACGCTGCTCAAGGTCAGCCATGATGCTTCATGTTTGGGGCAGACGGTAGGGACTCACGTGTTGGCGGTGGCATGCAGAGCACGCTTCCAGGCCGGCTGGTTGTACATGTTGGGCTGAATGCCAACAAGAGGTGTACCGTAGGCTCCAATGTTGTACTCATTGGTACGGAACTGGCGGCGCTCGGCAGTGACACGCTTGAGCTCCTTCTGGCCAGGAGTGTCGGCGTAGCGAATGTTCATGACCATGCCCTCTTCGCCAATGGGGATTCCGTTGAACTGTTTGATGACAGCGTCGCAGACGTCTCTAGACTCAAAGCTGTCGAAAATGTCAGCGTTGTGATGCGCAGATGTGAGAAGAGGAATCATACCGAGCAAAGCCAACCCCACGGCTGTTGCCCATGCTGTCCCGGAGGATCTTGGAGGACATGATGTGGTAACCCCTGAAGATGTCGCCGAGGTCCTGCAAGGGTTAGTCGCCGACGCCAGAGAAAGACAGCGAAGCGTGTACTCACGTTCTCGGTGAGACTCTTAGGGAGGTTCGAAATGTACAGGTTGGTGGAACCCTCATCACCCTCGGCCTTGAGACGAGAGTTGAAAGACTCCTGTGCAGATGATTAGTCGATGCTCCAATGGAAAAGCAGAAAAAGACTTACACGAGCGAATCCGACCTCATATCCCAAGCGGTGGAAGCCCCGGATGCACATCTCAGAGTCCCGAACGTCGAAGAACTTGGCAAAGCCGAAGCCCTTGCAGGCACCCGTGGAGGTGTCGATGATGGCCTTTGAGGTCTCGACCTCACCGAAGCGGGAGGCAAAGCGGTACAAGAGCTCGTCATCGGTGGTGGGATGGAGGCCACGAATGTAGACGTTGCGGTTACCAGGGATGCGGTTCTCCAAGCTCTGGTCCAGGGTCTTCATCTGAGCAGCAGGGGTGAAGACGGCGGGGACGGCCTTGGGGATGGGAGGCTCCTGCTTCAAGAGCTCCTCCAGGTTACGGTCAACAGGAATGTTGATGACGCCGTGCTTGGCAGCAGGTTCAATGAACATGTTGGAACCGACAATCTGCTGGGGAGATGGGGTCGTGTAAGTCGAGCGGTCGAGGGCAGCAACACGAGGGCCCCGGTCGTTCTTGGAACCACCATTGTAGAAAGGGGTCGTGGGAGCCGACTCCGTGGTGCTGTAGGAACCGCCACTGTGACGACGGTTCTCGAGACCTGGAACAATGTCGCTGTGGTTGCGGTTGGTCCGGTCCTGGAGCACTGCGTTGCCGCTGACAGCACGACCGGGAGTGAATGGCATCATGCCGTAGGGGACGTAGGGATTGAACTGGCCAGGAGCAGCCAGATAGCCGCCAGTCGCCGGGCCATAAGGACCCTGGGAGAGCTGGTCCATACCCATGGCAGCACCAGGCAGGTGGGGAGCGAGGATGTAATCCTGAGGAACCATGTATGTATGGGCGCTCATCTGACCCATGCCGGTGCCGTTGTGACCCATGCCGCCGATAGACATACCCGAGAAGGAGTTCATGGCGTTGGTCAAGCCCTCAACGTTGGACACCATGCCGGGAATGTGATTCTCGGTGTACTGGGGCCCATGAGCGCCGGGAAGGGGCTGGCTGCCGGGTCCAGCGAAGGCGACAGAGTGCTTGGAGTCCATGGTGTGAGCCTGATAAGACATAGTCATGTCCGAAGTCTGGACGACAGAATGGTTAGTATGCATAGAGTTTTGTGGGAATGGTTCACTGGGAAGGAAATTGGAACGCCCGGTAACCTTGGAAGGTACCCGTCTCCGAAGATATCAAGGTGGAAGATTTGCTGATGGGTAATGACTTACTTCGAACGATGCCAGAGGTTACCAAGAAGGCGAGGAAAGAGATTGAACTGGAGAAACCTGTGTCGAGCGTTTGATTAGTACATGGAGAAAAGAAACGAAGTGCTCGATGACGTGGTGCAATTGATTCGAGAGGGACTGCTGCTGTCGTGGCCCAAGATGGCTGCGAGGGATTATATCGGGACAGCCATCTAGAAGACCGAGGCCACGAAGCAACGCAAATGACACAATTGTCGGTGAGGCTCGAGGGGATTCCAGGATGAAGGTCGTCGTTGTCGTGGTCACTCACCTTGGTAGTTTTGAAGATGAATCAAGGCCTTGGAACCAGGACGAGCTCGATCGACGCGAACAATGGCAAATGTTGTTACCAAAGACTCTGTGATGAAGCGAGTGATCAGTAAAAAAGATGGAACAAGTTATCGGGAGCAATTGAGCCAAAGAGACTGTGGGAGAATGGTTGGAAGAAGAGTGGTGATGCTGTGGTCAAGAGAAGAAGATGAAAAGTTGGGGGAGACGAGGGACGAAGAGAAGATAAAGGGGGAGAAACGTGTATTCGGTTCTTGGTTCCTACCTACCTTAAGGATGCTTGCTTCCTTTTGTGTCAAGGCCCTTTCAAGGAGGAAGCTGCCAGGCTTGTTCTTCTGGAATAGTAAGGAGATGTTGGCTGTGATGCTTGGTTGGGAAAGAAATGATGTCGAGGGGAGGAACAAGGAGGGGTGAGGATGTAAGCAGAGGAGGTGACTTTGGACCAAAAGGGCCAGAGCGGATATGCCTGGCGGGTCCTCAATGTCACTCTTGCTGCTGTTCCAGGCTGTCACTTTCCATCAGCAACTTCCCAACTGAAGTTTTCTTTCCCAAGTTGGCGGGTGCAGTGGAAAGGGGGTGGACATACCTTCCTCGTGATATGTTGCTGGCCTCCTTCCTTTCCACAAGCAAAGTCGTTGTCTCTCCTGATATGTCCAGAGCCTTCCAGCTACACGTTTCCCTTCCGAAAACCACAGAAAACTTGGAAAGAGCTTGAAGAGGTAGGTTGGTCGAGTCCTTGCCGCAGAAAACACCTTGTCCCTTTTGATTCAGGGGCGAGAGCGAGAGGTGGAAGCAGATCAACCTTCCCGTAGCGTGAGCTTCGACAGTAACTACAGACTGACTGATGATGCTGATAAATATGTACCACTCTGTCTGAGGAAGACGCTCGATAGTCAGTGCCTTGACAGGCGAGAAAGCCAACAGACCTTATCGGTCAAGACGCACCTGAAGATGGGCAGCTTGCTTCTCTCGATACAGCCTTCTCAGACGACGAGCAACAGACTTCGGGAACGTTTTGTGGCCGACGGCTTCGAGCCTTTGCGAGGGGACTGCCTTCCCAGTTTCTCGATAAGAGTATTTCTCTTGGTAAGTAAGTATAAGCAGATGCTTGGAAGCTGCTAATGATGTCGTCGACACTAGGTACCTATTCGGTAGCCGTGTCAGTACCTTACTCCTCCAGGGCCAGAGCAGAATGGACCTCACCCCCGAGAACTTGGTCGTGTGCCTCCTTTAAGTCAATCAAATATACCGCAACGATGCCGTCCGATCTTCGTGTCTGGAGGAAGCAGTCTGCGTCGATCCGGTCTCTTGGAAACGCTCCCAAAGACAAGGCTGCAAGTACCCAAACCAACAATGAAACCGCAATATCAAAATGCCCACCATGCACCGTCCGTTTGTCATAAGAATACCGGTAGCCGCTCAACCGCGAAATATATGTCAAGGAAGCCGAGGATGTCTATCTGGGTGCCATTCTCCGATCAAATAGGGGATACCTGGGCAGCCAGGAGGGATCTCTTCCAGTCTTTATGGGATGGTGTCCTTTCAGTCAAGTTGCTTTGCGGTCTGCAACCCTTGCCCTGCAGCCAAGCGTGGTTGTCATAGAGTGATGGTCCACACATCTCTTTTCTTTTCTGATCACTGGCCTCTGAGACAGGGTTAGCGTCGAGAAGGAGAGAGGTAGCTCTCGGATCAGAGTCAGGAAAGTCGGGCTGCCTGATGTCTCTCCTGCGGAAGCCCGGTCTGAAGTCTGCGACCTGCGGTTGATCCCACTCGATGCAGGCGTTCATGTCTAGCCAATGGCCAGCAGCACTCGCTGCCCGCGCTGTCCTCGAGTGAGCAAGCACTTGATGCCCACCATCTCAGCCCACGTCCTTGGTGGAAAACGACTGGTCCGGCAGCTGACGTGTTGGTAGAATTGAATGCCAGGATCAAGGGTGCAAATCGACTATGTATCGAGGCAGTCCGAGCCAGACAGAGTTGCCGGCCAAGACGTTGAGTACCAATGAGAGGCAATCTGCAGTGTGAAGATGGGTGGAAAGCGGTTCGTCCAAAATGGTCAGGTCCTGGCTTTCTTCTTTTTGTTGAGAGCCTCTCGCTCGGAGACGAAACAGAACCTAACCGACTTCGGCATAGGAGAGATGCGGACTGCATCTCACGATAGTCTGGGGCTGGCGTGATCTGGAGCAGTGGTGTAGAAGGAAGAGCAGAGCCATTCGACGTGGCGAAACGGGTACCTGAGACCTCTCTCGAGGCACATGGCTCGAGAAATCCTACGAGGTAAGCCTTTCCGATTATGTTCCGTGTTCTCGACGAGAGAACGTGCTGGATGTTATCCCTGACTTTCAAACGTATACTGACAGGGAGAGCCAGCCGGGGTAGTAACCATGCACCGCGACTTCGATACTATTACCGAACAACGTTGCAACCCAGTCGAGCCACGAGTCTGCTGTCCATCTCGAGCTCAAGCCAACCGAAACGAAGAGAAGAGACAGGGCCCTCTAACTTAGCAGACAGCCTGTGTTTGGCTGAGACCTGAAGACTAAACATGCGTCTTCCCTGCTTGGGCCGGCGCCAGGAAAAAGAAACGACGTGGGGTGGCTGGATAGAGGAGGCCGTGCCGCAATTTTTCACGCACGCGATGGAACGAATCCGATTTCGGGTTTCCAGAGGAACCATGCCTGTTTTCTTTTGCGGGCTGCTCGCATCCTATGTCTGTGACGAGGTGTTCACGCTTCCGTCGAGGTTGCAAAAGACTTTATGAGGCTGAAATACCATCGAGCAAGATCAGTCGATCGCGACCTCCACCCTTCCCGCTGCCCCTGGTCAGCTATGTCTCCCTATGTCTCCCGCTAATCTCACGACCGGACCGAAGACAGAGAACAAGATAACCGTCGGGTCTACCCCGGCAGACAGGTGGGCTCACTATCGAACGGCTCGTCGCTTCGGCGGTGTTGGGAGCCAAATAGTTGGGCAGCCACCTGTCCGTGAAGAGACAGACGAGATGACAGGTCGTAGTCTGTGGGATGTCCAAAGTGGCGGTAAAGGAATCTCCGGACTGTCAAGTGGAGGGGTTACAGGCTGGCTGGGGCGGAGATCGATCTCGCAGCGGCAATCCCTCCAAGGTAAACATCGGCTTGCCAATTGCAGTCTGCAAGTTGTCGTTTTGGTGTTGCTGCATAATGCGAGGCATCGAAGCACCCTTACCTCTCTGCTAACCGTTTACAGACATATTATAACAGCTGCCAAAAAAGATGACAGTAAAGTGCAGCACTCGAAGTACACGGACGGATCGACTGATTAAGAGGAGAAGATCCCGAGCCTGGCTGGGGCTGGCGCGAAAATCAGTCTCGCCTCGGCGGTCTCGCAGCCACGGCCGAGTCGCCTTGTCTCGAACATTTCCCCAAAGCTCCACAGCCAAGAAAGGGCGGCTTTCCCGGACATCTAGGATTTTGCCTTTCAAAGTCAGGGTGTGACACGAACCACAGGATGATGGCAACACCCGCTTAAAGAGCGGGCAATCCCGAGTCCGGCAGAAGAAACAGGCTTCGGCCGGCCTCCGCTTGACTTTTCGGCTTGCTTCTGGTTCTCCAAGCCTGTTTCGTTGTTTGCTTCCCAATGCGCCCTGCATCTGATCGGATCTAGATATCTCGACATCGCCGGCTCCCTGCCGCGCGGGGGGTTCACGATTGCACTACTGGCTCCGTGGTGATGATGCCCAGCAACTTGCCACTGCGCATGTCGGCGCTGGCAAACATCTTCTTAATCCAGGCCCACCCGCCGTCTTGGGTTGCGCCGGTAGATACATCCGGCCCGGTCAGATATCAGATCGCGGAAGAGAGATGGGGCAGTTTGCCTTCGGAACGGGTATCGCGATGTGAATGCTGTCGGCGGCCGGTGTGATGGGTGATAGATAATAGCAAGGCCGGGACCCCATCGCGGATGCGGCACGGGACGAGATCCGATTCCCCGCAGCCCAATTCCTTCGATGCCAAGATATTATTACTGGGGAGAAACGGGGATGATAACCCCAGCCGGCTTCTTTGAGGCATAAAATCCCTTTCTCTTCGTTTCCCCTCGAGTCTCCGTTTCCATCCAAGCGAAGGGTCGCCTCATACAGGCCGGCCCAATGAGCAGTGCCTTGTCGACCGGCCCGGCCGAGGCGGACGAGCCTTTTCACCAGGGCTGTGAGGGTTCCTGCAAGCAACCGTCTTACCAACCACTTCACAAGCAACCGTATGTTGTCCTCGTCCTCATACTCGATCAGGTTTCTTCGAAGTTCCTCGCTGTTCTCCACGGCCCTCTCTCTCCGCCGTGTGGTGTCCTAGCTGCCGTTGTTGTCCATGGTCTTCGTATTCAGCTCGTCCATAACTTATTCATGAGCATATCATAAACACGACGAACCTGCGAGAATGTTGAAATGTGTACTTGTGAATGTCTATACTCTGAAGGGATCATCTCAGTACAAACTCCAAGAAAAAAAGGAACCAACAAAAGTTTACGACGACCAGAAAGGGTTATATGCCAAATTGGACCAATTAGTCCCACCACCATTCCCTACCCCACCACGCCTCTCCGGAAAGGAGGGGGAGTCGAAGCAGAGAGGAAACCCTTCCCGAGAAAATTACTCCGTCATCCCGTTCCAACATGCAATAACATACGCCGCCCTATGCTCAGAAGACGTGCGCACACATTTTCACGCCAAAATAGCAGCACCGCGCACGCACGCTCTGTATCCCAAAGGACGTATGTCCACTCATGCGCAACCAAACAAGTTCTTTTCTAAATACCGGCCGTACGACTGAGTCTATGACCAGACGTCCTCCTGTGACGGGTGTTAGCGACTCGTGGCCATGTGATGATGATGGTGGGGGCGGGGGCGGGGTCGGGGTTCGCCTTACCTGGTACTGGTTTGCCGCCCTCATGTTCTTGACAATCTCCTCCGCCTTGGCCTCGGTGATGCCGCGCTGCTCGGCCAGAATCTGGGCGAGAACGGTGTTGACCTCGCGAGCCATGTTGGCGGCGTCACCGCACACGTAAAAGTAGGCCTTCTTCTCGAGCAGCTTGTTGATCTCCTCGGCGCGCTCCTTGAGGCGGTGCTGAACGTAGACCTTCTTGGAGCCCTCACGGGAGAAGGCGGTGACGAGCTCGAACTTGTCGCCGAGAGCCTGCTTGTATTGCTGTTTGATCATGTGTCAGTATTATCATCCCTTGCGTCGGCGTTTCACGGGTGGGGTCTGTCTTACCTCCCACTCGTCCTTGTACAAAAAGTCCTCGTCCTGTTTCCTGCAACCGAAGAAGAGAATCGTCTTGCCCACGTCGGCGCCGTCCTGCGCGAGCTTGGCGCGCTCCTGGACGAAACCACGGAACGGGGCGACACCGGTTCCGGGACCGATGAGGACGATGGGCTTAGAGGGGTCGGAAGGCAGCTTGAAGTTGGAGTGGCGGACGTGGACGGGGACGTGAATACCGTCGTACTTGTTGCGGGGACCGGTGATCTCGTAGGTAAGTCCGAAGGCATTGGGCTCGGGGTCGCCGTTCTGCTTCTGCTTGAGGGCGAAGAGGTAGTTGGTGGCGACACCGCGGAAGGGGTCCTCGCGGCCGGGAATCATGACATTCTCGACGACGGCGGTGATGGAGATCTTCTTGGGCTGAACCAGAGATGAGGAGGAGATGGAGTAGTAGCGGGGCTGGAGCTTGGTGAGGCCTTCAATCCAGGCGGAGAAGGGGATGTTAGTCCACTGCTGGCCGCCGCTGACAGAGTGCAGGAACCGGACGATGTTGTAGTAGTGGGCACCGCTCTTCTGGTGGAAGTAGTCCTTGTCGCCTCCGAGCTTGACCATCTCGGCCTTGATCTCCTCGGAGGGAGCAAAGGCGGCAAGCGTAGACACGAACTGACGGGAAACAGGGGCGCAGATCTCGAGGTGGTAGCGGATGATGGCGTCGTAGGTGGTGGGCGTGGGGAAGGGGACCTTGGCAGTCGGCTCGAGGGCCTTGACGCTGATGACCGAGTGTCTCTTCTCCGTAAGTCCGACGAGGTCGAGGAAGCGGTCAACCTCTTCACCGGGGTTCGTGGGCCAGACGGCGATGTGGTCACCAGTCTGGTAGGAGAGGTTGGATCCGCTGATGTCGACTTCGATGTGCAGGCAGTTTCGGTCCTTGACGCTGAACAGCTCCTTGGACTCGGCGATGGGGGCAATGTAGGGGTTGTGGGCGTTGAAGGGACCCTTGGCGGTGCCCTCGAGGTGCATCTTGTTGGGTTCTCCGAGGTAGACCTCGGGCGAGGAGGCATCGAGGCCCTCGCGCTCGAGGATGCTGAAGATGGGCTCGTAGACAGCCTCGCGCTCCTCCAATCCCATCTTCTCAGCCAGAGAAGCCCACATGGGGTCCTTCCAGGCGAGGAAGTCCTCTTCCATGGTACCGGCGCCGTCGTCACCCTCGCCGGCCTCGCCGATTCTGTGGGCACCGAGCTTCTCGAGAGCCTTGGTGACGTTGCGGACCATGGAGTTGTAGTGTTCGTAGGTGTTGTTGCCGAGACCGAAAGCGACAAAGTTGAGGTTGCTCAGGGCCGGGTCGTTGCCCTCGGAGAAGGAGACGTCCTCGCCGGTGATGAACTCGTAGAAGTCGACGGCGTTATCGGTGGGCTCGCCCTCGCCGTAGGTGGCAAGGACGAACATGACGATCTTGTCGTTGGGGATGGCGTCGAGGTTGTCGTAGTCGTAGTCCTCGAGGTCGGCGACCATGGTCTCGAGTCCGAAGCGGCTCTTGCCCTCCTTTGCGAGCCTGGAGGCGTAGTCCTCAGCGGTACCAGTCTGCGAGCCGTAGAAGACGATGCAGTTCTTGCCCGACTCCTCCATCTTCTCCAGGATGTTTCTTGTCTTGCCGGCCTTTGCTCCATTTGCGTTGGCGAAGGCGTTGGCGTACGGGTCCTTGACGACACCCCAGTACTTGCCCTTTGTGAAGTAGGCCGCCGTTCCCAGAAGGATGACGGCCAGGACAACGATGTCCAGCGTGTCGAGTTCCGCCATGTTGGGCCGTCGGACTCAACTGAGGGATCCCGTGAAGACCGACGACAACTCCGAGTTGTGGTTTTCTTCTCGTAGACCGAGTGTCGCGGCGGGGGTGGGGGAGAGAGAAAAGAGAGGCCAAAAAAATCTCAGCGACGCGCAAGGTAGACGATCACCAGAGCGCAATTGCAAAGTTGCCAGTCGTGGATTGACCTCTGGCGAATTTTGGGGTCGGTCAGATAGCCGCAAGCAGTGGCGGTTGTTGGAGGCAAGTTGGGGAAAACAAGCCGAAAGCCTCGTATGTAAGCCTTTGCTCGGGGCGAGGTGGGCTTGCTCGGGGAGTAGGATACTGCAATCGTGTTCACATGAGATCAGCGGGGATGATTCGACAATCGCCGTGCGGTGTGGTGGACTGAGGACCGAGAAGAGAATGGTGGTGGTGGTGGTGGTGGTTCCAGCGAGTGGGAGCCTGCTGGGGGTGCCAGCCTGCAGAGATGCCGAGTTTCGGACACTGGACGGCGCCGCCTGAGGCTTTTGGATCCAGTAGGAGCGCAACACAGCGCTGAACCTACGGCGGCCGGGCGGGTACCTTTTGCATGTGGAAACGGTGGAGAGGTACTTACGTCTTTTAGTGTGTGCAATGACTTTTTACCTTAGTCGCGGGCTGGAGGTATGTGTGACGTGAGGTGAAGCACTAACACGGGCAGAACACAGCGAGTGTCTTGGTGAGGAAACTAGGTAGGTGGAAAGATTAACAGCAGCAAGCTTGGGATGAAGATGGAAAAGAAGAAGAAAAGATTTGGAAAAGGGTTCAGGCCAAAAAAATTGAAATAAAGAGAGTTTGATCCGTGAAGACAGCGAGGATGGACGGGGTGACGGGGCGGGATGAGACGGACTTGCTCATCGGGAACAAGCCCAAAAGTCCACCGGCGGGTGAGATAAGGGACCGGGTCTGACACGGACGGACGGTAACACTGAGTGAGGGCTTAGCTGCCTGGGCCCTGGGGGAGATGGGGGGCAATGGGGGCTGGAACTGGGCTGATTCGGAATTGAGATGCACCAAGAACAAACGTGTTCCGAACGTTGAATGAAAGCCTTCCCGTCGTCGGTTTGGTTTAATTTGGTGGAAGTGGGAGAATGCGACGTATTCCGGTACGTACCGAGCAGTTCTCTCTCTTGGGTCCACCCCCGCCGTCGATTTCCTCACCCCTCTTGCCGGTCCGTCATCACTTCCGAGGCTTAGTCATTCGTGTAATGAACCATTCACATGGGTCGGATGGATATTTAGTGGGTATAGATAAGTCAGCTTTGACATGCATCCACCCCAGTGCACTCTAAAGAAAAGTTTACTCTGCTCTTGCTGCATCTTCAGGCCGCGGCAATGGCAATGACAATAGCAACGGCAACGGCAACGGCAACGGCATTAGCCAAGAAACTTCAGTCTGTCGCCTCTATTTCTTGTCTGGCTATCTGGCGCCGTAAGCCGTAACGACACTGCAACAAGCCCCTTGACCAGCTTGACCGGTCCACGGGTGTTTGCTTGGACAGAAATCAGCAGCGCTTCTGACTCGTTGAATCATCAATGACAGCGCAGCGAGCGGCAGAGCGGTGCATGCTCAGATGGGGATCATGATGGATCCCGCCGTCTTCGATTGGGTTGCGTCGCGAGCCAAGGGAACCCCGCGAGACCGATAACGAGCCACCTCTGTCTGGTCTTCCACCATCGACCATCGACCACCAAACACTGCAGCCGCGGCCGAGTCCGCGGCAGTTGTGCCTCGTCTCAACAATGGTGCTGTGCCTCGCCTGACTGGCCAGTGTGCCACCCGCCAACCTGACCTTACTCAAACGTCTTATTTCCATAACTTTCCGCGCACTCGGATTCCGTCGCAGGGACCAGCGGCATTCTATTCCGGGACTTCGACTCGCATCGCCTACGGATACTGCCTACAGTCAATGACAGCCACACTCGACATTACATACGAATCCCGCGTCATGACGTCCGAAACTTACCTTACCTTATGGTACTCCGTCCTGCGTCCCTACGTCCCTGATTCCTTACGGGGATCGAGAACCTAGAGGCCTGCCCCGGTTCTCGACACGCTGTCACTAGCATCTTCGGCGCGGGCCATGCCACACTCCGATTTAACGGGATTTTTTGCATCTTGGCTACGGCATCACCAACTTCCACCCTCGTTCGAATCATGGACGAGACGGCATGCAGGGTCCTCGGACTGGTAGTCGATACCTCACCGAACACGAATACGCTGGACTGCCTTGGCCCTGGTCGACTTGCATTGGCGAGTACTTCCCTAACTCTCGGCCGAGCAATCGACACGACTGTCCGCCCTGTGGGGTCGGCGCCCCGGACGAATACACCAGTCCGCTCTCCCCATGATGCCGGGCCGGCCGGCAGTCGCAAAGGGAGATCGCCATTGTGTGCCTTGATCCAGCTAGATCGCAGCTCCATCCCGAACCTGCTCGTTTGAGGCCGGAGCACCATCGGCGGGACTTGCGCCAGAACTTGACGACAAAAAAACGGACCTGACATTCCCGCCAGCTGTCCTTCCCGGGGTTTCACCGCATCTCGTCGATTTCGGTCTCGGACCTTCACACAGTCCTCTTTGGTACCCACTGCCGCCGGACGCCCACCTTGGCGTTTTCCTGGTCGTGTTCTCACTTTCTCTCATGGCCGTTCATGATTCTCGACTAGCAACATCATTATTGAAAGCCTCCCGTCTCCCCGAGTGCTACTGCGCCACTGGCGAGGCTGACACGAAGGAACAGACTCTGATTACATGGAAGGACACGAGCTCGAAAACATCAAGCGAGCCTGGGTTCCGTCGTTAAAAGGAAAGCGCTCCAGCCGTTGGGGTCGAAAGCCGTTGGACGCGTTCGTACTTCCCTGCATTTGGTTTCTTTCCAGCGAGGCTTGCGAGACTTGTTCCTCTTGTTCCCAGTCTCGAACGGTTTTTATTTCTTTTTTTCGCAGTACGACGGCGCGCAATCAATTACGCAGGTCAGACCCATAAACCATTCACGAGTAGCCGTACGGACACAAAACTAGAGTCTGGTCAAGTGCCGTCATACTGGGTGACCTGCAGACGATCTTCGACTGAACTCACCACGAGACCGCACCTCAGCAGCCTGTAGAACGAAAAAATGCAGGCTGCCGCAGGTCAGATGTTCCGTGGCTGCGAGGACGAGCGAGCCTAGAATTGGCCATGCCAATAGTGGCCCTTGGTTCATTTGACCAAAAACCAGGATTGATATTGTTCGGATATTTTCAGCCCACATGTGCAGCGGACGATCGTCCGTGAAAATGACAATCGTCCTGCAGGTGCCGCGGTCCGTCTTCAGCTCGAGGCTGGAGCCGGGAGCCTCGTGCTTCTGATGAACTCAGGTCGTTCTCAATCTCGTCCCTGCTTCGGCAGAAATGAGCGTCTGGATATAGGCATGATCAGATGAGCAGATGACGATGAGACTCTGGTTGCCAGAGGTTGTTGTGGGCTGGCGGCAGTGGCCGCGGCCTCACGACCGCGCAATTCCCAGGTTCTTCTGCAATGCTGCAGTGTTTGCATGATCCTCCCGAACGTTGATCAGCATGGAAGAAGCCAAGATGGCGGAGTCGACGACAAAACCTACGGATACAAGGACTCAGCCAAGCAATAACGTTTGCACTATTGTCTTTACCTCACATTAGTGCAAGATAAGCCTCGACATTCCAGAAAGGCCTGCTTGATCACCGTTGAGAGGCACGCTAGATAGCCTTGCGTCCTGCTCTGCTTACTGGCTTCATCATTGCGCTGTCGCTGGTCGGCTCTGCGGTGGTTTTACGGTGACAAGCACAACAGCAGCTGTGAGAAGAAACTTGATGAGCTACATTGTCGTAGACACCTCAGCGACTTGCATGGAGGTGCTGGATACCGCCCTTCCGGCATTCAACTCGCCTCGACCGAGGCATTGATGCTTGGTGCTTCTGACCTCATCTTCACTTTGCAAGCTGATGCGGCGGCGCAAAGACGAATGGCACAGCTGGATTGGATGGAAGCGCGCTCAGAACTCGCCGGGCCTTTCCCAGCAAGCCCGAAAAGGGGGACCATCCCGTGTCCACTGGGCCCCCTCCTCTTCACCATTTGGTTCTTGGCCTGGGGGACCCTCCAGCCTCCAGCCTCCAGGACCCTCAGCTCAGGGAGCTCGTCCGGATCATGGGGACTAATGATTGGCTACGGCCCTTGCATTGACGGGATCCCATCGCGTGGCCTATGCCTTTCAGAAAAATGTGATGTCCACGAATTGGGCTGTGGGCGGGGTTTCTTGAGCATTTTTAGGCGCAAGTGGACAGCGACGGATACCAAAGTAGTTTGACAGCCAGGAGCCAGGAGCCAGGAGCCAGGAACTACCAGCGGGACACTTGTAGCGGGAGTCAACCCGTTGGCTATGGATGACCGAATATGAGGGCGTGACCACTTCTACGAAACGAATCATCAGCCAAAGATGGGAGGAGATCGAGTTCACGGAGAACAGAGGACAGAAGTCAAAAGGAGAGGTGGAAGAAGCATGACATCGGCATGGGTGCTCTAGAAGAGTGCTGTGAGCCAGCGAATGAGGGCATCGAACCGGGCTCGACGAGAAGAAAAGTACGGAGTTCGGATCGGATGACTTACCTCGTGAGGTTGTGTATCCCTGCCCGAGAACCCAAGACGAGGTACATGGCCCGCGGTCGCTACAGGGCTGTTATTGCGCAGATTGACGCAATGACAGAAGTATCGCGCCTTGGAGATACCTTGCCTTGCCTTTTGCCTGCCTTATGCTTCTTTTTCCCCCCTGGTCCGGATGCTACGCAATACTCTCTCGCTGTTCAAATTGAGCAGTTCTAGTCGACAAGGCCCAGTCCACAGTCCACAGAGAGGAGTATTGTCTCTTGGTACCGATGGCAGATGCCAGTCTTTCCAACCACCTGCACCTGTTGAAAGAGGTGGTGCTTGCTTCGTTTTATTGAATGAATTGATTGATTAAAATCTGATTCTTGATGATGATTTGCCTGCTGGCCTGTCACTGTCATTGCTAGGTAGCCAGCCCATCTATTCCTCCCCTTTTCCTGTCCATCAGTCCAAGTCAAGTCCAGTCCATATCACACACACCCACTCCGAGTTCAAATCCTCTTTTTTTTTCTTCCCGCCGGACTTTTTCCAACATTTCATCATTGCCATCAACATCCTCCGTCCTCCGCTTCCGTCGTTTTCATCCACCTCCCTCCCGGCCGCCGTCAAGTAGCGACGGTGCCACCAACCTCGAATGTCGTAAGACCCCGGATCATGGGACTCGATCCGACGCGACAATGGGTGAGTATAAGCTGCATTGCATACATTACCTCACATCCCCATACGTACACCACACACGCACACGCACCCGCCCGCCTCTACACATGCCTCTGTTTCCTATGTCATGTGTTGTATACAACAACGCCTTTCCTTGATGGATCTTGATAAGTGGACGGGCCGTGGACGATGTGTATGGATACACCGGACGCCTCTGCTGTGCGCTACGCTACCGACGGCCGAACGCTATATGCTTCGATACCCTCCATCTCGTCTCGTCTCGTCTCGTCTCCCTGGCCCGCCATGGTCTGGTCTGCCCTCGTCCCGTCCGACGCCTCAGGAACCATCGTCCGCCGTCGAGTACGGAGTACAGATACACCACCACCACCATCGCTACCGTCATCCGCCCCATCCACACACATAGCACGCGCGCACGCACGCACACACACACACTTCTCGACCCAAGGGCACACAGACACGGGTCTAAAGCAGCCTCGCGCCGCTTCGCTCTGCCTCGCGCTGCATTGTTGGTTGCCGCTGTGCTCCCGCCTGCGCTACTCGCTTACTACAATCGTCGTTGGTGTCGCTGTGCTGTGCCGTGTGTGCTCCCCGGCCCTGGCCTCGCTACACTTTGCGCCCTTCATACCTCTGCGGCCCCCTTCTACTCCCCTTCTACCCGAACTTCATCGCCATCGCCGTCCCCTTCTTCCTCCCCTACTAGCTTGCCCGTCTCTTCCCTTGGCCTGGTCTACCTGCTTATAGCGTTGGTGTGTGCCGGGCCTCGCATCTGTGCACACACACCTTCAAAACGTCTAACGCATCCAAACCTCCACCCCGTCTCCGTCCCTACGCGCAGCCAGTTGTTTCACAAGAGAGGGGAAAGCCTGTCACTGACCATAAGACGTCGTCTCGTCTAGCTCCGTCCCAGACGACGCTGCCCGATCTTTTGCAGGACCCGCCGTTAAAGTTCTCTCCGCGATCCGTCACCACCCTCGACGAAGAAGACGAAGAAGACGACGGCTGGGACCGAACCTTGAGGCCCGCCGCCTTGGAACCCTATCCTCCGTCGATTCGCTCCGTCACCCATTCGCGCGATTCCTCCATCGAAAAGCTCTCTTCCCAGCCGCCCCCCGTCTCCGGCTCGAACCTCACCTCACCCCGAATACACAACCACTCCCAGTCCCGGTCTGCCATTGGCGGCGTAATCGAGCGAGTCGTCGATCCCAAGAGCGCCTCCTACGGACACCACCGCCAGACCTCCATAGTCCACGGCATTCAGCACTCTAGAAATGGAAGCCACGCCAGCTCTTCTTCGAGTCCCCTCAGCCCGCAGATAATTGCTGCTGCAGGCGCGAGCCTCACCTCAGCTTCGGACCGTACCGATATGCATGCCGTTGGGCGATTGGAACCAGACGCGCCCCCGGGGCCGCGCCCGGGCACCGCCTTGTCCGGTACCACCGTCAACTCCGGCCCTCTTGTCCCAGAGAGGACCTCATCCGCGACCGACTTCACGAACGCTTCTGCAACCCAGAGGAAGATCGAACGAATGCACAGCAAGTCAAGACGCGACCACGCGCATCACCACTCCCACTCCTCGAGACACCACAAGGACGAGCAGAAGACTGTTGGGGAATACGCCCTGCATGTGCTCTTCACATCCGTATGCTACACGCGCTGGTTCTTGTCCCGTGGTAGAAACTAATCCCGTCGTGCTAGTTCATCGCCCAAGCCGAGGAGAAGCTCAATGACTGCATTACAGTTCCATTCGAACCGGAGCCGCAGGTCGAACAGATCTGCGGCCCGGGAGTCGACCCCTCGTTCGATCAGATCATTACCGCCTTGGGCCACATCGCCCGCCCACGTCCGAAACCATTGATAGATTCCATGATGCTGTGGAGGAAAAGTAAGAGCGATGCCGCCAACGAAGCACGAAGCCAGCTTCAGCAGTCGAGAGGCGCCCCCCCAGGACCACTTCAACGGAGGAATACAGAGCCTCTCCAGCCCCTGTCTGGCGGCGGACAGATGGACAATGGTCTCACGAGCCCTCAGACCTCCCTTGCCGCCAAGCAAGAATTCGTCGCCCACGCCGAACGCCGCTCGACCGTCTCGATTTACATCCTGTGTCGAGTGCTCTTGGAGGTCATTAGTCAGACGAGCCTGCCCTTCTTGACGTTGGAGATGGAGGAGAAATTGGAAGGCATCATTTTCGGCCAGCTCAAGATCGCGGATACCGACCAACTGATGGTCAGCCCTTTGAAACTCGCGAACTGGAACCTCTTCGCCCAGCTTCTTGGTGTTATGAGCGAGATCAACTTCAAGGGCGTCACCGACAGATTTCTCGCAGACATCGAGCGTACCTTACAGGAACTGGTCAATAAGAGTCCGACGTCACTAGCTGGTCGTGATGCTGAGGGCAAGATCGAGCTCGTGCTTGGCGGAATGAAGCATCTCAGGATTAACACAGTCCCACAGGAATCCTGGGAACAGTGCTGCGACTTTCTCGTTCAGGTTGGACGTCTATTCAACCGTTCACACGGCCAACGAGTCAAGACGGCTTTCTGCCAGGTGCTCGAGGCGTTACTGCTCTCTGTTGCGTCCAAAGCATCAAATCAGGACTTGACCCATCCGAAATGGATTGATGTGCTTGGTGCCATTGGCCCTAGACTGGCGCAAATGTTCATTAAGCCTCGACACTGGGGTTTCGCCTTCCCCCTTACGGCTACGATGCTCTCTGTTTCCACGCCGGAGACCTTCGGATCCCAATGGCTTCAACTAATCCTGCCGCTCCAGCCGAAATTGAAGGACAGATTCACGAGGCCCCTTTGCCTCCAGGTGATCTCGAGGTTGTTGTGGACGTACCTCTTCCGAACGAACGATACCTTGCCGAACGCCACGAGAAAGCTGGACGAGGTGATGAAGTTGGTATTGCCTCCTACCAAGCGTGGGTTGATTGCCGCCGACTCAGCCGTTGCCGAGCCGATCATTCAGATCATCCGGATCATTGGATACAAGCAGCCTGAATACTGCTTCAAGAACATCATCTTTCCTCTAATCAACGCCGAGGTGTTCGTAACCAACAAGGAGCTCAAGGTGGAACAGCTGGACCCGGATCGCATGGTTGTTGGAATCAGAGCGTTCCTTGCCATCATGTCGGACCTCGAGAGCGGGGAGCAAGGGCGACCTCCTTTCCCAATCGCCTTCCCTCCACCACCTACGCCGGATCGCGTACCTACTTCTCCCGTCATGGCGTCGCCTCATAACGGCCACCCCGGAGGCCTTGCTGGAGAAGGCGAGCATTTGTCTCGTCCAGTGCGAACTGCCGCTCTGAGTGACAGCGTCCGGGAGTACTATCACAAGTTCTGTGAGATCCTCGGCAAAATCACAATAATCTGCGACAATACCTTCGGAGGCCAGGCTGTGCTGGACGAAAAGTTCAGCAGCCCGGGCCCCAAAACCCCTATTGCGGACACATTCAACTTTTCACGGCGAGACGACCACCAGTCTCCCGCAGATCATAAACAGGCGTTCTACGAGCTATTGCATGTTGCGGTTCAAGCGTTACCCCGTTGTCTCTCTGTCGATATACCCTTCAACTCGCTAATCAACCTTCTCTGTACCGGAACTGCGCATGTGCAGTCCAACGTTGCATTTTCTTCAGCGCAGTCACTCAAAGCCATTGCGAGACAAGCCCACGCCCAGCAAGTTACCATGGGTTTTGCTCGCTTCATATTTAACTTCGACGATCGATACTCCACCATGTCTGACGGCGGAATGCTGGGCCCCGGTCACATTGAGAGTACTCTGCGTCTCTACGTCGAGCTGCTACAGATCTGGATTGAAGAGATCCGAAGGAAAACTCGAGACGCATCTCTCGGTCAACTCGAGGCCAGCGACAAGCGCGGGGCTAAACTCGATCTGTCTGGAATTTGGGCGGAAGTAGACCAGGCAGAGGCCCACGGGCTGTTCTTTCTATGTTCCCAGTCTCGCAGAGTGCGGTACTTCGCCATCACCGTTCTCCGGCTCATTACCGATTTCGACAAGGCACTGCAGAACCAAGACAAGGATACGCTGCGTGTCATCGACATCCTGGAGAACGATTCCATGCAAGTGATGAACTTTAAGGACGAGGGTCTGTCGGTCGCCGAGAGAAGCAGGCTCCAAAGAGGCATCCAAAACAGTAACAATCGAGGAGCTCTTGTGGAGCTGTGCACCAGCGATGTGTCATACGACACCACGCTGTGGTTCAAGCTCTTCCCTAATCTCATCCGTATTGCCTACGAGAAGTGTCCATTCACAGTCACCATTGGCCGAGACTTGATCTGCAACCGGATCCTGCAGATGTACAAGGCGATCGTGCTTCTTTCGGAACCCACCAGGGGTTTGTACTACGGATCTGATCCCGGGAGCGCCCGCATCGCCGGTAGGACACCGACGACACAGCCCGAAATCCTTGTGGAACAATGGAAGCTCTACCTCATCTTCGCCTGTACCACCTTGGCCGACCCAGGGGCTGTCGTTCCGGCCAACCCCCAAGGAACACAGCATAGCCGTAAGACGTCCAAGCCCAGTTCAGCGGACAAGATTGTCTCAGCTCGAGTGCTGTTTAAGTACCTCATTCCCCTCCTGTCCGTGTCCTCGGCATCCGTCAGAGACGCCGTCGTCCTAGCCATGGGATCTATCAACATTCACATCTACCGCACACTTCTGGAGGAGCTGGCCGGGCAAGTCTCGCGCTGCAACGACGAGGCTCGTGCCCGCATTCATCAACGTACCAACAGCAGCCCGAGACGCAATCGCAAGATGGATCTGCTCAGGACAGAAATCACCCACGTCTACAAACTCACATGCCACTTCCTCAAGATGGAAGAGGTCTACAATGATGAGTGGGTGCTCACAAATCTCGTCACGTACACTAGGGACCTCAAGCTCTTCCTCATGGACGGCGAAGTTCAGATGGACTGGGAGTTCCAGAAGCTGAGACGCCACTACTGCGGCCTGATGGAGGAGCTCTTCGAGGGCATCAACAGAACCAAAGACCCCTCCCGCTGGATGACCTTTGAGTCCAGAAAGTCCGCCTTCTCGCTGATGGAAGACTGGTGCGGGTTCTCGCCCAACCAGACGCAGATCCGCGTCCGCGAAGATACCATGAGGCAATCTCTCATCGACCAGCAATCGCTAGGTGAGAGGGGAACCGTCACCGCCGCAATGGAGATCGAGAAGCGCAACCTACGCACGGCTGCCCTGAGCGCCATGGCAGCTCTCTGCGGAGGGCCCATGAGCATCACGACCGAGAGCGGCGCAACGCTGCAGTTCGACATTCGAAGAATGCTTGCCTGGATCGAGGCTATTTTCAACTCGGGCAGCGACCGAATGAACGTGATCGGACGTCGCGCTTTGCAGAACCTGATCGTTCACAACCAGGAGTATCCTTATCTCCTGGAACACTGCATCGCTCGTTGCTACCTGTCCGACGTCTCCAAGGTGCAGGAGAGTTACTTTGCAGTAGTTACGCAGGTGTTGCTTGAGCACCTTGACTACTCGTGCCCCTTCTGGAAGCTGCTTGGTCTCTGCCTCTTCACTCTTGGCAACGACGAGAGTGACATACGATCCAAGTCTGCCCGTGTTCTGCGCGCACTCGAGGAACGGCAGCAGCCGGGGCGCACCTCCAAGATTCAAGACTACGACATCAGCATCTCCGACAAGACCAAGGCTGTCTACAAGCTTGCTCAGTTTGAGATCTCAAAGCGACTTGCCAAGCAACACACCGAGCTGGCGTTCCACATCTTCTCGGAGTTCACGCTTTACTTCAAGGATCTCCAGGCCGCCTCGCAACGGAACGTCATTGCCGTCATCTTACCTTGGATTCAGTCCATTGAGCTCAAGGTCGACCCGAACGGCGGCCCCATCGCTCAGTCATATGTGCTTCTGGCAAACCTTTTGGAGATCACGATCAAGTCCAGCGGCGCCTTACACAACGAGGTACAAGCCCTTTGGCAGGCTCTCGCTACTGGCCCGTACCCAGGAAATGTCAGGCTGATCCTCGACTTCATCATCTCACTGTGCCTCGAACGCCGAGAGCAGAACTTCGTCGAGTACGCCAAGCAGATCGTCGTTTTCCTGTCTAGTACGACCAGCACACCTGGGATGAAGGTCGTTGAGTTTCTTCTCATGCAAATCACCCCCAAGGCCATGGTTCCGAACGAGAAGAAGGATGCCATGCCTCCGCCGCCAGACATTGGCCTGCTGCCGTACTGCGCAGACCTGAGCGAAGCGCTCCCTGTGGGCACGAAGCAGGCAGGCTTCTCCTTGGGTCAGCTGTCGCTCATTTTGCTCGTGGACCTCATGGTTTCTCCTGTTCACTTGATACCAGACAACGTGCCAGTACTTCTCCAGGTGGTCACCGTTCTCTGGGATCACTACACTCCCCTTGTGCAAGAGCAGGCCAGAGAAATGCTTGTGCACCTCATCCACGAGCTTGTCATCTCCCAACTAGATGATCAAACACCGCCTACAGCCAGGGCATCTATAGAAGATCTCATTGATCTGATTCGCCGCCACGACCGCTCGGTTGTATGGGGTTACGAGGACAGCAATGGCAAGGCCGACGACCATGACAACAAAGTTCCCCCGAGCATGGAATTCCTCACGGCCGAAGTCGTCAAGACGTTTGAGATGACCTATCCTGGTATCAAAGATCAATGGGGTCGACTTTCACTGACATGGGCGACATCGTGTCCTGTCCGGCATCTCGCTTGCCGATCGTTCCAGATCTTCCGGTGCATTCTCACATCTTTGGATCAGTTCATGTTGGGCGACATGCTTGCGCGTCTTTCAAACACCATTGCCGACGAAGACACCGAGATCCAGACTTTCGCCATGGAAATCCTCACGACCCTCAAAACTCTCATTCTCAAGCTCGATGCCGACAAATTACTCACCTTCCCCCAACTGTTCTGGACAACGTGCGCGTGCTTGGAATCCATTAACGAGCGCGAGTATCTGGAGGCAGTGGAGATGCTCAACGAGTTCCTCACCAAGATCGACTTCAGGTTGCCGAATGTCCGACGGTTGCTCCTCGACGGTCAACCCTCGAGATGGGATGGACAATTTGAAGGTCTTCAGTCTCTTCTCTACAAGGGACTAAGGTCATCAATTTGTATGGAAACCACACTGAGCACTATCAACAAGTTGGTTCAGCTGCCCAGCGATGGTCTTATCGGAGACGACAGCAGAGTGTTCTTTGCCATCCTGGCCAACTTCCCCCGTTTCCTGCACGAACTGGAACAAGACGAGCCTAGTGAGCCGGCCCTGCAGTCTGCCGAAATTCTCTGCGCCGTAGCGGAAGCTCAAGGGCTCGGCAACATTGCTGTCGTCCTCGAGGAATACGTCGCCTTCAAGTACCAAAAGAACGGCAGAGAGTTCCAAAGTCGTCTTTTCGGAGCCTTGAAGGATCACTTCCTGCCCAAGCTGGACTTCAAGATGGTGATCTTCCTCATGGGCTTGCTGACCAATTCCACGGCGTGGGTGAAGCTCAAGACGATGAACATCCTGAGCATCGTGATTCCCGAGATTGACATGCGCAAGCCCGAGCTGGCCGGGCACGGCTCCGATTTGATCTCTCCGCTCTTGCGTCTGCTGCAGACGGAGTTCTGCATGGAAGCGTTGGAGGTTCTGGACAACATCATGGCGATGTCCGGCAGCGCCATGGACAAGCAACATCTCAGAATGAGCATGACGCGCTCCACATCCAAGACAATCCGGAAGGAATACGGGCGCACCCAAAGCCTGTTCGGTATCCCAGAAGCATCCGGCTGGGCCATCCCCATCCCAGCCAAGAAGACCGACTCCACCCGTGCGAACATTCACGCCGCATTCTACATGTGCCAGACCGCAGAAGGAATCATGACGGAAGCGACCCCGACGCCCGACGTCGAATTCCACAACGACGATTTCCCGTACAGCTACTTCCAGATGCCTGATCGGACCGAGACGATGATGTCGGACGAGGGCCGAGGGGAAGGACACCTGGGCGACCTCGTCACCAAACTGGACAGCCTCGACGACTTCTTCGACGACCTCGGATCGAGCCCACCAAGCGACGGCCGCTCTTCGAAGACCATCACAGAGTTCTCGCCGGACAGTTTCGAATCCGGAGCGCAGTTGTATGATGAGCAAATCCTGCCAATCCTGCACCAGGCTTCCAACAACAGCACGTTCCAGAATGGGTTTACTGACAGGCCACCAGCTACGGCAAGGGATCCGAACTCCAACACGATGAATCCTGGAGCCTTTAGCGCGTCGGCGGGGTTGATGGCGGGAGGCAATGGCAACGGCAACGGCCAGGGCGGTGGCATGAGGCCGGGCCTGCACTCTAGGTCGATCACGTCGCCGTCCGCGCCGGCATCGTACCAGCCGCACATCAGCGAGTTCACGTCCGACGACGAGTTCCTCGAAGACGTATTCTCGGACGCGGACGACGAGCGACCGAGCACCGGCCACGGCGGCGAGGGGTCCTTTTCGCTCGAGAACATGATCAAACCGCTTGCGCAGAGCACGAGGTCGAGAATGCGCCGTCTGACGGGAGGACGGTCTCGCGAGAGCGACCGACAGCAGGAACTCTTCCGAGCCGAGCGAGCTGCGGCCGCGCAGGCGGTCCCCAAAGTACCCACTAGTTTCTTGACGAAGATGCCTCCTCAGGGAGAGATGCTATGATACGGATAGAGGGAAGATTTATATTTGTATTCTGCTACTACATAATGAAGGCGCTTCACGAGCTGATGAGAGGGTTGTAAGAAAGAAGCGTGAGGAATTGCATATTTGCTACGTTGGACCATGGAGTGTGCGAGGCATGTAAACAAACGACTTCATATCACGACGCATGATGAATAGAGGGGAGTTGATGAGGGCGTACCTTACCTAGTAATGAAAACGAGAGGAAAAAAGTTCACGTATTCTTTGCAATCACAGCATTAGCATCTTCTGGTTCAAAAGTGTTTTTCGATTCGTGAGACCAACCCTATAGCTTCTCCCTGAACATTTTCCCGCCTAGCCGTCTGACCAAGTCGGTAGGCGCACGCGTGCCCGCCAGGTCGTTTTCGTGCCGCGTATTCGTGTTCGATGCACTTAGTACCGGTGCCGAGTAGAGTAGTCCTTCGGACTGACGACGAGACCGCGGCCCTTCTTCGCGCCGCGGTAGACGGTCTCGATGATGTCTATCAGCTCCTGCTTGTCCTCTAACACCCAGTTGAGCTTGTTGTTGTTTCCGGTGCCGAAGTCGACCATCATGTGCTTGTTGCGGAAGAAGAACATGATGGTGCAGGGGTCGTAGAGCTCGTACATCTGGTTGAAGTCGGGGACCTGGTCGATGTCGCAGACGTAGATGGAGGCGAAGTTCTTGACGCGGTCCGAGATGCGGTAGAGGACCTCGTCCTGGCGCATGCAGTCCGGGTCGTGGTCTCTTCCGAATCTGGCGAGGGGAAGTTAGATGAAGCTGTTTGGCTTGGAGGGAGGGCGGTTTACCTGATGACGACGAGGCGCTCTTCTTCGGAGAGGATTGCTTGGTCGACGTGCCAGCCTGAGTTGAGATGGGGGATGACGATGGAGCCCATTTTTGGAGGAGGGTATTTATTTTTGAGATAAAATCGGTTCTGTTAGGGGTGGTGTTCGCGTGGGTGGTCCCCAAGAGGATATCGCGTCTGGGTTGGTTTTGCGATGGATTGTCGTGATGGAGAGAGAGTGGTGTTTGCTACCCGGACCCGTGGACGTGAATTCGATGCGGCAAAATGTCATTGCGGGCCCACGGCCCCACCGCCTGATAGGTCCCCGCGCTAAGCCACATCCGGTAGACAGCAGAAGCGGTGGAAACCGGCAGAACTTTTTATTTCTGGTCGGGGTCCCACTGCGCAACCAGCGGCAGAGAAAGCCCAGCGAGAGATGAAGTTCGATAGTGTTTCTTCCAAGACACATCCTCGCCCATTCAGCACCCCAAAAAAATGCCCAAACGACCGTCGCGCGGTGGCCTCGAGGCCGATGCCGCACGAAAGAGGCAGAAGGTCGTTCATGAGGCTCCTACTTTCGAGGAGATTCATGCTGCGAGGCAGTTGCAGGGGCTTCTCACTTTCGATCAGGACGTGAAGCGAGCGAGGCATGGTAAGTGAAGAGGATACTTTCGCCAATGGCTCCGCAGAAAGACACCAAATCGAGCGGCTGAACTGACCTTGGGAAACTTGAATCGTAGGCATCCAATCCCTCAAAGTCTTCCTCGACGGCTTCAACACCCCCGATGCCGACAACAAGGAGCGGTTCGCGCTTCTCCGAGAGTACCTCGACGCAGCGCGGCCCCGCGACACGAGCGAGGACGCAGTCCACCTGTCCGACGTGATGGAGATGTGGGCGTTCGGGGCGTCGGTCAACAACGAGGCCCTCATGTCGGCGGTGCCCGCGGTGCTGGCGCTGCTGCTGCAGGTCGCGAGCCAGTCGCTGGAGCTGCTGCCGCGGGCGCTCGACGTCGCGCGGACGCTGCTGCAGGAGCGCCAGCTCAAGCTGATCGCGCGGAACCTCTCGGCGCCCAAGGGCAGCGGGTACATCATCTCGCCGACGCTGCGGCTGCTGCGCGAGGTGGTGACGATCGACGGCGGGACGCTGGCGAGGAGGGTGTTCCGCGCGCGGGACTCGGCGCTCGCGAGCTTCGCGAGGAACCTGGAGATCCGGCACCTGGGGACCGAGGGCGTGGAGGACCCGTCGAAGCCGTCGGTGCGGACGAACGCGATTAAGCTGTTCCTCAGCCTGCTCAAGTTCCTGCCCTCGGAGGCGAAGAAGGAGCTGTTGATGATGAAGGAGGTGTTTTCGCATCTTACGTTCTTGCTGAAGGACGACCCGCCGTTCTTGATCCTGGAGATGCTGGAGGCGTTGAAGAAGCACGTGCTGCTCGACGAGAAACTGCCGCGCGAGGTCAAGTTTAGGACGTTTAATACCAAGACGTTGGATCGTTTGGCGGGGTTGTATGCGTACAGGCATGATGTAGAGGGGGAAGATAAGCCGTCCGTGAAGGAGAAGGTGCATGAGTTTCTGGTGTATACGTGCACGTCACCCGGAGCTGGCGTGCTGTATCCTGGGACCGGGCTGTACCCCAAGGAGCTGGAGGACGACGCGGCGCAGGATGTCAAGAGCTTGGACGACTTCGGTCTGGAGCGCGTTGCGTGGATGGACAAGTACAAGGACGAGATCGCCGTCGCGAACTTTGTGCTGTCCGAGTTCATCCAGAAGCTGCGGCCGTGGTCGAGTTTAAAGCACAGCGAGCTCATCGTCGCCATCTTCCAGGCCGCGCCGGAACTGGTCGCGAGCTATTTCATCAACAACAAATCCTTCTCGTTCGAGCCCAAGTTGTCCATGACTTGGATCGGGTACGCCGCATTTCTATTCAACACGGTACAACTACCTCTCGCAAAACACTTTGGCCCGGCATCGGGATACCGCCGTGTCCCACCGCCAACTTCGATCCTCCTCGACAACGTCCTTCCGCTGCCGCTGAAGCAGCGCGACCTCGTCCGCTGCCTCTCGCACAAGTCGACGCTGGTCTCGTTCTTCGCGGTCCGCATCCTCGTGCTCGCGCTGCAGAAGCTGGAGGCGGCGCTGAAGATGCACCGCGAGGCCGCCGAGTCGTCCAAATCGACCTGGGACACGGCGTCCCGCAAGCTCATCGACGAGTTCTGCCAAAAGATCCCGGACATGAAGGAGGTCACGAAATGCTACAAGGCCATGGCGGAGGAGAACGTGCTGCAGAGGGAGGCCGCCAGCAGGCTGCTGCTGCTGTACTACGAGGTCATCCCGCAGGTGGCGCTCCGGGCCAACTTCGACGTCTCGCCGTTCCTGGTCAACTCGCTCAACCGCCTCGACAGCAGGGGCGACGAGCCGCAGAACCAGGCGTTGGCGCTGATGGAGCTGGAGAACCTGATCGCGATCGCTGGATACTCGCCCGGTATGAGGTGGTTTGCCAAGGCGGAGGGACTGGCGGCGTCGCCGTTCGTGGCGCTGCTCAAGCTGTACGTCGAGAACGCGCAGGGCAGGACGAAGTTGAAGGAGGTGCTGGAGTCGGTTGCCGTTCAGCATCAGCTCGTGCTGCCGAGTACGGGGCTCGTCCCATTCATTCGGGCGGCGAAGGATTTGACGAAGAGCAAGCCGAGGAATATTGACTTTATTTGGGGGTACCTCGACAACTGCGCCGGCAGGTGTGCCGCGTCACCGCTCAAGTATATGGACCTGATGCAGGAGAGCGTCCAGGATGAGGTTTCTGCGAGTCTGATCCTGGCCGCGATGGTCGAGCAACTGCCTTTCGTTGCCGAGAAGACGACGGACAAGAAGGAGTTGGAGCTCCTGTCCAAGTTCCTTTCGCTTGTCTTGGGCTCTGCAAAGGCGAAGGGGGAGACTTCTGCGGTGGCTGAAGCGCTGGCGAAGAAGATGACGGAGGTCCTCGCTGGGCGCGCACCGGCCGTGGTTCCGAAAGCGCAGAAGAACGTCGTCGACGACGTCGCGGAAGAGGAGGATGCCACCGAGGACACTTCAAAATCCGAACGACAGAATGTGGATGTCGGCGGCGAGCTGGACGAGTCCTCGCTCGAAGCCATCCTCGACGTGCCCTTCGAGTCCGACAAAGACAACTCGGCGCTCCTCAAGTGGAACTCCAAGAGCGTGGAGGACCTCGTCGACGAAGGCCACGCCGCGGCGCTCATCCGCCTCCTGTGGTCCGAGCACGCCAGCATCCGCCAGGAAGCCCTGACCAACATCATGAAGATGGCGGCCAAGTTCAAGGAGTCGTCGTACGAGGAGAAGGAGCAGATCTGGCTCCTGCTCTCGGAACTGGTGGAGTCCTCCAGGCCGCTCGTGACCCGGGGGCCCGTCGCGTCCCCGCTGGTCGCCTTCGCCATCGCCGCGCTCGAGGTGCTCAAGAACCCGCTGCACTGCCTCTACGCCAAGGTCAACACGTTCCTCACGCGCGGGCCGGTCTGGCAGCACGACAAGGTGCCGCTGGCGCACGACATCCTGCACGGGGCGCCGTCGGACGACGACCGGTACTACACGGAGGTGAGCTGGCTGCTGGCGTACGTGCTGGACGGGCTGCGGGGCCCGGCGGACCTGGCGGTGCTGCACCAGAAGAAGTGGTTCGAGAAGATCTTCGCGCTGGCGGGCAACCCGTACCTGCGGGCCAACCTGCGCAACCGCATCCTGAGGATCCTGTACCGGGCGACGCGGATCGAGGGGGGCAGCACGACGCTGGCGACGCGGTTCGGGGTCGTGAGCTGGCTCGATGCGCAGGAGGCGCGGTTCGTTGGGGACGAGGAGGTCAGGCGGGTGCTGAGGGCGCTGAGGAGGCGGGTCTGGGAGACTTGCGATCGCGAGCGGGTTGGGGAGTGGAGTCGCGGCGGTGTGCCTCTGGCTTTGGAAGCTTGAGCTTGGCGGATTTGTATAAAATTAATGGTGGCATAAGGACTTGATATCAAAATGAAGATTTTTTTTGGCGTCTAACTATTTATTTCGCATGTTGGATGTGACTATTTTGGGTCTTCCATCTTTTACTTCGTCTATCTGCTTGTATTCTTGCCATGCACCCTCTCAGCCTTGTAGACCAAGCTCATTATTGGAGTGCGCTCCCAGACTCGTTTTATGAGCCAGCGTACCTCGACTCATATTATCGATGTTGCTACATATGAGGTTGTTCGTTTAAGTTCCTCCATGTACAAGTTCCGTTTCTGACAATTTAATTCCATCGACGCGTATTTGAATCAGTATCATGGTCAAATTATTCTCAAAGATCGAATAGAGAGCACACTTATGGAAATGCTCTGACTCTGAGAGAAGAGATTCCGTTGGATGAGGCATACAGTGAGCTTCGACGTCTCTCCTTTAAAACTTGGTTAAATTAGAGACGCTTAGATTTATTTCGCGGTCATATAAACTTAAGTGATCATAGAGATCTCGTAAGTGAACATACTACTCATCTCAATAATTCTTTCTGTCTATCCTTCTTGATAGAGTATCTCTTAAGTGCCATTGGTATCGTCACGATCACGGGAACAGAATCGGGTGAACTGCTAAAGCTCTCTTAAAGCGTACGACAATGGCCCACATATGTGCATAATGTCCCTGGATCTTCTGAGTTTTATAAATTATGTTAGAACTAATATTCACTTCAGAGCAAGATTATTCATCGACCGTTCCCCGAGTCGAGTTCTTGACACAGTCCAAAATTAAGGCTTGTTTTCAGACACAATGTCGTCTAAGATAGGTATCATCATGGCTTGGTCCTAACTTGACCTGAAGGAGATTGCAAGGTACAACAACGAATTCGTGAGTTTGTGTATCATGCAAAAAAAGGCATCCGTATCACCGAGTTGTCTCTCGGTTTATTCACAGCATTATCATCGACAACACCATTGACGGCATGGGATTCCGAGTAAGGGATCCTCTTGGCACGGGAGAATCGAAGTCGATGCAACACTGCATGTCGAAGGATTCCATGCTCTCAGCGATTCAAAGAATGGGCGCTAAGCGGTTTTGGGTGGTTCGGTTAAGCTTCCATCGAGAGGGAATCTGTGGGGCAGAATGACGATGGGCCCCTCCGAGGAGACAACCGTAAGGAGCAAGGAGCGCAGGTCGCGGCAAGTGGTCAGGCTGGCGGGGATCGGGGCGGCCTTCTGGTCCGGGCTTCATCAGTCTCTCTGAGATGAGGGCGAGGAGGGAGGCAGGCGAGGAAACACCCCACTGAATATTTTCACTGGAACCTTCTGCCCTGAGCTTCACGTTGGGCTGCTCAGTCAATGGATCACGGTGTTGCCTGAGGTGTAGCATGAGTGAGTTCTAATTACCTAAGGCAGGTACGGGAACTGCCCGAGAAGCTAGCATCGTGCCTTCCACTTGAGGTCTCCAGAAATGAGAAACCAGATGGCAAGAGCCAAGGTGAGGAGGTGGAAGGTGAGAGGTGAGAGGTGAGAGGTGAGCTGAGGTGAAGGTAGTACGTACCTCCCTTACCGACCTGCCACGCAGAGAGCGACCTGAAAATGGGCAGGAAACAGTGGAGTGGGTATTCGTCCAGGCGCAGGTGGGTGGCAGCTTCCCCTTCCCGCCTCTGCGTTGGTGGCTGCTGCACCTGCTCCTGCCTACTGTACCCGTACCGTACCCGTACCGGTAAGGTATGCTGCTGCTGCACCTGAGCACCAAGTTTCGTCCCAAGTGTCAAGAGTCAAACCTCCTTTGACCACCATCTCAACCCGCCTTCGCCCTGACAGACAGTTCGCCTACCTACCTTACCAAAATCCACCCGACCTTCCCATCATAATAATCCTCTCTACCTTACCTACCTTATCTGTATTGCATCACACAGCCGCAAACACATCCCCATATCATCACACGTTAAACTCGTCAACCGCTCTTGCAGCGCCCGCAGCGACTCGAACCCGTCCGCACTTCACCTCGCAGCGCAGCCCGAGCCCGATTGGAGCCCATCTGCTGTCGCCGTCTCCATCCTCCACTGACCGGATTGGACTGACTGGACTGGACTGACGACGGCCGACTGGCTTGACACCCTCTTCGACACCACCTGCGACCTGCTCAGCTCTCCCTCCTTCCTCACCGTCTATCTAACCTTTCAACCTCACCTTACCCAACCCGTTTTCCCTCCCGACACCACGAACACACGACAAATCACATCCAACCCCTTCAACTCCCTCCACCTGACTTGTGCAACACCCTCGACCGACTCCCTCCCTCCCACTCGTTGCACCGCCGAACCCGCCCGCTACAATCTGTTCATGCAAACATCATTGCCCCCGGCTTAGCATCAATACCCTACCCAGCACTACTCGGATGCGCCTCGCATCATCACCCTGCGATGGCACTCCAATATACCGCAGAGTTCCTAATTCATCTGCGCGAATCGCCACTATGCGTCAAGCCCACCAACCTGCCACCCGCTGAGGAATGGATGGGGTATGTTGCCTCTCCCAGAAACCACCTGCCTGTCTCCTTCTCTAATTATCATCTCAGACCCCCTCCCGAGAATGCTCGTACTCAGAACAACAACACCAAGACTCCCGCCGACAGACGAAGCCATGACAACCCTCTCCTTGACCAGACCAACCGCCGCCCTGGCGTCGACCGCAATGCCTCGCGAAACAGCGCAAGTATGTACCGCAATCCCTTGCGTGGACCCCGCCTCTCCCATAAACACTTTTGTTGCAGCTGCTGACTCAATATTCAATTGCAGACCCTGAAGATATTATCCTCGGGCCCCCGCGAACCGCCTTCGCTTCTGCCACCCTGCGCAACAATGGTGGCAAGCCCTTCGAGAACGACAAAGACCCCAAGAACGCCGAATCCCCTAGCCGATTCAACTTCCGCAACCGAAACGGAGACACCCCCGAGAGTGACCGATTCCGCGACTCGAGGAACAGTAACTTCCGTCGCCGCGGCGATGGTGACCAGGACACTGATGGCTGGAGCACCGTAAAGCCGCGCAAGAGCTTCGGGCATGAGGGCGCTGAGCGCTTTCATGGTCGCATGGGTGCCGGCGGTGGCGATAGGCTCCCCAACGACAGGCGAACCCGTGACCGCGATGTCGAAGGCAGAGAGCGACCTCACCGCAACGCCGACCACCATGACAAGGAAAAGGACCACGACGACGCCGAGACCCGACCCCGAAACGGTCTCAGCAGGGGCAAGTCGGAGCCGTGGTTCAAGAACGACAACGGCAACAGCAGTAACGAGAAGCCCCCGCTGACCGCTCGCGAGCGCATTGATCGTGCCAAGAGCTGGAGAGACCGAGATAAGGATGCTGCCCCTGCCGAGGAGAAGCCCAGTGGTCGAAACTACGAGCGCCGTTGGGAGCGCGGCGATCATCGCTCCGAGCGCGAGCCCGAATGGCTTGACGAACCTGCCGGAGAGAAGGCTGGTGGCCACACCGAGGAGGACTTCAAGAAGTTCATGGAGAGCATGAAGGCAAGCCGCAGCGGCCCTCCTGCCGACGAAAAGCCGTCAACGGCCGTCGCTGAGGCCGCGATCAAGGCCGAGCAACCTGCTGTTGCTTCGGCTCCTGCCGTTGAGATCGGCCCCGACCAATTCTTCCTCAAGTTCGCTTCGACTGCTGGCCTGGATGTGGGTTCCCCGATCGAGCCCAAGAAGGAGACTCCGGCTGCCAAGCCCAAGCCCAGCGGCGGCAAGTCCTCGCGCTTTACCTCCTTTTTCAATGCTCCTCAGGAGGATCCAAGCCGCAAGTTGCATACAGAGCCACCAACTCCTCTTGTCGGCCTGCCATTCGGAGGCCCCAGCACCTCAGCGCAAGCTCCCGACGGCGAGAAGGAGGCTTTCCAAGCGTTGCTCATGAAGCTGCAGCGTTCAAACATTCAAGCCGCTTCCACGCCTCCCGCTGCGCAGCCTTTCCAAGAACCTCCGCCGCAGGCACGCGAGCAGCATCCTTCGAGCGCCGTTGCGTCACCCGAGCCATTCCAGCAGTATGGCGGCGAGCGTCGCGAAGACATTCGTCCCCGTATGCCTCAAGGCTCCATGTCCATGTCCGACATCCTAAACCCGCGTCCCATGCCGCCAAACCAGCAACCCGCTGTTCGCCAAGATCAGCTGTTGCAAGAGCTCGTTGGACAACGCCACCAGGCTTCTAGCTCGAACTCGGGCAGAATGGAGCCGAACCAGGGCCGCAACCTCAGTAACACCGAGTTCTTGATGAACCTGATGAGAGCTCAGCCCGAGCCTCCTCGCACCGAGCAGCAACTTCTCATGCGCATGCCGCAACCTCAGCGTGCTGCCCAAATCCCCCACGCCCAAGAGCGTGAGCCCGATTTCATCCAGGGCGGTCGTGGTTCTCAACGCCCGATGCGCGGCCAGGCTCCTCCGGGCTTCATGGACGAAGGATTCCATCATCCCGAGCCTGAGAGCCGCATGCAACCGACGCAGATTCTGCAGCGACCTCCGCCGCCCCCTGGCCTTGACCAGATGAACCCCAACTGGATGCAAGGCGGTGGACCAATGCCCCCTCCCCAGCAGCGCTCCATGATTCCTCCTCCCGGCCTCGCTGGCGGTCCGGGTCGCAACCATCCCATGGGTGGCATGTTCCCTCCCAACTTCCCTCCAGGAGCCTTCCCTCCTCCCGAGAGCATGGCCGGGCCCCCGTCCCGTAACATGCCCCCTCCTCCGGGCTTCTTTGGCGGTCCTCCCCCGCCTGGATTCATTCCTCCTCCCGGCATGCCCGCTGGCATGCCCGGCTTCCCCGGACCTCCAGGACCCGAGGGTCATGGATTCCCTTTTGACGGACGTATGCCTCCCCCCGGCGCCGCTCAGGCGTTCCGGAGACAGTAAATATCCATCATCACCAACCAATCCCGACTTCAGTATGAGGTCGCATTCCAGCAGAATAGCAACTGCATCTATCATGTCTGAGTACAACAAATGTTCGGATGTGTCCTCAAAAGGACGGATTTGAACCAACACAACAAACCTTGTCGATATAGCAATTTCTTGCTTGTCAGATTTGCTCACTAGCACACCCCATCTCTAATCCTCGGTAATCACCAACCTCTCAAAACACGCACACTTGAGAGGACGATCTTTTTCTAGGCCCAATTATGCGCTTACGAAGCAGCATGCCTATCACAACAGCGAGTCAGAGCTGTACTCGCACAAGACACATGCGACAACATCAAGGCGGGGAACAAACGCCCAGCCTTTGATAACATGGACGGCAGTGGGAAGGAACTGAGAACTGAGGGATGGATACCCGGGGGTGCAGGGATAGGGCGTCAGATGGATCTACCACGGTAGACATGAATGAAATGAAATGGATGTCTTGTTCCTCGCTTCCACAAATTCTTCACTACAAATGATTTGCGTAAGTGACATGTGTGAATGAAAGACTACCTGAGGTGAGATTCCACAACCACCATATCAACACCTCCAAGATTAAGGTCAAGCCTGTGGACACCAGGTTCCTACAGTTGTCACTGGTCTTGTCAGTATCATCTCAAACTCAGACCCTTTCTTCCTGCCCTCATTGGAACTATTATTTCTGTTGCTGTTGTCATCTTTGTCCTCATTGCTGTCTGATTCATTCAATCTTCTGAGTCAAGGCTCCGACTAATTCCTTTTTGTGGCTCTGACATCTATGAAAGGTAGTTGTAGAAGATACTACGATACGATCTCTCAGGTAGCCTTGTCGGTTGTTCATGGTTTTGGTTTTCTTCTACAGAATTAAGTCCAGCAGAGCGCCTTCCTTCTTCCCCACCTCATTCAGTAGTACTCAACGGGAATATTTGGCGCGAGGGCACCCACCACCCAATTCTCTACGCCATACGGTCTGCTCCCTACGCGGACGGGTAATCTCAACACTAAAATAAAACGCCGCGCTTGCAATGAAGGGGCTTCTCATTTGTTTCTGTCTCTCTCTCCGCTTCTATCCGTCCGTACACTCCTTAGCCCTTATCCTTGTGGCTCTTCTTCATACCCAAAAAGTTGCGCTTCTTCTTCTCCTTCTCTCCCTTGTGTGGCTTGCCCCCGTCTGACGGGGCGGGCGACGCCCCGTTCGACACGGGTGAGGGCGCGCCGAGGTTCATCTGGCTCATCTGGGCCGTCGGCGGCGCGACGGGACGCGACGGAAGACCGCCGGCCGGAGGTGGCCTGCGACCGCCCGGCAAGCCTGGTTGTTGCGGCGGTGCCATCCCACCTCCAGGGCGGTTAGCCATGGGGTTCGGCGGGGGTGCTGGACGCTCGTAGACCCATGCGGGAGCGCGGGGCGTCGGGCGTTCCATGGGGATATCCAAGCCGCGCTTGTCCTTGGTGAGGTCGCCGACCTGGCGGACGAAGAGTTGCGGTGTGAGCATGTGGCTTGTCGCCAGGAAGATGTCCTTGCTCTGGCGGGCCGAGACTTCGTAGCACGCTCGGCTCTCGCTGAACGTCGCACCGCCGGCCATGAAGACGAGGAAGCGCTGTCTGTTTTCAGGTGGCCGACGTCCCGACGAGGCCCAGTTCGGCCTGCCTGCGCGGAGAGAACCCTGCTGCGAGGCCAAGAGATCCTCGTTGGGGTCCAACGGCGGCTTCACGTACGGGAACGTGGTCTGGTCTAGGGTGCCTCTGCAAAGCTCTTCTAGCATCGTCTGCATGGCTGTTTCGAACCGGGATAGTGAGTACTCCTCGCTCACGTCGGCGGGCTTCGTGTTCTTCGGGAATAGAGGCGGCGGCGGCGGTCGGGTGTCTTTCAGACCGTGCACAGGGCGGGCGCCGAGCATTTCGAGGTTGACCACCACCTCGCCGTCCCTCTGAGGCAGCCCTGAGTGCGCCAACAGTCGATTGATATCCTCCATAATAACTCCGTCTCGGTACATCACGTACATCATAATGAGGCGCAACCGATCGCTGGGTGTGACGGCCTCGTCGTCGAGCAGCCTTACGACTTGATCCAGGACGTTCTTCGGCTTCTTAAAATCCTCGTCCAAGCCTGTTGCAAGACTTTGTTCGACGGACGCAATATCTGGCAGCTTGTGGTGCTGGAAAATGTTCATGGCTTCTTGCGCCATGTTCAGATGAAGTGAGTAGGCCTCCTTCATCTCTTGGAATTGCGGCAACCCAGCCAACATGTCCCTAATGGCGTTCAAGCTCGTCGTGTCCTGCTCCTCGTTCACAAAGTGGGGGTTCGCGTCCAGGAACTTTTTGAAATCACCCATGAGCTTGTCGATGGTGTCCTTCATGTGGCGGTGTCGGTTGTCGACCCAAACGGAGTCTTTATCAGACAATTCCATGTCCTTTCCCCCAGCCCCTTCAGTTCCTTCGTTTGTAACCATGTGATATGTGATCTTGTCGCCTTCCTTGATATTTAGTAGATCATGTGCCATTGCTTGGTAGGTGAACTCGTGCACCAGAGGCGCCATCAAGTCCATCGATCTGTCGGTAATAATGAGCGTTCCTGTCGGTCTCGATGTTTGCGGCGGGAAATTCTGGTTCCATTGCGCATATTCGTCCAATTCTTCTTGGACGAATCGGGCTAGGTGAGAGCAAAGCACGGCGGCCTCGTGCAGCGGGGCTTTAGGTCTGTAGTAGCGAACCTTTGGGTACTCGCCCAACGTAACGCAAATCCCAGTGATCTGTATACCCGTGAGCTAGGCACAAAGGGTCGTGCTTGGAGAGCAGGTTACCTTTTGGGCTAGTATCTTCATGTGACGTGCAACGAGGTTGTTGCAGCCGGGGTGGAACAAAATCGGGAAACTCCAAGGGTCTCTGAAGGTGACGAGGTGCGACTCGCGGGGGAAGAAATCAATCGACAGGGTCTCGAAGCCAGCGATGCTTTGTTTGGCGCCCGGGCAGCCATCGATCAAGTGTCGGACTCGAGGTTCCAGAACGCCGGTCCATACCAAAAACGACTGCTTGTATCTTCGTCTCTCGATGTCGTTCACCAGGATCTCGGCAATGTTTTCTTTGGGCGACAAGATGTAGATGGCATCCATCTCCGGGTTCATATCTCGCTTTTGTTCGATGCGCTCGATGTCTGGGAGCAGAGGTCAGGCAAGGCTCGTCGCAAGGTGCGGGGTGGTCGATCTAAGCAACATACTGGCGATGTTATTGTTGAGAATGTCATCTTCTTTGACGACATTGTCTATAACCTTCTTGGAGTCTTCGTCGAGTACCAGGACTTTCCACTGGGAGCATTGCTGTTAGCTTATCGTAGCTGGACGTCGCCGGGGAGAGGGGTAGCTCACGTCGCCTCGTGTGATGTTCTTGATGGTGTCGATGATGACTATTTTAAGGAATCAGCTACTGGACTTACAAGTACGGTGCAAGAAGGTTCGCAAGGTTGAGGTAGTGGGAAGGCTTACTGTCATGGAGCTCCTGAAGCGTGGAGACACCCATCTTGACGACTCGCCGCGTAGGCAGCGGCTCGATGAAGGATGCGGTGGGGGAGAGGACGAAGAATTGAGATCGCTATCCGGCGGGATGGTCTTGGACTTGCACCCGGTGCAGAGTGAGGAAGTAACTGCCGTGCGCCAGTGGACGGACTGGACGTCGAGTCGAGCAGAAGGGGAACGGGCGAGGCAAGGCTGGAATGCGCAGCGTCCAGGTCGTTGGGTGAAATATGGGCACGGAACAGAATCAAGGTCCGGGCGGGCTTCTATTCTTTGTCTGAACAGTTGCGTCTTCTTTGCAGCGTTCGCGTTGGCGTGCTGCGTGTTGAGTTGGGTTGATGGAGTCGAGTGTTGGATTGTTGGTATTGCAGCGTGCAGCCCGACAGATGTTCTTTGGTCTGGCGGGGTTTCAAGATGGAGGGAGAACCGGTCACAGCGGTGGGACTTTCAATGCTCAATGCTCCAGACCACGAGGGGAGTCTGAGCCTGCAGGAAGGCGGCAAGCAAGGTCCGGAAGAGTAAGGTTGCTCTGCCGTCGGGGTAATAGGTAAGGTAGGTAGGGGAAGGTGGTGTAAATTGGTAGGTGGTGGGTGAGGTGAGATGAGTGGGAGAGAAGTGACCTGACCTTCGGTCCCTATGATTGCCGCACCGCTACTTTCCAGCTGCCCGCTTCAAGTTGAGTGCGCAGCCGCTGCTCTGCGGGGCCAGTCTGCGCAAGCACAACACTGAATGAATGAATGAGCCCAGGTGGAATGGGACAAGATCCCTACCTGGCGCTTTAGCGGCATTCCCCCACCTTCGGCCCCCAAAGCAGGCCGAATGAGGTCACCGCCTTTGCATTTCTTACAACGGCTCTTTTCGAAATCTCCATCAACACTTGCGGGAGATATTCTTGTCCTCGCATGGATGATGGTTGTTTGGTCCCGACAATCCCTTGTACGTTTCAAGACGGTCCGCTACCGATCTTCTCGCGCGTTCTCCATTCTTATGCTTGGCTAAAGTATTTGTTATTCTGACAGCCGGCCACGGAATGACTTGGTATTTTGTGAGATGCTTCAGCAAGTAACGTACACTCAACTCAGTCTCTACATGTGAAACGAAACTTATGAAACGGATATATCATTCTGTTTGCTATTCTCTCTTCTTTATTTCCCTCCTTTGCTATTGCTCATTTATCTTCTGCGCATTCAACATGAGTGGCATTCTCATCACAGTGAACCGGATCAACTTCATGTTCGCCGCCGTCCGCTTCCATTTCCTCTAATCTCGTTCATTCGCAATGCCGTAATTTCTCATTTCCGTTGTCCGTCCCAATATCTCAAAAACTACCGAGTCAAGCCAAAAACATTTGGCAGCGAATACAAACCACCAACTCCGTGTAATGGGTATCAATAATTCATCGCCCAGTTCCCAGGTACCGATCCATATCCTCGCTCCCGTAGAACATCTCCCTCAACCTCTCGGCCTTCCTCCTGTCTTCGTCGGCCTTCTTGCGACTCTGCTTCGCGTCCAGCGTCGGAGTCTTCTTCTTTTCAACCCTGCCCTTCAGCTCTTTCGGGATCTCCAGGCCCAGACCGTACTTGTCTTCCTTCTGTTTCGTCTTGATGGGATATTGCATGCCTTGTTGCGCAGCACCGAGTCCTCTCCGCGAGTCCGGGTCCCAGCCGTGTGATGACAGGTACGTCAACCCCATGCGAGACCGGTCCAAAGCGGACGGCGGATGTGAGTGAGTGAGGCATACTTGATGCGCGATGGACGCCTCGTGCTTCTGTCTGGACGTCGCGCTGCTTCCCTTGCTGAGCTTCTTGACGGCATCCTCCTCCAGTGGTAAGTCGCAGACGGCGCATACGTGCGCTTCCTCCTTTGGTGTCTCCGCAGGCCTCTTCTCCTTCGGCAGGACCAGGTTGAGATAAAAGTCGCCTATTGAAGAGCCAGATTTGGAGGTCTTCTCTGGCTTGGTGGTACTGAGCGTTGGGTCGGACGCCTTGACGAACTGGATAGGCTTCCGCGGGATGCCAGCGCCGAACGGCCGCTTGTGGTGAAGCGGGACCTCGTAGTCGTCGCCGTACTCATCGTCGACTTCCTCCTCTTCCCTGGGGATTTGGGCGGCCATACCGCCTCGGCTGGCAAGTGCGAATAGTCTTGCGTGATCCAAACAGTTCAAATTTGAAGTCCACTCGGCCGGGTGTTTAGAGATGAAGGAACGCTGATGGAGAAAGCTTGATGAGGCCGCTCCACACTTTGACAACCACGGGCGAGATTCCCTTATGTAAGCAGCGGAATGTTGCCGTCGACTTTCGTCCCCTGCAGGATTTGGCCTCTAGCGCGTTTTTAGGCCTCCAACAGCGCTGCCGGCAGAGCGAGCCTGCCCCTGTCGCAGTTGGGTTCGATCCCGCCCCTGAGAGCAATCGAGAATTCCACTTTTTCTAGAAACCAAGGAAGCTCTGTGGCCTCGTCACACCCTTCGGCCAGCTTCCCGCAAAGAAGCAGCGAGGTGTCAAGTCCGAGACAAGACACCAACGACCGAGTCTACAGCGATGCCCGACTGCTGCCGCTAAATAATACTCCCTCCGAAGAACCGTCTCTACAGCCAGTCACTCGTTCGCCATGCCCATCGACTACCTGGGCTACGTCTTCGAGGCCGGGCCCCCGGCCTGGCTGACCAATAACTGGTGGTTCATCCTCAAGACGACCACGACCGTCGCCGCCCTCGTCCTCATCAAGCTATATGCCGCCGGCTCCAGCAACCCGGCCGAGCGGGACATGCACGGCAGGATAGTCATGATAACGGGCGGCACGTCCGGCATAGGGGCCAGCACCGTCCTCGAGTTGGGCCGGCGCGGCGCCCAGATCATCCTGCTCACGCATACCCCCGTCTCGGACCCCTTCCTCGTCGAGTACATCGGCGACGTCCGCTCCCGCACCGGCAACGAGCTCATCTACGCCGAGCACGTCGACCTCTCCTCCCTTCACAGCATCCGAAAGTTCGCCACGAAATGGATCGACAACTCTCCGCCCCGCCGCCTCGACATGGTCATCCTCTGCGCCGCGACCGTCCCCCCGCCCGGCGGCAAGAGGACGCTGACGGACGACGGCCTCGAGGAGACGTGGATGGTCAACTACCTCGCCAACTTCCACCTGCTCTCCATCCTCAGCCCGGCCATCAAGGCGCAGCCCTTCGACCGCGACGTGCGCATCATCTTCGCCACGTGCCCGTCCTACATCGGCGCCCCGCCCCTCGATGACGCCCTGAGCAAGGAGAGCTGGTCCCCCGGCGCGGCCTACAAGCGGAGCAAGATGGCGTTGATGGTCTTTGGGCAGGCGTTCCAGAAGCACCTTGACGCGTACAAGCGGCCGGACGAGCTGCCGATGAACTCGCGCGTGGTGTTCGTGGACCCGGGATACGCTCGCACGCCCGGCATGAGGCGCTGGTTGTCGCGCGGCTCGCTGTGGGGGTTGCTGGTCTATCTTGCCGCTTACTTTGTGCCGTGGTTGCTTCTCAAGAGCCCCGACCAGGCCGCGCAGTCCTTGTTGTATGCGGCCATGGAGCCGGCGCTCGGCCGTGGAAAGGGTGGAAAGCTGATTAAGGAGTGCCGCGAGGTCGACTTCGCGCGCAAGGATGTTCACGACGAGGAAATCGCGAAGAAGCTGTGGGAAGAAAGCGACAAGCTCATCGAGAAGACGGAGAAGGAGGCGGCCATGACCAGGGCGAGACAGAAGGCCAGGGAAGAGGAGGATGCCAAACAGGCGAAAGAGAAGGAGAAGGTGCAGGAAATTGAGGACCTCGTTAATGCCGTCAAGAAGGGCAAAGAGGCGCAAAAGTCTAAGAACAAGAAGAAGTCCAAGAAGGACACATAGAGGATCGGCGTATAAAAAAATAAGGTAGAATACTTTGGTAATGAAGTTCCCGTGCTAGATATCCATTATCTTCGGTGCAGCTCGTCCGTCGCGTGCGTGCCTCGGCTGCTCATCCGTCTCCAAATCCGGGGGGCCCCACCAACCCCGTAGCGTCGGCATTCTCAGCGAGCATCGCACGGCCGACCCGGGGATTGGGGAAGCTTTCCCCGCAAGATTAAAGAATGACGACAGGCCCTGCTCCTTTTCATCTATTTCGTCTCTGCCGTCGCATCTACCAGGTATCTGGCGCTCACACGGTACAACGCCAAAACATGTCAAATTCCGCCGTACCGACAGCCATGACGAACCACGCCGCCACGATACCGCCTCCGTCCAGGCCGCTTCAGCCCCTGGCAGCCTGGGAGCAGCACGCCCACAACGCGTCCGTCAGGCATCCCGTGTTCTTCACCGAGAAGCTGAGGAGGCCGCCGTTGATTCTGAGTCCCGGGATGGGGCTCAGTCCGGTCGCGCATGGCTACGTTTACCAGGACGGGAGGAGGGCTGACGGGTCGTCGGCGCCAAAGCTCTGAAGCTTTCCGATTGCACAGCGTGTTTTGAGATTTTAGGCGTTCGGGTGTAAGTGAGAACGAGTTTGATGACCGACCGTGAGCTGATGTGGTCGTAGAATACCTCGATTAATGAATGGATGGATGGGTCACTTTTGTGTCGGGCCAAGGGATACGACGGAGCTCAGGACGCTGCACCTCTTGTCTTATGGGACTCGGGCAGTTTTTTCTACGGGTTTTACTACGCTCCAAACGAGGCCGCGGCAGCGTCAGTACAGCAACCTGTAACCATGACAACAATAGCGACAGTGCGAATGACGATTCTGGAAGGATGGAGACAACAACAAAGAGACGACGGAGAGATGGGCTGAGGCAACAGAGGAGATGTTGAGCATTTACAGCAAGCCATTTACATGCCGACTACGTAACTCAAGTGTCGAAATTAAAGGGACCACTGAGTACCTATCGAGACGGCGGGTCGTAGAATCGCTTAAGTAGCTGCCTACAGCGCCGAGGAGAAATACTTTCGCAAAGAGCCGCATCATGGCACAATTACGAATGGAAGTCCAAGCAGCCCCGGGTTGATTTTAGTATCATTTTAAACATTCTTCAAACGCGAGGATCATAAGTCATAGTGGGAAAACGATTCAAACATAGAAAAAGTCATGTATTCGGATGTGGTACCGCTAGCCACAAACGACAGGTCGAGGAAAACGCATCTGAGGCGTTTCCCCTCGAGGCTGTTAATGAAGAAATTAGAGCCTCCGTTTTGCTTCCCAAAAAACAGAAGAAAAAAAGCAATGTTCCCGTTCGCCATTCAAACCGTTGCCCAATCTGGAGAGAGAGGTTTTCTACACCATCGAAACAAGCCAATCGCCAAAGCCGCCAAAACGTCGTCAGCCTCACAGTTCAGTTCTTCACCGCAATCACGATCGCCAGGACGATGAGTATGACAACCAGCGCCAGCAGCGCCATCAGCTTGACGTTCTTCCACCACATCTTCCTCTTCAGCCCGCGGCTCCGCACGCGGAACTCGCGGGCGCTGCCGCCGAGGCGGTCCGTCTTGTCGACCAGCAGGTCGATCCTCTCGCCGCGCTCGAGCAGACCCTCAATGTTGCGCGTCATGATGCCCCTGACATCGTCGATCTCGCGCTGGACGTTGGAGATGGCGTCGTCCTTGCCGCCGCTCGTGGTGCCGTAGTCGACCATGAACTTCTTGAGCTGGCCGTTGTAGCTGGCGGCGCCGTAGTTGGGGAGCTCGGCATAGTCGGTCGACTCGGCGGGGAACTGCTCGAGGAAGCGGCGTTTGATCTCGAAGAGGAAGCCGAAGGGGATGCGGCGTCCCAGGGAGGCGTCGGCGATGACGAGGAAGGTGAGGCCGCCGGCGGAGGGGTGGTCCGGGTGGTCGGAGGGCGCCTCGGCGATGTAGTGGATGTGGTGCGACCCGTGGGTGTAGGTCAGCTTCTGGGGGCTGCTGTGCTCGATCTTCGGGAGGATGAGAGAGGCGAGGGAGGAGGTTTGCGACGAGGCCGAGGTTGTGCATTCGGAGAGGATCGTGTTGTTGTGCGCGATGCACGAGCTTTTTGGCTGTCAGCTTTCGTTGCGATAGGTCTTGGTAGTAAGCTGTCGCCGTCAACTTACTAAAGCAAGGGGGTGATGGGCGTTGATGAGGAAGCCATGGCGATCGATACGGGGTGATCCGAAAGATTGAAAGACGTTATCTTGGAAGTTCTTCGAGGTTTAAATGCGCCGCGAAAGGCTCCAGGCTACAGGATTCGAAAATGCGACAAGCAGAATGCGTACGTAGGTGGGTTGTCGGGCGTCAGGACGTGATGGGCGCTTGTCGCAGAATGGCAACGACGAAGAGGGAATGCGTGATGACGACGGTCAATCGGAGGCGGATGCGCTAAGCCGGAGTGGGGTTGGTCCACGGTTATCCAAGCCATGGCGAATGGGAGCGCTTTCTGATAAGGCGCAGTGACAGGGGTCAATGTCTTATCGCTCCCAAAATTTCCATCACGTCTGGACGTGGTTTTTTGCACTGGACCTTATTGGCGTGGAGGCAAAAGGTGGGCATTTGTTTGCCATTCCGCATCCTGCCTTCTTTCAGACAGAAAACTCCGGCATGTGTGTTGCATGTCGTCAGCCATGCTCTGTTGGCTAGAAGATAATCCACCATGAGACCGATATTGCGAGCAGCGGCTTTCGGCGCGGCGAGGAGTCGCTTTGCGCCGCGCCATGGCTTTGCAACGTCTTGCCCGACTGCTTTCAAGGTGAGCGACGTTGCGGCCTCCAGACGATGATGTTGCTAACCGATGCGAAGCAAACGGTCGCGGACCACAGAGCTCCTCTTGTGAAGACCAAGCCGAAATCAAGACCCCCACAGGGAAAATACGAGACATTCAGGGCCATGATTCTCTCCCAGTTCAACACCGTCCTGGCGACCATGGGCAATTACTCCGAGACGAACCGCGAATACCGCAATTTTGGCATATCAAGCGAGTACGGGCTCAATAGCGAGATCCAGCTCTTCCGCGAGACGCTACAAAAGTCAATACACTTGGCGAACAAGGGCGTAACGCTCCGCAAGGAAAACCCCCTCTTCTGGTCCCTCAGAAATGCCTTTATCAAGGCCGACGTCAAGGGGTTGACCGCCGAGATACGGTATGCGTTTCAGAGCTTCATGATGCGAGCGAAGCTGTCCAAGACGACGCCGAGGCAAAAGAAACTGGCCGACCTGCGCTTCCCGATGGAGTGGTTCCCCGCCACCCGAGTGATGCAGCGTACCATTCACCTCCACGTCGGACCGACAAATTCGGGAAAGACGTACCGGGCGTTGAAGGCGCTGGAGAATGCAAAAACGGGTATCTATGGAGGACCTCTCCGTCTGCTGGCTCACGAAATCTACTCGCGCTTTCAGGCAAAGGGGCGGCCTTGCGCCATGATCACTGGAGAAGAACAGCGAATCCCGGAAGACGAGGACAACTTCTTCATCAGCTGCACGGTCGAGATGACGCCGTTGAACAGGATGGTCGACGTTGCCGTCATTGACGAGATCCAAATGATCGGCGACAGGGACCGCGGGTGGGCCTGGACGCAGGCTGTCCTCGGTGTCATGGCCAAAGAGGTTCATCTTTGTGGCGAGGAACGTGCAGTCGACCTCGTCAAGGCAATTTGCGCCAGTGTTGGCGACAAGTGCATTGTTCACAGATACGAGAGGTTGAGTCCCCTTGCGACAATGCCGCATAGTCTGGGGAAGGACTGGAAGCAGCTGGAGAAGGGAGACGCCATTGTGGCTTTCACCAGACTCTCTCTCCACGGATTGAAGAACACTATCGAGGAGAAGACTGGTCGGCGCTGTGCCATTGTTTACGGCGGGCTCCCGCCTGAAACTCGCGCTCAGCAAGCTGCTCTGTTCAATGACCCCGACAACGACTACGACTACCTCGTTGCCAGTGATGCCATTGGCATGGGACTCAACCTCGAAATCAAGCGTGTCATTTTCGAAAGAATAACGAAGCACGATGGTCTGCTATACAGAGTGCTGTCGACATCGGAAATCAAGCAGATCGGAGGCAGAGCGGGTAGATACAAGACCGTGAGACAAGCATCCGACGCCGACGCTGCAGACACAGCAGTCACCGCTGTCGAGGAGAAGAAGGTCGGCTATGTGACGACCTGGGACGAGGCAGACCTGCCGACCGTCCGAGAAGCCTTCAGAAACGACATCGAGCCGCTCGAGAACGCCGTCATCCACCCTCCAGCCTTCGTCATTGAGCAGTTCGCCGAGTACTTCCCCCCGGACACCCCGCTCAGCTTCATCCTCCTCCGCCTCCGCGAGATGGCGCCCGTATCGAAGCACTACCAGGTCACCGTCTCGGAGTCCGAGCTGCAAATCGCAGACGCGATCCAGGAGTTCCCGATGACCATCGGCGAGCGCATCACCATCCTCCACGCCCCCATCAACCTGAGGGACGAGGGCATCCGAAACATCGTGCGCTCCATCGCCGATTGCGTCTCCAAACGCCGCCAGGGCGCGCTGTACGACATCAAGGACATCCACCTCGAGCTCCTCGACGCCTCGCTCGACGACTTCCAGAGCCAAGGCAGGAAGTACCTGCGGTCCCTCGAGGACCTGCACCAGGGCATCACGCTGTACCTGTGGGTGAGCTACCGCTTCCCGAGCATATTCGTGTCGCAGACACTCGCGTTCCATATGAAGGACTTCGTCGAGGAGAAGATTGCGCACTTCCTCGCACACAACACCGTCTATAGCACCGACATGCACCAGCAGCTTCGTACGGCCCAGCGCAACTCCGCGCTGAGGAACTTGAATGAACAGGAGAGGCTGCGCAGAGAGCGTGCCAAGGTCGAGGCCGAGGCCGCGGAAGCCGCCAGTTTGACTGATGAAAAGGACTCTTCGTTGAGTGGGGAGTCAGAGGAGCCATTTGTCGACGACGAGAGGGAGTTTGACCAGCTGGAGGAGAAGCCGATTGCCGAGGACGATACCGTCTTAGGAGAGAAGACGGAGAAGATCCATGAGACTCGAAGAGAATCCCCAGCCGCAGGTTAAGAAGTGGTTCTGTCAGGTGTAGTCATATTGTAAAACCATATATATCACATAGAGAAGGGCGCATAGCATGGGACGGCGGACGATGGACATTGTAGATTATCACACTGCACAGGATTTAAAAAAGCACCGCTCCAGCACAAAAGATGCATTCAGCAATTGTATCTCTTTTAGCATTGTCCTCGTTGTCATCAATCTCGTCCATCTTGAGAGCGTTGTTGCTTACCAACGAAAGGTACCCCAAGCTCCAACACCCATCACCCCGCACCGTCATTGGGAGGAGCTCAGGCGGTTACCTCACCGACCCCACCACAACCTTGGAGGGGCAAACAGCTCCCCGACCTACACCTCCAGCTTCCAACCACCACAACTCATCCTCAACCTCCAAACCCACGAAACCTCACCACCCAGCCATACCTCTCACTTACACAAAGTACCGCCAAAACCACCGCAAAAATGACATCCACAAACCCCGACCCCTCAGCCGCGGCGCCCGCCTTCATCCCCCTCGAGGCGAACCCGGAGCTGATGACGACCCTCCTGCACAAGCTCGGCCTCTCCCCCGCGCTCGCCATCCACGACGTCTTCTCCCTGACGGACCCGGACATGCTCTCCTTCATCCCGCGCCCGGCCCTCGCCGTCCTCCTCGTCTTCCCCGTCAGCGCCGCCTACGAGAGCCACCGCCTGGCCGAGGACGCCCTGCTGGAGGAGTACAAGGGCAAGGGTCCGGACGAGCCGGTGGTGTGGTTCCGCCAGACGATCCGGAACGCGTGCGGGCTGATGGGGCTGTTGCACGCCGTCGCCAACGGGCCTGCTAGGGAGTACATCCGTACGTTTTCATCCTTTTGCCCCCCTGGGGTAGGCTTCAGGACTTCGGGTTTGCTGACTTGTGTGTTTGCGTGTTGTAGAAAAGCCTTCAGACCTGAACGAGCTCCTCGAGAAAGCCGAACCCCTGGACCCCGCCGCCCGCGCTCAACTCCTTGAGAAGACACCTGCTTTGGCGACGGCGCACCGCGAGGCGGCGTCGCAGGGTGCCACCGAGGCCCCTCAGGCGCAGGACGATGTCGACCTGCACTATGTCTGTTTCGTGCGCGGCACTGACGGCACGCTGTGGGAGCTCGACGGGCGTCGCAAGGGGCCGCTGGCGAGGGGTCAATTGGAGGAGAACGAGGATGCGCTGAGCGAAAAGGCGCTTACCTGGGGACCGTTGAAGTTCCTCGAGAGGGAGGGCGCGGACTTGCGGTTCAGCTGTGTTGCTCTTGCTCAGGCTATGGATTGATTGCATTGGGCTTTTTGGTTGTTATAGGTAGGTAAACACATACGGTCTGGCGTTTGGGACGGGGCAATCAAGTCATTCGCGAGGGACAAGTCATGAGGGTGATTAGGCATCGTTTTCGTCTATATATTCTAGGGAAAAGCTACTCGTAACATAGGGACATCCATCTCCCAGAAGCTTCCCAGCCTTGTTGACCTGTCTACTTGGGAGATTTCCAGAGTCGCGGGGACGAATCCTCAGCTTCAGGCTTCTGCCACAACTTAGCCTGCGGCTTCTGGCTCCCGTCCTTTCGTATATCGATCGGTGTTGAATGCGGCTCTTGAGGTTCAGACTGAGCTTGAGGCTCGAACTGAGAACCACTTGAAGCTTTGTCAGACTGACATCCATTTGGAGCTTCCCCGGACCGTTGAGCTGTCCGTTCCATGGTGTCGACCTCTAGTCACGATGTCAGAGGCGAACCTTGTTTAGTAAAGGCGTGGGTACTCACCTTCGCTCGGAACCTTCATGAATTCGGTTGATGAGCGTCTATGCAACCGGAAATCCGCGTCTTGGTTCGCGGGCGCATCCGAGTCTGTGGGATATCCTCCGGGGACTTTCTCGCATTCTGTCCTCGAATTTTCGCGTTCTGCCTGGAACTTCTTCGCCGCACCAGAAAGCTCCTGGTCATCTCTCTCCAGTCCAAAACCACACATGAACACGGGTTCTCCTGGGTTCTGAGTGTCAGACTCGGCGGGCTGGTCTGCGATAGATTGTCTCTGCTCGGCTTGGGTGGTCGACCGATCCATGTTGCTGTCGAAGGTCTTGTCGTTAGAGGTCTCTGACACAAGAGCTGCCTGGCTCGAAGCCGGCTCGATGAAATGCGACCTGTTCTTTGTAGGTGTCGGCATCGGTCCGGCGCGGTCGTAGGGGTTTGTCTTGCTGCTTGGCTGGGAAGGGGGCTTCTTGTGGTCGATGATGGGGGCGCCTTCGTGCTCGGTGAAGAAGGGAACCTAGCCCTGATGTTCGCCCTGCTGTTCGTCTGGGTGCTGGGGAGTCTGACCGGAGCCTTGAGGGTTGGACATTACGGTGATGGAAATGACGTTCAAGTTGAGGCTGCGATGTCTCCCAGCGGCTTGCAAGTTGAGGTTGGACGTAGAGGTGTATGGATATGGAGGCGTCTCAGGGGCTGAAATGTTCGAGTCGAATGGAAATTGATTCTGGGATTGATGGACGACGAGGATGGATGTTTAGAGAAGAAAGACCGTCAGCGAGCACATGTTTCAAGGTGGGTTGGAAATCGGTGCCTGCCATTGCCTTCTACTTGATTCAGAATTGCGCAGGCACCATGTCGCGGAAGGCTCTCTTTGCTGATGAGGACGGCCCTGCCTCCCAAGACATATGGCGAAGGAATAGGCAAGTGATACCAGCAGAGCTCTTTCCCAGCCCCGAACAACCTAGCTCCGAAGATATCGTCACGACAATATCCGAGCCCGCGTGGTGTGCGTACCTATCTAAGATGCGCTAAACGATTCACACGAAGCATCACATGAATCTAACGATGGGAACAGAGTCCAAGAAGACATCAGCGATGAGCGAAAACGTTGTTCAAGCGCTCCAACGTTTGTTTGAAGCTTGCCCCGACTTCATTGGAACGACACAAAGGCTCGCTCCAACAATATTTGTCGTCGGGCCCTAGGTGTTTTGGCTTCCACGTGTCCGGTCCGGTTGATTGGGATATCCGAACAGCCATCAGTGTCTGCAAGCACCCACGAGCGCCCCTGCAGATTACTGCGGAAAGATGATTGTCTCCTGAATTTCGGATGACTCCTGTCTCGTATCTCGACACGTGCTCCATCCTACGGCTGCATGGCTTGCGTAGTGTTCATCGGCTCAGATCATAAGTGACGTGGGAAATGGCAAGTACGGATTCGGGTCTTTCTCCCTCATTGCCATCTTCAGACAGCTTTTCTTCTCCTTTCGTCTGCCGTTCCCCAGTATCTCTGGCGTACTCCTGAAGTAATTGCAAACGGCTCTCCCTCTTGCTCAAGCTGGAATCCAAAGTATTGGGCTTAGGGCTGACCAGACACACGACAGTCGCACACGAGGCGCCGCCACGACACATGTCTGAAGCAGAGTCACCCGAACGCTCGCATGGTCTAGGACACGTGTGTCCTCGCTGATGCTTCGTGACAGATTCTTTTGCATTCTTCAACCCAAAAGCAAGGATTCTCGGGCCGTCGTATGGCGGGTTCAGACCCTGTCAAACTTGTCTCGCCTTGGAAGCTTGTTTCCCCTTGCGCTGGCTTCGTACGGTCCAAGATCCTTTGCAATATCCTGAACAACGAGGGCGGAAGGCGTGCGGGCACCGTCTGCAGTTTGACATGTCCGCTCGGACGCTGCAGCATCCAACGTTTGGATGCCGGTGGGCACAAGGCACCGTCCGAGCGGCGCCGCTGGGAGGGCTCGAATCCGAAGAGCCACGGCGACCCTCGCCGGGAGAGGAAAGGCGGAGGAGACGGCGTATCGTGCGGTGTGACCGTCTCCCCTCTTTCTGAGCCCTTCATATCCGACCCCTAGGGTCTGGAAGGCTCTCTTCTCAAATACCGCTGACCACTCGGGTCCTTCAGACAGGAATAAGCAAATAGAGACGAGGGCCGGGGACAGAAGCACCAGAAGCAATGAGGTGCCCCGCGCCCCCGCGTGAGAAATGTTCCCCGTGCGGCCGAATCACTCGCATAATGGAGCCATGGGTCTACGCGGGCCAAGATCCAAGCCGGAAGGCCCGAGACGTTGACCAGACCCAAGAGAGGGTATCCAGAATTCGAATAAGGCCTGAAGACAGTGGCCCACGTGGTGGCTGATCGCCGCTAGCAAGCCTCCAGGTTCGGGCAGACTAGCCGGATCGTTGCGTGCAACGCTGGTTGTTTTTGCCCGCTAAACGATCAAAGGCGACAACCTCGACGAAGCTGCCCCTGAATTGAGGCGTTTGCCGAAGACCGGCTGGGCTGCTGGCCAAAGGAGGCGCCCGTACGCCCTTCGAAGTTCGAACGGGCCAACCTGGAAGAGACCGGCAGGTGGCATGAGGATGGTGGGGGAAGCGGGTGAGAAATTTGTTCGTTTGTGCACCCAAGCAGCTAGTAGGTGAGAAGTGACAGGTTGCCTCTGCCGTAGACCGGAAGTTGTTGGTGGACGCTCATGCAGTGATGACCTGCATTCGGCCGCAAGAATACGGCGCTTCTCGCTTCGTCATGATCGGTGACTGCCGGTCGGTCCATCGACCTGTAGAGACATCGATCCTTCAGATAACGAAAATCAAACGGGGCTGGTGCAGGCAAAGAAAAACAGGATGTTCGAGCTTGATTCCGTAGACGATGACAATTGTTACAAGAGAAGGAAGCAGAAAAAGAAATAACGACGACGTACGTAACAGCCAAACATGAATGACTAAGCAAGGAGCCGTCCGAACTGCCTGCCCCAGTCTTTCCTTCCCGTGGCCCGTCCACCGACGCTGCAAGACGGTGCCTCCATCGAACACTCCAAATTTGGGGCCTTCTTACAATTTAATCTCCAGTCAAGTTGCACCAACTCCATCGTGTCGAACCAATGCTGCAAAACATCGCACAGTTCCCGAGCTACGAAGCTGTTCTCGGTGATTTCGTCTCCTGTCCACTTAGCTGGGACCAACGGGTGGTACACCGCACCGAACCGACAAGCTGTACGGTTGCGTGCCCCGATGGCTTGACCGATAGCGCCGGCCTCTCGACGCAATTGCCGCCGGTGGTGACCTGAACAATCCAAATATCATCAATCGGATTGACTCGCGGCCTCGTCTACGGTACGGCGTGCTCAGCCTAGTCTCATCTCGACGCAATGGACAGAATCATTAGAGACAATCAATGCCAATTGACTCTGAACGTCATTCAGCACCGAAATGATCGTCCATCGGCCACCACACACGCGGGACAGCAGGGGCGAATCCCTGAACGATCTACCTCTGTCAGCCTCCAATCACTGCAATCGCCAGGGTCACAGGTGTCTTGCCCACTTGCATCGTATGCAGGGGTTCCCTTCTCTAGGAAGATTCGGAGTGGCAGAGATGCTATCAAGATGGACGCGGCATTGACGGGGCGGTTGGGCGGCCGGCGCCTCATGCCGTCGAGCGGAGAAATATTGTCGTCAATATCGTTCGATAAATGCCGGATGGTTTATTCCAACCCCAATGGACAATGCTCGCAAGCCCATATTTCTCGAGAGATCGACGACCCATTGTTGCAGCAATAAAAGAGACGATCTTTTGAGGCACTCAGTCCCAACGGCTTCCATTCTTTCAGCTTTCTGCAACGGTTGTATCGTCACGAGTCCAAAGAAAAGACCATACGCTACTGGCCGGTGCTGCTTCAGACTCAAGACGACATTCTTTGACTTTGTTTCTGGGACACACTAACTCGCTAGTTTCGAGTCCGGTCAGCTGGCGCTGCCAATAAAAGAATCTGGCAAATGGGCTTCTTTCCAACCCTGTTCGATTGCTTTTTCTCCGAAGCTGCACTAACTTACGACCGCTACCCCTGAACCTGGCCGCCCATGTTTACTTTTCCTGGTCCAATGGCTGTCATCGTGGAGACACGCATGCGTATGTTCATCTCTTGGGAACAGAATCCTCCTTGCCCGTTTGCTTTTGCTACGGCTCTTTCGACCGCCCGAGTTTCTGCTGCTGCAAGGCAACAAACAGGGCCCGTCTGTTCAGTACGTACGGAAACAGCCTTCAGATGCCGACTTTGGCATCTGCCACCTGGCAATGGCAAGCCGTTCATCTCGACTTGAAGCACATAGAGGCTGTTCGTGACAAGGAACCCAACACCTGAATTGCGGAACTCTACCTACCTCCCAGACCTGAAGCTGGCCGGTGCAGAGAACAGCCAGCTGGAAGCCCCAGACAAGCTAACGAAAACTAAGCGGTACAACTGGCGGGAAAGCTGTTTCGTTCTGCTTACATCTTTGTTGTCACCTTCGCACGGGCCGCGGTCCATCCTATCTGTCCCATCCCATCCATCCGACTCTGCCTTCGTTTGCTTACCTGCTTTCGAAACTGAGAGCTCATTTCGTCCGAGCAACGAGCATGGCCACTGTCCAGCTAGCTGTTTTCCTCTTGGACCCGTTGGAAATCTCACGCGGCGGCTTAGTGCCTGGCTGTCCTACAAACACAAACGGGAACTCGACCAGCCGTTGGCTTGATTCCTGGATCCGTTTGACTTGGCCATGGGCTTGGAGACGGAGGATGGGATACATGCATTCCCATGTCTGCTTGAACCGATAGTCCAGCATCAGCCTCCAATAAGAAGCTCGAGGACATCTGCGGCAGGGGCAACGAGGCAAAGCTGTCTAGACATACGGTCACACAATGTCAGGTGCAGAAACCCTGGGTACATAATGTCGCAAATGCTTGGCCCAGCTCCGCGTACCTCACTGGCAGTTATCTTATCCCGTCTGATGCCTCCATGAAGGCAAGCTCAGTGGCTCTCCGAGGTGGAGGGAGGGTGTGCGACCCCATGCAACATGAAGCAGCCACGCTCAGGTACATGGATTCATGTATCGCGTACCGCCTTGAATGCACGAAGCCTTCAACCCGGTCTAACAGTCGCTCTAGCGCAGGCTCTATCTGCTCTTCTGCTCCGCTCCATCATGTATGCACTTCATTCAGCCTTAGCACCTTTCTTTACACGACTCATCGCGTCGCATTGTCCCTCCTTTTCTTATTCCACAGCCCGTCCAGAACCTGACGCCATTCTCTTTGCCCACTCAACTTTTAGACTCTCTTGTCCCCGTTCCACCATCTCACAAGTTTTCCTCCTCCACCTTCCCTCTCGACATTTCCCGCCTCTGTCTTCAACCTTGATTGTGATTGTTTCCCTATTCTACGGCTTCCAATCCTTCACACGTCGGGTCTTGCCACTTCACCAACCGAGACTCCAGCTTATCGCCGGCATTTTCCTCGACAGCAAGGCGGCTCAACTGCCCTGGTATACGGCCGTATGGATGCCGAAGAGCTGTGACAATGGGCCTTTTGAAGTTTTTCTCGTCCAAAAAGTCAGCAGAGAAGGCGGCAAACGATATCAAAGCCCAAGCATACGATGCCACCACCGCGTCTCTTCCCCCGCTCCTGGGTAGGATTCCATCCCACCCCACGTTGCCTTTCACAACCGACTAACAAGCTCAGGAACCTATCCCGTTGCTGGCAATGGCCCGACCAATGTTTTCGAAGACCTGCAACGGTCTCACCATAAAATGAGTGAGACCAACTTGTCTCTCGCGGCCGGCTCCGAAGCTTCTGCCCCTGCTCCTCCCGCCCCACGATTTCGCGATGCCAGCGTTGAGCGCCCTAGCTCTGCTCCGAACGGCGCAGGGCCAGGTTCGTCATCATCATCGAGCCGTGGAAGACGGGACTTATCGAAAGGTTCGCCTTTAGCAACCAGAAAACTGCGAGTTGGATCAGTGACGTCGGCGGGGTCACCGGCGCCTCGACGAGTAAGCCAATCGCCGGCGATCCCTCTCGAGGATGAGCCCCTTCGCCCACCAAAGGCTCCATTCACACACGCTCGCCATTTCTCGATCCAGAGTAACAGCTCCTTGGCCCGAAATTTCATCGACATCCTCGACGCCCAATCCGAGATCAAGCCCTCAGGGTTCCAAAACAGGGTGAAAGCGGCTGGCGTACGGGACTACGGAGAGGATGTTGCCGACAGAAATATTGGTGAAAACGGTGTGGACTTGACGTCTGAGAAAGTTCAAAAATTCTATGCTACGAACAACGGCAGTCCCCGCGATCGACAGGACGGCACGCCCACGCCATCCGTTTCAAGAGCCCAGTTTGGGGACAAAGAACAACCGTTCAAGCCTCCCCGCCGCCATGACTCACTCGATATGGAAAATCAAGCCCGAACACAGTCTTTGACCTCGGCCAGTCTTGGAGGAGTACCTTTTCGCACAACTATCTTCTCTCCAGAGAGGTCGCAGAGACACGACACCATCATAGAGGACGTTCAGGAATCGGCCCGGGGCCGGCGAAGACAGTCCTTAGGTTCTATCTCCCTTGGATCGTTCATCCCGACCACCCCGTCGAACGGGTCTCTCGGTATTAACAAGTCGGCCGACACATCCGTCTCCCCAAGCGCCAGACGACAAAAAAGGCGATCGACAACTAGTGGCGAGGCCCCTCCCAATCTAGGAATTTACACATCTCAACCGAACGAGTCGCCATTGTCGCCAAAGACCTCGCAAAAGCCTGTCTACGTAGTCAAGCATAATTACTCGCTGCCGGTGCAGCAGCGACCGAAAACCTCCGGCCATGTGCAGGCCGAGACGTATCAAGCGGTGAGGCCGCCATCCCGCGGAGGGTCAGTAGCCAATTCCACCATCTCCTCCCCAACCCAGAAATCGCCCTCCAAACGGCACACCCTGTCCGCGACAGGAACTCCGTCCCGGCACAACACCGAGTGGTCAAGGGGTGTGAAGCCTGACGGAGGGATAGGCGTATCGAGAGGGTGGGTAGGCCGGGTTGAGGTTGAGAGCTCTGTTGATTCTGGGGATGTGTCCTCGCCGGCGCCTTCACCTCGTTAGTCTTTACCGTCGATTTCTACCAATTTGTGTGACACCATTGGAAGACATTGCTGACAGTTGTTTTCGACAGATGTGATGAGAAGTGGCCCCTCGTGGCGTGAGAGCCAAGACGGGTCGACTAAGAGCCACGAGTCGACGTGGGTGAAGAACAAGCTCGATGAGATCTTTGAACACGTACCAGTGCGGACGAGCAGTCTGCGGCATTGGTCGATATCCTCGGCAACACCGACAATGTCGAGCTCGAGCTCGTTCCAGCGACCCCAGTCAAGGCATACAGCTACGACATCCGTCGATCTAGCGACAATGTCATCATTTATGAATGATAGCTGCGATTCGTTGCACAGTGGAACTGGTGGTCACACTTCTTTCTGTACTGCGCTCGAGAGTGCGGTGCCATCCCCATTGGACTCGTCGGCGCCCGGTGCCAGCTTCAATATTGACGACTACCTGTCTTCAGACGATGATGTCGATGCAGACTCGTTCATCACAACGCGCCGTCGAGACTCGGGGCTCGGCGCAACCAACGAGGAGGAGCTGCTTTTCAGCGATAATGGGTACGGGGAGGGCGGTCTGCAACTGCCTGGACTATTCGACAGCCTCACAGCCATCCCGGAGCCCACCTTCGCATCGCCGTCGCGGCTTAGTATGAGACATTCTCACAGCGGCCCTGTGCATTTCCAGCGGAAACTGTCACTCGACCCCAGAGTCGAGGCGCCCATCTTCTCACTCGATGAGGATGATTATGAGCCAGGTGACTATGACATTCTTCCCGCCCGGGCTGATCTAGCTCTGGGCCGACGAGGCACGCGGAGGATATCCGCAATTGGCATTCATCAGAGCATCGAGGAGGAGAGGGAGGAGAAGGTCGACGTGCGGACGGCCGTGCGGCTGCGCAAGGAGGCCAAGGCGAAGCAGAGGGCGATGGCGAGGCTCAGCAGGGTGCAGAATAGGAGGGCTGTCGCCGACGAGGAGGCTCATCCTTCTGATAGGGAGTGAGCAGCGACTCATGTGTCGACTGGCGCGGATGGTTTGGTGGCCATGCAGGAACTCGGATTATGGATTCGCAAAACATTTGGAGTTAAGTTATACCCAGGGTCGGTCGATGGCAGGAACAAGTGGAACGGCAAGCGCTTCGGTTTGGGATATAGAGTAAGATGGCAACGACTAACGAACGGCGCGAGCTGGATGTCTGGAACCTCGTGATGAGAGCGTGTTTGGTAGACGCAAAATAGATTTATGATACTTGCCCTTCATATGTCTTGTTGAAATAGAGCGCTACATACGTCATACATGGAACTTACTCGAATCCGTCATGTCTTTCACATATGACATACAGCAGCAGTGGAACGCACTGGACATCTGGCGTTGAGCTCAACCCTGTGCCCCTCCATTATCCATCCGGTCGTGTGATAGGCAAACCTTGTGTAGATGGCCAAGCATTCCCCGGCCAAGTTGGGGAGTTCCGTGATGCGGGCAGCATCGTAATTCGTTTTCGAGGGATAAGGTAGCTCAGACATATCAACTCTAAGCTGCACCACTTTTTGCTCCTTGTCCGACCAAAATGGCTCCCAATTACACATCCGAGCACTTGTGATTATACCTGGATTGCATTGCCGTCGGCTTAAGTAGTTGTTCGTACCCATGAAACCAAGTTGACTATGCGTTTTTTCTTCAACTAATACTCCGTCGACTACCTAAGCGATGGATTCTTCGTCCAGCTCTAGGTTGTGAACATCCCGTTTTGTCTGTTTATACCCATACTGTTATTATATCACGTCCGTCCAAGCATACACCCTCTCAACGTGTACAGCGTCGCACCAAAAGTAATGGCCTTCAAGTTTCCCGACTATCCCGAAGGGGTGCACCTGCCTCCGGAATATACACCGGCAAGCCTGCCTCCGTGCGAATGCGACGATTGCAAGCAGAGCTTCCTCACAGCACAACAGCAGCAGTGTTATGCCCAGTTCCGCTACCGAGAATGGCCCTCTCACGCTGCCGACCTCGTTCGCGTTTCATCTCACTTCGTTCGACAAGCGTCTGAGGCCAAAGACCACGTCGCCGAGCGGCTGAGCTTACACGCCGATCTGCTGATGAATCGCTGGCGCAAACGAAGCCAGGAGAAACGGCGTCAACTGCTGCACGATGTCGCACCAGAACTCGAAGAAAAGCAATGGATCGTTCCTCGGCACGTTTACGAGGTCGGATGGAACCAGAAGCCCAATGATCGTACACCGGAAAGACGACGGCATCTTTTGCTCCCTTGGCTCAGCGTCGAGGGTCTTACGACCAACCCGACTTTGCTGTTTGCGCTGCTTTACTATAGAAGTCGATATCCTCTATATGACTGGGCCGCATATGACAGCCGCCAATTGGAACTCAGTTGGCAGTCGGGACATTTCGACCTCTGTCACGCAGCCAGTTGCGTGGTCATGTATGGACCCCGATATGGCGCCATTGTCGACTGGGACGAAAAACAAGCGCATACCGGTCATATCATCGGCTTCCCCCGCGCCCGGCTTGTGCTCGAGGCGCAAGCGCTGTTATTTACCGTTCTCTCCAAGATTGTGGACGCAATTTTGCTGGGAGTTGACGATTCCACCACCACACCGAGAACGGAGAAGTGGAGGTTACAAACAACGATGGGGTTCAGATCGGCTGAAGAGATTGAACGATGGTCGCCATACACATTCTCCCCCTTCTCGGAACCGCCGCGACTCGACGTGGACTACTTGGTGTCGCTCGCAAAGACGCGGCGGGAAGAGGCGTTCGACCATCTTACGGACCTCCAATGCGACCCCATGTACTTGAGGCGATATATCAAGCCGATCCTTGACAAAAAGCTACTCGACTCGGAGAAGGGGGAGAGAGTCTCAGAACTCGCAATGGACATTTTAGACGATGTTACGGATTACTTGATGTGGCTCTGGACCGAACAAGAATGCCTCAAAGTGCGAGCTCTTCATAAGAGGTTCAGCGACAGCGTCTACCCCGGCCGTCCAATGCCGCCCAAGTATGACCAGGCCCTAGGATCACTCGAGGGGCTGCTTTCCATTTGGATGAATCAGTTTGGAGGTATCGATCGGAAGCTTCGATGTGCGCCTGGGTTCCTCCATTATTCCAAGCGCGTGCGGGTGGACTATCACGGTTCATCGGCAATTGGCGTCAAGCGAGTGCGGGACGTGAACACCAAGGAATCCTTAGAAGGCGACCGACCGACTTGACTGGTGTCTCTCGCATCTAGCAAACCCGCCTGACGCCGACAGGGCTTTTGACCATGCAATGCTCTTTGCGATGCTCCAAAGCCACCTCTCTCAATCGGACAGGAAAGAAGCAGCCCGCGTGGACGCCATGCTCTTACGAAAACTCTCCAATCGATCCGCCTCTCACGAGGCATTGATGTCTATATGGCTACATCGTCCGCGAAATAGATGCCGGGGCGTGGAAGGGATCAAGCAATCCGAACTGGAAACGTGGTGGAAAGTCCAATCACAGACAATGGACGAGGTTACTTTCACGAGGCAGATTTGTGCTAGGATGGTGAAGACTGGCAGATTTATTGAGCAAGGATTCTTCAACGTGAAGCCCCCGACCGGCCCCAAGAACGAAGCGTGGCTGCGGAAGGCTCAGTCACTTCGCTCCGTGGTCGACCAGTTCTGGAAGCTCATAGGGGAAGCTGTGGAGTTCAAATTCATCTCACACTGCCGTTATAAGCTCAGCCAGGAGGAGATCAAGAGCATACTGGACATCACGAACCCCTCCTTGAAGCCTGAATACGCCGCCGCAGTGGCGAGGGAAGAGGCTCAAGTGACGGGGAACGCGGAGAGACAAAGTGCGCCTGTCCCCGACGTATTCATCAACAGGGACGCACAGCCCCAGAGTCTCGGCTTGGAGACCCTTACGATCCGCGAGCCCAAGGTCAAAACTCGTCCGGACAGGGCCGGTGAGATTGACGAGGCCGCCCAAGAGACGGAGAACACTGAAGAAGCGCCGGTCGAACCGGAGCCTGCGAAGATCCCCGTCTCCGAAAGAACGCTCAAGCTCGTCAATCTCATGTATCCGGTCACCGGGGAGCACGAAGGCAAGGATGTGTTGTGGGATGAGCTGGTTCATGCCATGGTTGACGCCGGGTTTGTGGCGAGCAACAACGGCGGATCTGCGGTCCGTTTCGAGATCGGTACTGGGGTGAACGGAGTGGACAGCGGCTCGATCATCTTCCACAAGCCGCACCCTGTGGCCAAGATCGATCCGATCATGCTGCGCAGTATGGGACGACGTATGACGAAGTGGTTCGGCTGGAATCGAGAGCGTTTCGTCGCCAGGTAGTACATAACGGCTGTGATTCTTCGACACTCGCTATATAATGATGTATATTAATGACATAACGGCAAGTGTTGGTATTTTGGCTGCTCTATGTTGCGTGACAGCTGAAAGCAATGAGATGGTATGTCGCTCGTTAGCTTCCTCTGAAAAAGCTCGCTGTTCCAGGGAATCTTTCCTCGTACTATTACGAGATGTATTCAGAACATTAAATGATCATCCCCCCCCGACAAACCACCGCCACTTCCACCCCCGAGGAACGTACTCCAATCCAACTCTGTCAACTGCTCGTCGCACCACCCGAACAAGTCCATCCCGCCGTCCGTGGTCGCAGACGGCGTCCGGATAGTCGACCCCGCGTTCGACCCGCCCTCGACCTCGGCGGTCACGGCCTCGTACAGCGCGGCCACGATGTCCGGGGCCCTGTCGGAGGCGCGCATCCAGGGGCGCATCTCGGCGAAGAGCTCGAGAGCCTTGGTCAAGCTCGCGCACCAGGACTGGACCGTCGCGGGAGGGGTTTCCGGGGAGCTCGCCATGGGGGTCGTGATTGACGTTATCGGAACCGCGGTCGACGTGGCTGAAGTACGTCTTTGCGAGGTGTTTTGCTGGTGGTGTTGGTGCTTTCGGGCCGCGGTCGTGCGGTGGGTTTCGATCGCGACGGAGAGGAGGGGAACCATGCACGCTTGGAAGAGGTACCATGCCGAGTTCCAGACGTGGACACGGTTGGGTGTCCAGTAGAGCGTGATTGCGTCTATGGCTTCCGATGCCACGGAGCGACAGGTTTCTACGAGCGAGATCTCGTCAGACGAGGCAGCTGGGGAATCGGAAGATGCAACGCCGGTATTGCCGCTGCTGCGTTTGAAGCTGTGGTCGTGGGCTAGATATAACAGGAAACAACGGGAGAGGATTAGTCTCACGTTGAGGTAGCGATTCCTCATGAACTCCCGGGCTACCGTCAACCTCGGAGGCGAGTTTGCCGGGTTCTTGAGGAACTCCGGCAGCGCGGTGTGCCAATCTCTCAAATCACGGTCGAAAGACATGGCCTCATGGGCAGAGAGGCGCGCAGGCTGGGCGAAGCGGTGCTGTATTCTGTCGCAAATTTGGCAGAAACGGCAACTAGCCCTCAAAGACTCCGCAACGTAATCTTCCGAGAACAATGGCGTTGGGAGGAGGGTATCCATGGTGCTACTGTCCCAGCGGCCGCAGGTCGGTCTGCCGAGGGTCATGCTGGCCCAGGTGTCGAGGCAAAACAGGCTCCACCACGTCCGGCGGCGGGTCTCGGTGCGGATGCTGTGATGCTGCTGCTGCTGTTCGGACGCGTGCTCCGCCGCGGCGGCCCGGTGGCTACGGACGGGCTCGCGATGGAGGCCGAGGGCGATGGCCATGCGGTGAGCGGCGCCGAGGACCGCGTAGGCCATGTTCGGGGAGTTGCGGTAGTGGAGGTAGTAGCCGCCAAGCAGACACAGAGCTTGTAGGCTTTCCATGTTGCCCGAGCCCAGGGAGTCCAGGCCGAGGTGCGCGCGGGCTTGCTTGTAGTACTGGATGTGGAGGGTGTCGCTTCCCGAGGCGACGGATCCCAGAGTGAAGACCATGTTCAGGAGCCCGAGCCAGGAATCGTCGTGGCGGGTTCCCGATGTGTAGGTCTGACGGAAGTCGTCTTCGTTGAGGATAGGGGTGATGGGATGTACGTGCTCGAAGTAGAACTCGATGCAGCGTTGCTCGCGGAGGGGATTCATACCCGGGCTGGGAGCGCCGAGGATGGATAGAGGCGGTAAGGGTTGTTGGTACTGAGGTAGAGACGATGGCTCAGCCCACGACTTTGCGCGCTGGGCCGTGTGTTCTTTTGCAGCGGGGCAGAGGCGGAAGATGGCTCGTAGAACGGCGCTCATGGACGTGACGCCGAGGTAGGAACGGCGATGCTGGTCTGTTGCGAGGGAGATGGCATTGATGTCGTCGCTGGCGCGGATGATTGCGGCGGGCTGATGAGCTGCCGCCGATTCATCCCATCGCCTGTCGTTCGCGGGCTCGCCGTTCTCGGAGATCTGAGTCGAGTCGTTGGGATCGTTGTCGTCGTCGTCATCGTCCGCGGCGGAGATGTCGGGTGGTGAAGGATCATGTTGCGTATTTGTGTGTGGGAGGCTGTTGAGTGAGTCTCGGGGGACGAGGGCGAGGAGCTGAGCTCTCGTCTTGCCGATGAGGTCCTCGGTGGGTACATCGGGAAAGAGCTCGTAGAGTATGCGTGACTGGGCTTGCAGCTGTTCTGAGGCCTTCTCAAGGGTGCTGGTAATAAGATTAGCATGAGTTTTGAGAATCAATGCCGGGTGAGATGAGTATTGGCATAAGTTATGAGATGAGTGAGACATTACCTCCTGCTCACGGCATGTCGCTTACTCCGCTGCCTGTACTCGCACGTGTCCGCGACCTTGTAGTATTGGCAACTAGCACACGGATGACCGCCGTCGCATTTGACCTTTCTTCGTGTACATTCCTGACACGAGCGGTTCACCTTGCGTGATGGGGTCGACGACGGCCCCATTGCCGAGGCGGCTGAACCGCGGCTGTTGAAGGAGTGGAACATTGTACCGAAGGAGTGGAAGTCACGGTGACTCTCGTCGGCACTTACACGGCGCCCGGCACGCACCCGATGGGACGGTATGCATTTGGGGTATGTGTGCGGAGGCGCGGTGAGACGGAGAGGGGAAGAAGACTGGTGGCAGTTCCGCGAAGGAGATGGAAGAGGAAATGTGGGTTGAGGAATGGACGACGCGAGGAAGATGAGGTGACATTTTCGGAAGGGAAATGAGTGGGAAATTTTGAGAGGAGCGACGCGGGGGAAGTGGAGTGCCAAACATGGGGAAACTGTGGAGTTGAAGGATCTGGATTTTGGACTGGGTTCAGGGTAGATGGACCGGTCTCGGCCGGGATTGCGGAGCGGGGCCGGGCCAACCCGGAGCCGGTTCCCCGGTCGAGTTTTCCTTGATCTGAATCCTGCCGATCCTTCGACTCATGCATAAACAGGGATGACGATGTCGGTTTTCATTGGATACTCTACGAACTACAACGTATTAATATTCGAGAGAATACGAGCTTTAATGCTTCTATGAGACTATGATTAGTCCAGCTCGATCTTGATATGGCCTCTCCCTCGGCTAACGCAGCTGAGCATGTTGTTCTTCTTCTCATCAGGATACAGAGCCGTTCCTTTATGATCGACCTTGCCATCACATACAGTCACCTTACACGCCCCGCAACCGCCCATCTCGCAGAAGAAGGTCATGTCGAAGCCTGCCTCCCGAAGCGTCGTAAGCAAAGACTTGTTTGAGGGCACATCCAGGGTCTCCTTTCGCCCAGACTCGAGCTCGTCGACCTCGACGGTGAACGGATCGCCCTTCGTCCCAGCAGAGTCTGCCCCGAAACTCTCGAAATGCAGCATGTGTTCTGGGTAACCCAGATCCTGCGCTCTCTTCTGAGCCGAGTTCATCAGACCAGTCGGACCGCAGCAGTAGATTCTCGTGGTATATTTGCCGTCCTTGTCAGGACCGGGGATCAATGTGTTCAAGTCGAGTCGATTGTCTTCGGTCTTTGCGTAGAGTGTCACCTTCTCGGAAGGGAAGCGATCCAGGAAAGCAGCCTCCTCGCGGCTACGCGATGCGTAATGCACTTCGTAGTCGATGCCCTGTTCGTCCCATTGAGTAATCTCGGGAAGACAAGACGTGACGCCAATGCCCCCGATAATGATGATCCGTCTGTCGACCAGCTTCTCCTTTATACATCTTTCTTCGTCTTCGATGGCTTTGGGTACTCCTCCGGGAGCCATGGTGATCTTGTCTCCTACTTTGAGTTTTGTGTGCAGGTATTTCGACCCGCCTCTGGAATGATCGTCAAAGGCTACACCGAGACAAAATTGGTTCAGGTCGCCCGACACAATTGAATATGACCGAGAGTATCTTTCACCGTCCGAGCCAAAGTCAATTTGTGCAAACGCAAACCCCTTGAACGCGGCGTCATTTATCGTAAAAGGCTCCCGTAGCTGGAACGTAAACTGTTTGACCCTCGAGGTGATGGGCGTGATATCGACGACTTCGTAACTCTTGGGCGTCGACTGCAGGCGGTTGTTGGCAAAGTCCCGGACCATGCTCGTCACGACGCTCAAGTTGCACAACTCTGCAACCAGAGGAAGAGCGACGTTCTTTCCCTGGATCACGCGCTTGATATTCAAAATGGACCAGCGCGGGTTCGGACGTTCAATCAGTTCAATTGAATCGTCCTCGCAAACCCACCCTGTCTTCTGCACCCGCATATTCCAACCGGGACGCGCCGTACGGTTGACGCGCTTGAGAGCCCGGCCCCATTCGAAGCGGAGGTTCAGCTTGTAGCATGGACTCCGGGGCTCGCTGACCTCGACGACGACGTCCTTGCCGATGCGGAAGATGTCGCCGACGCAGACGTTCTCCTCGTTCATGTTGGTGCCGACGATGTTTTCTCCGAAGGCGCCGTAGTTGAAGAGTTCTGGCTTGGGGGAGTCTTCGCAACGCCAGCTCTCGTAGTGCTCTGAGGCGTATTGATGAAGAGCCCGGTCGGTGCTCCAGTGGATTGGGTAGACGTGCTGGTCTCCGCCAACGCCATTCTCGCTGATGAAGACGGGGCCTTTTTTGACCTCCTTGAAGATGCCTGATGGCTCGGCGACGAGCGTCTTGACCTTTCCTGAGCGGATCTGGAGGATCTTTCCGGGCTTTGGTCTTGGAGCATCGAAGAGCTCGTTGACGGTTTCTTTTGAGATGTTTCTCGTACTCTTCGGCATTATGAAGGTTACGCCGTGGAACTCTCTTTCAGATAATTCAGATATTGTGATGGCGATGGGGTGATATAAAGATGAATTCTGAAGCCTTCGTGAAGAGCATGATGTTCAGGGCATTTCTGCTTCTTATGATCGTTGGGTTGTTTTTAACGCTAACATGAAACGGAATTCCCCTTCTGACGTCGAGAGCGTTGAAATACCGCAGAGCGCGAGTTCAACGGCGCCTTTTGCATACTCGCGAAGACTCCGGCGGCTCGGCGCCGATGTAAGCACCGAAGGTAAAACGCTAAGGGTACTTGCAATAGTTGATCTGCAACACGGCCATGGAACTGCACTAGGCAGGTGAGTAAGTGAGATGACGAAAGTCATCAGTGGCGTCAGATGTTCGGCCCATCTGCGCGAGGAGGGTTATATCCGAAAGCTGTCGTCTGATCTAGCCTCCCGCGCCCTTCGGTCTTGTAGTGACTCTTAGTCCTGTTTGCGTTCCTGAAAGTTCAGAGAGAGCGTTAGATCCGGACAAGCCTTCGTGGCGTCATTCCTAGCGCTGTGTTGTTGGCGCTTATTGCGAACCTGAGAATTCCTCTGACGGGTCGGTATCTACCGCCCAGGTCATTGAAAGACCATGGATCGTTGTCCGCTTGCCGATTATCAGAGACCCAAGTCATGATCTGTTCACCCGATTGACAGTTATCGCATTACTTTTTATCATTACTGCTTTGGATATTCCACATCCCACGAATATGCCCCAGCCACGGACTTCCAACGTGCAGGTGCTTTCGTGACCGTCGTTTCGGATCTTGAATCTCCAGCATGATCGACCGTATCTGCCGCCTCATATGAGTAGCTGAGGGCCGGATCAATAAACTCGCATTGTTCTGAGTATTCCAGAGTGAAAGGGCTGCTCCTCGAGATATGGGGTTAGATTCTTACTTTTCGGGTCATGGCGGATGCAGACAACTTACGTGTTGAAGGAACTGGGCCGCCTCATGGGCGCGCTGCTTATGATGACGAACTCTGTGCGTAGATCGATCCCGCCGTCCGTCCTGCGTTGGTAGAATGCCACTTCTTTACCGTTCACCGTCTGCCCGTTGATAATCCTCTGCTCAGTGTCGGAATCCATGGACACATCCAGAACCCTCCTATCTTTTGGTGGCCATGACACCGTGGGAATGCTGAGGGGTTGGCCATAGCCGTCTATAGAGATGCTATGCTCTATCTCGACCATCCTGCGTGCCACAGCTATGAGAGTGTCCTTCTCCCATAGATTCTCCCGCGGGAGGCCTAGCAAAGGCATCATTTGCAAGATCTGCAGTCTTGTTTCCAGATGTCTGCAAGTTGCCACAATAGAGAACAACATTGGCATGAACCCGGTTTCAAAAACGAACTTCGGACACTGCGCGGAGCGGTTTTGCAGCCAAGCATGATGCAAAGGGTCTGACACCACCGAGTTGAGCACCTTGGCCACTCGCTTGAAGTTGTTCACGAACTGGTCAAATCCGCATTCGTCTCCGCAGAGTGCGAGATTCAGCCATACCCTGCAGCATTCGTAACGAGTTACCAGGAATCCATGGAGCATTTTTGCAGGGTATCGCAAGTTTTCAGTCGTTGGCGGTGCTGAGCTGTGAAGCATTTGCTGATTGAAGGCGGCAAATAGGTCCCGCCAAACGTCTAGCAGGTAATTGATTCGATGCCTGTCCTCAATGATGCTTTCACAGACCGGGTCGCCCCGCCGAGGCCCGGAACGGTACGGATCGCACCGTTTCAGTAACTGGAACGTCCGATTGTAAATGTCGTCTATCATGAGCTGTGCTTCGTGATATGTTGAGAAATAGGCCGGGATGGGACGCTCTAAACCCGTGTTATCTGGGCAATCTGACTTTTCGCCGAAAAAGAAAGACAACTCAATGAGTCGTCGGAAGAGTGGAAGAAGGTGTTCCTCCGTCCAAGGGAACTGGCGTCCTATGCTCCGTAATATGGCAACGCCGTGCGTGCAGTGCCTCACTGCGGCTTTTCGATTTGCTTGTAGAAATTCGATACAAATAAACAAGACGCAGACGATGAGCACGACCGGCTGTTTTTCCCAAGACGTGATGGCTTTCAACTCGTGGATGGCGGCGTTATAATGTTGTAAAGCAAACCGCTGATCTTGTTGTTGCGTTCCCGCCTGGCTGTAGCCCTCACTGTGCTCGTAAAGATTGCTGATGGCCACCAGCGAGTGCCGAACGGACGGCTCGAACGTGCTGAACTGCATGACAATATGCGTCCAGAAGTAAGGATCCACGGCACCCGAGAGAAAAGGGCTCACAGTCTCGCAAAAGTACTGCAATGCCCGACCCTCCTCATCGCTTGAGATGTTGACTCCGGGAAACACGCGATAGGCGTAATTTGCTGGTACTCTCAGGCTCGTCGTGGGCGGTGGTTTTTCGGGTAGAGTCTGATAGCCATCGCACTTTCGCCCGGTAGTAATGCAGCGATTGCACGCTGGTTTGGTTTCATCGCACTTTACTTTGCGAATTCTGATGAGTGTCAGATCGGGTCCGCCGATGCGTACGTACGGGTAAGGCTGTTGGTTGGTGCCGTGCCGTAACCGACATATCCCTGACTTACTTGCAGGTGATGCATCCCGTCCGAACTTTGCGGCTGCCTTTCCGAGCCATGGAGGCCGCTAAATTGGGCTTCAGCGATGAGAGAACTTTGGTTTTCGTGAGTTGCCAAGTCAATCTGTCACAAACAAATGTGTTTTCTTTGTTTCACTTCAATCGCCAATGAGAGAACCGTCGAGTTGATTGATCGGTGTGTGGTGGGAAAACATGGGAGTCTGAGCGCAAGGTGTTTAAGGTAAAATGCGGGTGACGGGGCGAGATCTTATCTGATCCACTCATCTGTTGAATAAGTGGGACTCGCAAGGGGTGGTGCGATCGAGCCAATGTGAGGGCGCTGTTAAAATGTTGCCTATTCCCAATTACCTCGCGAGATTTGCGTTGCACTGCCCGTTGTTACTTCGCTTGACAAGATCACTGCATTCCACGTGATACATCCATCTATGTTTAGCTATGGCAGGTAGGCGGCAAGTCCCAACGACCAAGTATTCAACTTCCCTTGTAACCATGTTCAACATATTTTCGAAGCGCCATACTCAGGTATATCATCCATATCAGGCAACCATGGTATTCAGTCGCAGAAATACGAAGACACAATTGTCCCACAAACTGGTGATATAATGCAGAATGAGAGCTTATGAGGACGGTTTTCCGGCTCTTCGGAGGTCTTCCATCGAACTCCGAGAGACGTCGCATTGTACCCACAAGTTAATGGCCCCCAGCGTCGATTGAGAGCATGGATATCTGGCGTTGACAATCCCACATGTTTCAACAGCGCTCATAACACGGCATTGATATCAAAACTGAACTTCCATAACATTCAGTTTGATCATCAGAAGGTTTCAGCCGCGGTTCACTTGCTATCATCCGCAAAGGTTATTTCTCAGAGCTGGTACCGGCTATTGATTGAATGGGGATGGCTAAGATTAGTGCTAGAGTTATGACCTCTTCCATAATACTCTTTCCCGCAAAAGTCTTCTTTCGCCAGAGCTATCAGCCCCGAGATCAAATCCTTTCTGGTAGGCTTTGATGGCGCCAATAGTTTGCACCACTGCAGCCAGTAGCGATAGCACGCTGATTACCATGCCAAAATTTGGCATCATTACAAGCCCTAAAGGCTCGTGTGACGCTGAAAATCGTAAGACCATGTGACCAAGATAAGCAAAGCACACAAACTTACATGTAATAGAAGCTTCGACATAATATTTGTCATTGACTGTGGTCTGTCGCGTGGAAGACCAAAGCTTTCCAACTTTTAGAAAGATTTGAGTTGCCAAGGGCAGAGCGCCCAAGAGCCTCCACCGACTGCGCAAGGTGGCGCACAGGATCGCTAGTGAGATCGAAAATGTGGTTGCTTCGAGAGGATCTGAGGGCCCCATTACCTTGAAAAGTCCATGTATACGGTCGGAACTCATAGAGAGAACCGAAGCTCCTAAGCTCAGGATGGAGACGCGAATACTCAACAGCATCACTTCGATGATCACATTCCGCGTATCATGTGATTTGTGCCTAGCAGACTCAACAGCGGTAATTAGAGCTCTGTGTTCGGCGTCGTTCTTGAAATACTCCATCCTTTCACGGCGCTTGGCCTTGCTCTTGTAGGTCATAACAGTTCGTGCACTGCCGCGTGCTGAGATTCGCTGCCTTCTCAAGGATTGGATGATGTATCGAATGCTCAATTCCATGAGGAAGAGGAAAATGATCTTGCCGAGTTCCGCACTGTAGAAACACTGACGCGAATCGGGCCCAATGTTACAAGTAACCAAGGCAAAGATCAGAGTATAGGTGAACAGTCCAACGACGACAACACTGCCGTAGCGGCTAGGAGCCGCTGCAGTTTTTGAATGTCCTAATTCATCTTTCATGCTTTGCATGCTGCGAGACTCGCGTTGAAGGCGTTCTAGGCGATGGCGGTGCGAAGGAATCTCCGAGTATTCGCCTTCAAAAAGCCCTCGCTGGCCAGAACTTTCAACCTCAAAGTACTTTTGGGGTCGCCTGCCTATGAAGATTTTTGAAAGCTCGTATCTCGGAAATATACTTGGGAATGCGTCGGCTTGGAACTCCTTCGCATTAGAGGCCTCGAGCCCATATCGGGGTTTCCTATGCTGGAATAAACCAACACACAAAGTTGGCAGGTTGAGAGCTTGCTCTATGTCCGTTTGGATCTGATTGAAAGGCACTATGTAGCCACAATTCGACGATCGAGCGGTCAAAACCCCAAGGAGAGCATTGTCGCTCTTGCGGACAGCCCATGAACCCGAATCGCCGGCCTGGAAATCTGCGAATCTCATTAGCTCTCAGTGAAACAGAGACGGCATCTAGTCACTCACTGTCATCACCAAGATCCAGAGCCCACACTTCTTGCAGTTTGCGGGACCATGAGAGTATGAACTTCCGTCTTTTGGACAGTCGGGCATGCTTTAGTCCACTTTTTCCAGCAGCCACCCAGGCATCCTGATGTCCAGAAAAGACACTGGAATCCAACGGGACATAGTCGTTCACGAAGTGTGAATGATCGCCATCAATGATGATATTTGGGCGTCGAAAGTCAGGCTCAACCAAAACGAGACGCCAATCTTCAATATCAATGACATCGTCCGGAGACAGAGGAACTTCGACCTTCCCTCGACGCTCTGATGGGGTTTGCTGTGGCGAACTCTTCTCTTGGGATGAGTGATTAGAAGTAAGAGCGTATGTCTCATCCTGGAGCGCTATCAATCCACCGACGGTGGAAATAAGCTGGGAGTCATCCTCAAGATTGAACAACATCAGCGTCCCGCAGTAGGTAATATCCTGACGCGCTTCGATAGTGCATGTACCCAACGCTGCTGAAGGAAGGATAGACTCTTTGATGTAACACAATCTCAACGGCTCGTAGAAAGACTTGTTCTTAGACAACAACTCGTCGAACATTTTGATGTCGTCCATGTCTTCCAGGCCAATGATACATATGTAAGTCTGAGCGTTGCGGTCTCCAGGTGGACAGGCGTACACTAAGTCTGTTGTCAAAGGAGGTAGACTTGCCCCAAAGCTGGCGAGAATAGACAGTTTGTGATGGTCCAGAGCATGGATGAAATGATCGTTGATATCCATTTCTTCTTCAGAGAAGTCGTGGCCTGGTATCGTGTAGGCTATCTTGAATTTTCGAAGAAGCCTGGGTCCGGATCCAATCCTGATCTCCTTGGGCCCAGAGAATGGCTCAGATACCAATGGTAAAGGCTCCGGTATGGAAGCTGCATCATCATCCGTGTCCGGTGGAGTATGTTCAGAAGCTGATAGTGTTTGAGTGAAAGATCCAAGAGTGTCTGTCGTGGTCGACACTACTTCACACTGTGAACTCGAAGAAGATATGTCCGCTTGATTTTCTGTATCAATCGTCTGCCTCTCAAGTCCTAGGGCAGTATCCCTAGCCACTGATGCATCAGTGATGGGAGATGTCGGTTCACGTCTCGGCGTTTGAGACTCATCCTCCGGAGAGCTACCGAGCCGAACAGTCGCCTCAGTTTCCAGGTCATCTGAAGACTCTTCGTCTAGCGACAACGGAAGCGAAATGGTACTAGTGGAACTCAAAAAAGAGTTGCGTCTAGCGAGCGTAATTTCCTCAGGCTTGCTGACGACACCTGAAGCCTTTGCGATCTCTTTTGTGAGAATTGCTACTGCGATTGCATGTGCAAGAACTGTTTTGAAAGCGTAGACTTCAGCAGCTGTCAAACGAGACACCAATGTCTGTTTTTTTCCATCGGCCACTCGTAAAAAGACTGCTTGTTCGCATAGAACATGCCCCTTCTTGGTATTCATAAGCGGCAGCCACCGGTGATATCCGCGATACGCAACCAGCAGTAGGCTGCCAACGATAAAGAATATGCGCTGAAATTGAGGAGAATTAACGACAGTGTCAATATGTAGATAAGAAATATATGACTGGTAGGTGTTGTCAGACTTGCAAAGCTGAAGCTTGCTGCAAAGAACGTCTCGCCAAGAGAACCGCGATAGTAGCTCTTCCATCTCGGCTTCAGGGTAAACAAACATATGGAGAAGTAATGGTATCAAAAGAAATGTAAGACACTGTCCGAATGCAAAAGATGTGAAGAGAAGAAGTTTTCCGGAGCGCGTAGGTCGGGGGGACTGTGCTGACCCCTCATGAGAGCCTTGCGCTTAGCTTGGGCTGTGCCTCAGAGTGAAGAATCTCTCCTATCAAAACTGCCGCTGTTCTGGTGGAGGCTCAGCAGCTTAGAACGAGCCAACCATGGCATGCGAACTTCGAGACTTGGAGACTTGGGGTTACACGGCAGGCATGAGCCACTCGCTAGTCCGCCTTGCCATCTGATGGATGGAGAATCAGTGGTATTTCAACCACTTGGTCTTGTAGGGAGCCAGACAACAAATACAGTAGATTGATATTGAAAGTTTCAAGGAACTTACTTCGCAGTCAAGACTTGCACAATGTCGGCAGAACCTATTCAAGACATAATCGCAGACTTCATTTGGGGACCCGAGGAAGGCGATCGACAAAGGCTTCTCTCAAAATTCTTGGCACAATGCGCACATGAGCGATACGTTCTGAGCAAGAAGAAGCCTCAAGCCGACGCCAATATTCAAAGCATCATTAACAGCATCAAGTCAACACCCTCACTTGCAAAATCGGCCATCATATCGGCACATTCGGAAACTGGAGAGCAATCAACCATCGACTGCGTTGTGCGCATGATGTTCATGACCGCCACGAAGACAGATTACACTGCATTTGGAGGTTTCGTCACCGTACAATGGCGAAAAGACGAAACTATTGTCGACTATTTGGATCGAGTGTACCCACGGCTACCTGTGGGTGGTCAACAGGAGCAGCCTGTGAACACCAGGCACCTGAGAGCCAATGTTCTCATGAGCCAAGCAGGGATTCGAATCAAACCTACCGATAAGCTGTCAGACCACCTGTATCTCATATATGGAGAGGACTTCAAGACCCTCCTGGTCTTCTCCCACCGCTCGTTTCTCGAATACAGCCTCAAAAAGTTGCGGGCTGATAGCATTGATTTGGAACACTCAACAGCAGAGGCTGTGGTATGGTGAGTATAAAGTTCAAGCTTTCAAACAGTACCGTAACAACTGAAAGCTGACATGCGTTGAATAGTGGCTGCTTGCCCCCGAAACTAATCATCGAGACATTGCGGACCCTAGATTTCTTGTTTCCCCCCTTTGGGGACAAGAAATCGAAAAAGTTCCTGAACAAATGGGTTAATGATGGAAAACTGGACAGCAGTCTGCTGAATGGTGCCGCATATATCTCAGAAGAAGGACAGCCTCCCAAAGACCTGCTCGGATTATACGAGCAATACCCGTACTGGGGCCGACGCTTGACCAGGCTACTGAGGGAGGTTGAGGACCCAACTCCGATTACCTGGTGGCAGAGATACACGGAACGCGGGAGATCTCCACGAAGAATGTTCGAATGCGCGGTTGCCGCACTGATTGTCACGGCTTTCTCTGCTTTTGTGGCAACAGCACTGGCAGCAGTTCAAGTTTGGGTCGCGTATTGCGATTGGGATGGCGCACCGTCGAGGTCTTGGTGTACCACGAAGTAGAGATGCGCATCTTTGGGAATCCAGTGATGAAACTGAATAACTTCATCAAACATTACGTGTGGAAGAAGTGCAGCGCCAAGCTGCTAGCCGTAAGAACATATACTCGATTTTAGGCGACTCGCCCTATCAAGTCCTAGATCTTGATACCAGTAACCTCCTCACACGCCTTCACAACCTTCTCTTGCAGAGCAACATCGCCAGTGATAGGAATCGGCTCACCGAGTTGCCTCTTGGGGTCAAAATACTTTCCAGTCAAGCTCTGATCATAGTCACCCTCAGCCAGCATGACATAAGTCTCAACGCCATCCTCCAACTTATCCGTGGCAGAATCACCGCCAAGCTTGGTAGCAACCCAGCCAGGGTGCACGGAGATGACCGACGTGCCCTCGTACCTCCTCGCGAAGGCGTTCGCCATGAGGATCACATGGAACTTGGAATCGCAGTAGGCCGGGAAGTCCTGGAACGCCGCCTCGCCACGCTTAAACCAGAAGATATCGTCCGCGCTGGTATCCGCCTGGCGATGCAGCGTAGACGCGATGAAGATCAGCCTCTTGGGCCTGTTCATCAGGCTCGCGAGGACGTAGGGCGCCAGGACGTTGACGGCGGCGATGGCTGGGACGCCGGTATCGGCGGTCTTGCGGAACGGGCCGTGCATCATGCCGGCGTTGTGGATGACGGCGTCGAAGGTGCCGGCGGCGTTGGCCTCCTCGGCCAGCTTCTTCATCTCGGCGAGCTTGGAGAGGTCGGCGACGAAAACGCCGGCGGCGCCGGGGCACGCGGCCTTGGCTTCTTCGGCGCGCTGCTGGCTGCGGGCGTGGAGGTAGACGCTGTGCTTCTTCTGGACGAGCTGGCGGGCGGCTTCGAGGCCGAGGCCGTCTGCGGAGCCGGTGATGAGGATGCGGGCCATGATTTGAGGTGTGGTGTTGTTGGTGATGAAGAAGGTTTTGGTGTAGTTTCAACTTGTCTTGATCTATCTATGAGTTCAGACGTTCACATATTCACATCGGGACTACGACTGAGGGTATTGACGGCCCGGGGCTTTAAAGGTGTAAATCCCTGCGGGACCAAGTGGGCACGTTTGCGACTAAGTCCGTAAACCCGCTCCTTGGAAAGAGCGAGAACGACGCGAGGACGAACGTTGGTTCATCTGAGAGTCTGACTCGACGACTCGTAGCGTCTGGGCAACCCCTCTACACCTCAACGGAACGCCCCGGGATCGATAAGATTGAGGCGAGTTACGCCGTGGAAGATCGCTTACATAGCTTCTCGACCTCGATAACAAATATGTGTTTTCCACTCTGTAGTGCGATGTAGATATCAGATGGCCGAAACTCGTGAGAAGGGTAGGTTAGCGTTACGTTTTCTAAACTCAGAGTGGGTTCTAGTTGACGAACATGCTTAGCAATCATCTATGGAGGGGCGACTTTGACGGAGTTAGGAACAGTCGAATTGCGACCGGACATGTCGAATAACGAAGATGCGAAATAATGGGCTGGAATAGTGGCTCTTGCTATGTCGGAGTGGTTCGAGCAAAGTAGGATAAGAATGCCCACTGATCCTAGCTCGTGTCATTGTCAGTTTCGCCGGAGACACCCTAACCCGCCTTGAGGTGATGGACGGGCTAGTCTTTCCATTCGCCATTAACCAAGGCGACGAGTATCTGAAAGGGCATGATCGGATCGATCTCGAGCCACCTTGGATATGTCGGTTCAATTTGGCGCATTGGGCAGAGCGAGAACGGACGGCCAAGTGCGACTTTCGCCGTGTTGCAGAGGAGTCGGAAAACCGCTCAATGACACCGGAGTCAGATTCAAACATCGCTTTTTGATTAGATCGTGGGAGACAATATCCCGACAACACACTATATAGACACGCCCTATTTCTTCTTTGAAGGACGGGCATTCTTCTCCATCTTCTTCTGCTTCTCCCATCTCGCCTTCCGGATATCTTCAGCGCCCTTGAGCTCCTTTCTGCTACCAGCACCGTCCTTGAACTGTCCAATTCTCTTCTCCTTCGCCTCTGCGATTCTCTTCTTGCGCACCTCGTAGTCGTCGCGGTACTTGTCGGCCTGCTTCGGCGCCTTCTCCAGCTTATGCTTGTACCGCGGTCCAGACTGCTCCTGGGCCCCGACGTTCGGCCTTTCCATGCCACCGACCTGTATGCGTCCGAGCCTGTTGGCCTTGCGCCACTTATCGAAGCGTCCGCTCTGGAACGTGGAGGCGATCTTGACACCCGACTCGCCGCGGATGAACTTCTTGCCCTTGGATCCGTCCTCGTCGTTGGCGCGCGAGACGTACTTGTTCTGCTTCTTGTCCCAGCGCTTGCCGAGGGTCCTCGTCGGCTCGCCGAAGCCCTTGGCCGTCTCGTCGTTTGTGAGGTCCATGGTCGCATCACGCGCGGCTTCGATGAAGCTGGACGTTTGGGCGCCGGTGCTGATTCCGTAGCCGCGTTCTTCGGCGGCGTTGATTGTGCGGGGGGTGTAGGACATGAAGACCTCTTCGTCGCGCCATGATGTGGGCTTCTTCTTCTTTTCGCTGTTGTCGGTGATTGTGACTTCGAGACCGTCGTTGTCGTCGGAGTCGTCGGAATTGTAGACTTGCATGGCGTCTCCTTTGTCGTCCTCTGAGGCGTCATCCTCATCGTCATATGCCTCTCCACCACCGACGCCTCCCATTTCGTCATCGGAATCGACCTCTTCCTTTTTGTTGCCGCGGTGAGGCTTGATGCGTTTTCGCAGTTGCTTCATCATTTCCGCCGCCTCGCTGTTGGACCCCTTGCCTCCTCTTCCAATCTCGAAGATGGTCTCAGCTGGTCTGAAACCGCTAATCTTGGCCATCATCTCGTTACGGGCCTGCTCGGCGTTGTTGGCGTCAGTGCCGAATAGGGGATGTAATTCGTTCCAACCCTTAGATCCGACAATCTCACGCGCACGCTTCGCACTCTGAGAAGATGCTGAGTGACGGGTCTTCAGGTACAGCTTCTCGGCCTTGGTAGAGACCTTGCGGAGGGCCTCGATATCGACCTCCTCCTTCAACACCTTGCTCATCCACTCCATATTGATTTCAATCCTGTCACGGGAAAGGCCGCCGACGACGACGTCCTCAGAGAAGGAAGGCTTTTCTGATCCGTGACCAACAACCAACTTACGGCCAAGGAAGAGCTGGAGGTCCAGCATGTAAGGGGTGTCGAGCTCGCGAACAATGCTATAAGCCCAACCTCTCTGACCGGCACGAGCCGTACGTCCGACACGATGGACGAAGACCTTGGGTTGCGGGGGGAAGTCGTAGTTGATGACGTTGGCCAACACAGGAATATCGATACCTCTGGCAGCGACATCCGTGACCACCAGGATGTTTGCGCGTCCTTGGCGGAAGTTTTCTGTGTGAATCCTACGCGCTTCTTGATCCAAGGAACCATATACGTAAGACGTCGCAAATCCAGCCTTTGTAAGCAGCTGCGCCAAGTATTCGACATGGTGCTTGGTGGCGGCGAAGATGATAGTGGAGTGCTCTGTGGGCTTGCCCTTTCCATCTCCCTCGCCGCGTTTCCTCTTCTTCGATTGCGCAATATCCAGAGGCACTCCATCAGGGGTGCCCATGGGCATTTTGATAACGTCGTGCAGAATGTGCAACAGTGCGGCCTCCTTCTCGGCACCCTTGACCGAGAAGAAAGCACTCTCGAGGTCGGGAGAAACCTTTGTCTCAGCGTCCAGTCTGACTAGACTAGGGTCCTGCAGACCAGCCCTGGCAAACTCAACCAAGGAAGCTGGAAGAGTAGCAGAGAAGAGCAAACTCTGCCTCGACGGCGGGAGGGCGTGGAGAATTTCGGTAAGCTGGGCAGCGAAACCCATTTCGAAAAGACGATCGGCTTCGTCAAACACGACGTACTTGATCGAAGACAAATCCAGACCCATTTCGACCTTGAGATGGAGGAAACGACCAGGTGTGGCAATAACAATATCAGGGTTCGAGGACATGAAGCCGAACTGCTCCTCCATGCTGTCACCACCAACGAGCAGGACGCACTTCAGATCCGTACCCTTGCTGAACTCTTTGACAACCTTCAAGGTCTGGAGAGCCAATTCACGAGAAGGCGACAGAATCAGCGCGCGGGTGCCGATCTTGGCGCTGTGGGCGCGGAGGCGCTCGATCATGGGGATGACGAAGGCCGCAGTCTTTCCGGAACCGGTTCGGGCCATGCCCACGACATCTTTGCGATCGAGGATCAAAGGAATAGTCTTTCGTTGAATCGGAGTAGGCACGGAGAAACCCTTTTTCGTGATCGCGCGGAGGAGGTTTGCGTTCAGACCTGCCGACTCGTTAGCATATGTTGCGATAGAAGCTTCACCAGATCACATACCCATGGCCTGGAAACCACCGCCCTTCTTGACCGATTTGCCCTTCAGGTTGGAGGACTTGCGGAACGAAGCAGCCTGCTGCAGCGCGATGAAAGCCGCGTCACCGTCATCGTCGCCCTGCTCCTCGTTTCCACCGTTCAGAATGCCGTCAACGTCAAAGTCGAAGCCCGCATCCTGCCCGCCTTCGCTTCCGTTGTCGTCGGCGTTGGTGTTGAAAAGAGAGTCCGCAATGTCGACTTCACCGTCGGACGGCGTCGGAGAAGCTGCGCGACGAGGCATCTTGACCAATATGCGACAAGTGGTGTGCGGACTTGTCAATTGGTCTGGTCTGTTATGGGAAAAAAGGCCAGGTGAAGCAGCAGTCCAAGAGCTGGCGGACGAGACCCATCGAAAATTTGGCGGGCGAGAACGAGAAATTTCTTATCGCTATCTTATCTCTTCTCGTGGGGCTAGCCTTATCGACAAGGATCTTTAGCGGGTCAATGTGGCTGTCGCACGCGAGCCGCCTCGTGCCTTAACCTCTTCCACTACCAACCTACTTTCAAAGCCGTAGCTGTCGCCCACTTCCATCGTAACCGCGTCTTTCCGATTTCCAGTACCAACGGCTGAAGAACGCATTCATCATGTCGAACGGAGACGTAAAAGAAGAGAAGGATGCGCTCGACGCGCTCGAGCTCGAGGCGAAGGAGTTCGACAAGGTGCGCCACACCAGGAAACACCTCCCTGAGCACCGCGACAACAGCTAACAAGATGCCACACACAGGACGCAGAGATCGACAGAATCCTCAAGGCTTTCAGATTAGACGCCTACGCCGTTCTCGATCTCCAGCCCGGTGTCCCCGAATCCGACATCAAGATCTGCTACCGCAAGAAGTCCCTCCTCATCCATCCGGACAAGACCAAGAACCCGCTGGCCCCCGATGCCTTCGACCGCCTGAAGAAGGCGCAGACAGAACTGATGGACGAAAAGCATCGTGAGCGCCTCGATGAGGCCATCGCCGACGCGCGCATGCTCCTCATTCGTGAGAACAAGTGGACCGTCGATAGCCCCGAGCTCAAGACGGACGAGTTCGCCAAGAAGTGGCGCGACAAGGCGCGTGAGGTGTTGATCGACAACGAGCATCGCCGACGCCGGCAGATGAAGGCGCAGATGCAGGAGGAGGGCAGAGAGCAGAAGAAGCAAGACGATGAGACTGAGCAGCGGAAGCGCAAGAGGCAGCACGAGCAGGACTGGGAGGCCACGAGAGACCAGCGGATCAGCAGCTGGCGGGATTTCCAAAAGGGCAAGTCTGACGGCAAGAAGAAGAAGAAGATGAAGCCCATCGGTTGAATTTTTCTTCTGCGCGGCATTTTTACTTGTTTTGGAGGGGTTCCCCAGGGGCGACTGGGTGGTGTTTTGGGGATTCATTATAATAACTACACAGGTCTCGGCCACGGATACACGGTTGCATGCAAGCATATGGCACGGTTACATAAAGAGCCAGTGAGTTTGTTATTGAAAACCGCGGTTATGTCCCTAACTATGTCAGAAGTGCCATGCCCTATGTCCCCAAAACCTTTTATACGCTTTTGGCAAACCATATCTAGTCAGGTAAGCACCCATCCTTCCTCTTCATTGCGTCGTGGTATGCCCGCCTTGTGTGATTCCAAATCATGTGCTTTTCATGCATGTGCGCCACCGATCAGCGGCGCCTCTTATATGTCCAATTCCGCGCCTTCATAGGTTTTATCGTTGGTCTCTACTGGGGCTGGTTCTTCTTTTTGTACGAGATGAAGCGCGCCAGGTTCAGAACAACCTCGTCAGCACGCGACCTCAGTTCCGGCAGCGTCCTCTTGTCGACAGTCTTGATCAGGGCCTTCACCTTGGGCTGAGCCGCCTCGAGATGTTGCATGAAGTTGTCCTTCCAGAAGACTTCCTTGTCGCAAGGCACGTCTTCGTCTCCGTAGATGTCAAACAGCTGGTTGAGAGCCTCGACCGCATCGGCGGCCGGGGTCTCAGGCAGCGACGTAACGACGGTGATGAGGAAAACACCGATCTCCCGGTTCAGCGCGACGGGGGCAGGATGACGCGCAAGCTGGCCCAGAACGCCGATGCACTTGACTCCGAGGCCCTGGAAGGGGTCTTCTGGCTCCTCGTCCTTGGCCTTCTCGCCGTTTGTTGCCTTTGTCTCTTTCTTGGGGAGGCTCTTGGTCGCATGGTAAAGCGCCATGAACTTCTGGTGTTCATCGCCGTTGAGGGACAAGCGACGAGGCAGGCTGCGGGAAACAGCCCAAGCCAGGCTGGTGACTTGAGTGGCCAGATCCACATCGGCAGTGTTGGCTGCCAGGATAGGAACAATGACCTTGCCCCAGACGGCCTTACCCGACGGCGTCCATGCCTTGAGGATGCCAGCGTTGTGGTCATCTGAAAAGTCGAAGACGGAAATGGACCAGGAAATGTTGTTGAGGGCGGAGAGAGCGTGGCCTTGGAGTCTCAGGGCATCTTCGGATTGTGCGGATGTCGTCGCGAGCTCGATAAGTTGTGGGATAGCGTCTTGTATCAGCTCGCGCAGGGTCGGCAAGTCGTCCAAGTTTGATTCCTCGTCGACGTCGTCATCGGCACCGGTCACCATTGCCATGTCGGCCATATCGTCTTCGTCCATCGAGTCGTCATCGTCACCAGCGTCAACGTTATCTTCCTCTCCGGAAGCCTTCTCCTCGTCGTCCTCATCCATTGCGGTGTCGTCTCCAATTCCGTTCCATTCTTCCTCCTTCTTGTTATCCCTCTGCATAGATACTTGCAGAGTCGTGCCGATATCAGCAAGGATTTCCAACGCGAGCTGAAGAACCTCAGTCGGGTTAGACCATTGGCTCTTGGGAGGCAAGTCAGCCTCGGGCGTTGTGCCCTTAAGCGCCGAAGATAATGTCGGGATCAGAACGGCATCGGACAGGCTCTTCTGCTCGGGCGTGCCCTCGAACCATTCCAGAGTGGTAAAAATGTTATGCAGGACACCGCAGGCCAAAACCCCCTTGGCACCAGGAGTTTCCCGCAGCTTGGTCAGAGCCGTCAACGGCTTGGGGCTTTCATCGGCGGCGACGTCTTGTGCCAGGCGGCGGTTGTCCTCCGAAAGAGTGAGAAGCGCAGCCAGTGCATCGAGGCAAATGCTTGACGGTGAGTCTGTGTGGGCGACGACGTGGAAGAGGAGGTTCTTAATACCCTCAACACCAACGATAGCTTCAAGAATCTCATCCTGAGCCTCAGCGAGAGCAGAAAGAAGGGCAATGACAGACTCGGCAATGTCCCAAGTCACCTTGATCTCGCCCTTGCTAAGAGAGGAGCTCTTGGTCAAGTTCTCCAAAATCTGGTGGCTGTCAGTAAGGACGTTGTACGAGTGAGACTTGTAGGAAACACGACTCACAGCTTGGGAGGCAAAACCAATAGCACTCAAGACATCTTGACGGTACAAGTGGATGCAGAAGTCGGCCTCTTCCTCTTCGGCAATGACTCTCAAAATGTCCCAGCCGGCAGCGCGGCTCTCGATATTTGAGTCAGTCAGTGTCTCATTCAGGACGATGTGAACGATCTGCTCGCGCAGCAGCAATTTCCGACACTTCTCATCCGCAACGATGTTAGAGACGGCAGCGGCGGCTGCGGTACGGGACTTGGGGTCGGAGCTCTTGAGGTCGCTTATGACGGGAAGAATGGACTTTTCTCTGAGAGCGGCCAGTTCGGGGTCGGATGGCGGCTTGATGGTTTTGGCGATGGGGTCCTTGCGATGGCTCTGGCCGCCTCTGTTTCGTCTGGACTTTGCCATGGTGGTAGATTTGAGTTGGATGGGCTGTGATGATTATTCGTGTCAGACCGTGAACAGTGTCTTGAAAAGAAATAAATGTTTTCAAGTGAGATTCTTCTATGTCGGTGTATTTTCGTCGTCACCGACCTCTAAATCACCCCGCCGTCTGCACCAAAGAAAAAAAAATTCAGAAAAACCGTTGCTCGGGGCAGCCACAATGTGGCTCGAGTGTCTCTCTGCCCCGCAGCTCCACCGAGATGCCCGGATGATGACTGAGATGAGAGACGGGACTGGACTGAGTCGGTGGAGGTATCTCTCCCCGCTTGCCGCAGGCCGCACCACACTAAATTCAGGAACGGTACATTGTGCTCCAGCTCCAGCTCCAACTCCAGCTTCCCTCCTTTGACCTGGACCGTCCACATTTCACTGACACGAGCGATCTCAAATCCTCGAGGCTGATTTGCAGTGCAACAAGCAACACCGCTGTGAGGTCACTGCCCATTGCTGCCATTTTTGGATGACCTGACCGGCCATTCGCCAAGCCGAGCAGACATCTGCTGGCCCCAATGGAAGCACAGTCTCGACGGGCACAAGATCCCGCTCCGCTCCCGTACCCCAGACCCTTTGCAGAATAATCAGCAGGGAGCTTATTTTCTCCTCTGTTAACGCCACCTTTGACGATTTACCTACCCCAAGAACACGACACTACGTACAAGACCACACCGGATCGTCTTCTGTCGCATGAGCCACGCTGCGCACATCATCCAGTCCTCATCGAAGCTCCCGTCCGGACAAGCTCCACGGATCCACCAACGCAACCCGCAAACCTGCAGCACGACACACGAGCTTGCACAGCCCAGCCCACGGCGCAAGGAGCCAGGAGCAGGGAGCAGGGAAAAGCAACCCTGTTAAGTGCGCAATTGCCGGCTCCAGGGAAGTTGGAAAGGACGGCCAAGGAGTCAAGGGACTGGCCAAGGACCACTTCTTGTTTCCAGTTCCACCTGTCCAGTTCAGTCCGAACCCGAACTGACTGAGGTGCTGTGTCCAACTGTCCTCCTTCTTGGACTCTTGGAGCTCTCCATTGAAGTACCTCGCCTTCACTCGCATCTACGTTGACGAGAAAGATGTGAGACGCCCGACCCTCGGATCCCCCTCCCTTGCAGCACCCAGTCCTTACAGTCAATCTGTTATCGACGCTTGACTTTCACTTCTTCTTTGCCCTCTTGTCTTTCCTTTTCCCCTGTCGCTGTTTCGCGCTACCTTACAAGTTAGAGAAGTATGCCGGACCCATGGCGCCAGCTACGCTCCTTCGTTTTCCTCAGCGATGAAGAGATGGGAAAGAAGGATGACGACCACAACCGCGGCAGCGCCAACGGAAACCCCATGCTGCTACGAAACCGAAATCCCCAATGGCAACCCGCCGCCAAGATGCCATCCCGCCGCCTCTTCCGACGCATCGCATACCTCTTCATCATCGCCGGAGCCCTTTGGTACTTTCTAGGCGACCTCTCCTTCAGCTTTGGCGAGCGACGCCCCAACTACATCTACCCATACACCGACGGTTCTCGAGACCACATACCAAACCCGATCCGCGATGGTCCTCACCGACTCAGTGGCGGTCGCAAAGCCAAACCCGGCACGCCTATGCCCTCAATCTCCGAGCATGACTACAACGGCCCGGTCAAGTTCCACCGTCTTGCGTCGTCGCTGCATGCGATTGCCGCGACGAAGGGCTCGCTGGCGGTCAATCAGAACGTTCTCTTCGCTGCTGCGAGCCTGCGGAGCGCGTCGACACTGCTGCCGTTCGCCTGCCAGATGGGCATGGAGCTGAGGAGCTACGTGCACTTTGCCGTCATGGGCCGGAGCGAAATTGAGTTGGACGATATCAAGAAGATCAATGGGATAGACGATTCTTGCTACATCATTTGGCACGACGCCCGCGCCGACTTTTCCTCTCTATCGACGGACACTCGCCTCGAGATATCGGCGATCCGAGGACTGCGAAGTATCCACAGCTTCATGCACCCTCAAGCTATAATTGTAGACGGAACAGATGACGAGTTGTTTCCTTTCTTGAAGGGCATGCGGTCAGAAACGGGCGCGCTGAAGATCCCTCTCATCGAGCTTCCGAAGGACGCTTCAAAGCACCTGTCGTGGCTACCGAAGCTTGACAGCCCCTCTCTCGCAGCGTGGAACCAAGTTAGCGTTGATATCCTGATTCAAGCCCCCGCCAGTGGCTCCGGTAGCCTGTTGCGGCTGCTTAGGTCGCTCAACGATGTCGACTTCACGGCTTTCACAATCCCCCACCTCACCATTGAACTGCCCCAAGACATTGAACCTGCGACAGCCAAATTTCTGGAAACCTTTCACTGGCCACCGCCGCATGTGGCAAACCCGGGTCGCGTACAAATGCTCTCGCTGAGACACAGGATTCCTCGGCAGCGTATGACGGAGGAGGAGAGTTCCATTCGTTTCCTGGAGTCGTTCTGGCCAACGACGCCCAAATACTCTCACATACTTGTTCTTTCACCGCAGGCGGAGTTAGCTCCGGGGTTCTTCCATTGTAAGCTACTACCTATTTACTCGAGTAGGATTCCATGCTGACTCGCTCCACAGATCTCAAATACTCTCTCTTAGAGTACCGCTACTCGGCATATTCAACGCTCTCAAAGTGGGATCAACGACTTCTCGGAATCAGCATGACTTCGCCTTCCACCAACTTGGACGGCAGAAGTCAATTCGCAGAACCGATTTCCGATGGCCCGGACGACACGGGCTCTTTTTACTTGTGGCAGGCCCCCAACAGCAACGCCATGCTCTTTTTCGGGGACAAGTGGGTAGAATTGCATGGTCTGGTCTCCGAAGTAGACGCCCTGAAGGCTGCGCGCGACCCCAAGGACGTTCCGGATATGGTGACGACGAAGGAAGTGAGCAAAATGTTCCCCTCATGGCTGGAGCACGTCTTGCGTTTATCACGGCTCAGAGGCTACTTCACGGTATACCCCAGCTCCGAGACAGGAGCTACGGTAGCGAGAGTCCACAACGAACTTTACCTGGGCCCTGAAGAGTACCAACAGGAAACTGGCGAAAGAGAGAAGCTGAGGGCGAACCTGGCCGAGGCCATTTCCGACTCGCTCGTGCACACATTCGACACGCTTCCGAACAACGGCACCCTTACGCCTTGCAAAGATCTCCCGATCCTGGGGTGGCAGGGCGATAGCACGAGTCTGCGAGACGTGTACCAGCGTGCTGTGGAGTACATGTTTGCATGGCGCCAGCTGGTCGGCGGGTGCAGCCGAGAGGAGATGCAGCGGGATCACATCGATGGGTCCGCAAGAGACCTGTTTTGCACGCCTGACGGCAAGCTCAAGGGATAATTCAAGGCGCAGGTCGTGTATTGTGTAGACTTTTTTGATATACCCACGGGATGGACATCAGCATGGACTGGTACGGCGCGACTAAGACGGGGTGATTCGGGGATCATAATAGGCGTAGGAGAATTCGAATTGGTTTCTACTTCAATACGTGTGCCGCCGAGACACCCGACTTGAAGGTATCTGAATCGTCGTTGCTCGCAAGCTTGGTGATCACCAGCAGGACTATGCAGGTTCCTACGATGCTCAGGGCTACGATGGAGAGCACGAGTTGCGTTCGCCAACCGGTCTGTACGATGGCCGCCTTGCGACTGTACTTGTTCACCGTTTCTGAGAATGATAAGCATACCGAGTAACACGTGAAATGATGATTATGCGGCTTACTGATGTAATTACCCAACCCAAGACACAAACACGAAACGGCGAGGCACCAGAAGATGATGCCGAGCGGTTTCGCCATCCGCAGCTCCAACTGACTCGGCTCGCTCTTCAGGTGGAAGGAGAGCACGATGGCGACGGAGACGATGGACATGTACACCGAGAGTCTCAGGTACGAAAGGAATGCTACAAGACCGCCATCGTCAGTTTTCTCTCTCTCTCTCTCTCTCTCATCAATGAGCTGATTCAGTTCGGAGAAACGCGACGTACTCCTCTCGTTCGCGCAGTGATCCCGCGCGTCGCTCGTCTCATTCTGGAACAGCAGAGGTCCGAAGATGGGCCACGCCAGGAATGTCGACTTGCCGGCGTGTCCGTAGCCGCTGTGTAACGTATCGGGTTCATCAGTCATGTCTGTCGGTGTTTGGGGAGGGCGATTGTCTGTGTGGTGGGTTGAAAGGGATGTTGAGATGACGTCGGAATGGGATGAACGAAACAAAACGAAAACGTACCCGATCTCGCCGACCTCGACGGGCCGGAGGAGTTCTGAGGCGCGAAGGGGCGCGCAGCAGGTGAATGTCAGGTCTTCGTCGTCTATTTGGTTTGATGCCATTTTTTGGAATGATCTCGGGACTGAGGTTTGGTTTGGTCCTGGAACTGGGGATTGCAGATTGAAAGAACTTGGAGCTGGTTGAGACGGGAGGTTAGGGTGGAAAATGTCACTGGATTTGATCACAAGGGACTTGTCTGAGGTGATTGCGGCACTGTGTAGAATGCCGATGAACGTGCCAATCATACTGTGTTTGGAGCTATCGGGCACCGTGCGGCTGTCGCGGTCGGCGATCAGTCGGCCCCACTTTGATGGCGCCGAGCTCTAACTTCAACAGCATACCGTGATGCTACCTCTCGATATCCCGCTGTCGTCTTTCTCGTTGCTATTTTTACTATCGCTTCTATTGTTGCTGTTTCGGCTCTTATCGTTGTTGTTGTCGTCGATATCGTTATAGTATTCCTGAGTATACGTCTTTCATTTATATACTTCATGGGAGTTTTCCGGACACGCAAGTACCGCTCAAGTTATATCGCAGGTGTCAAATTCTGTGTTGGCTTCCAGGTTGGCCCAAGTCGTGAACGAATGACTGAGAACAACCTGCCAGTCAGCAAGCAGTAGTGCGGCCAGAATGTTGGTGGGTTGTCATGGCTGCGCCATATCACTCCTGCACGTCTTATTGGTGCCATGTAGACAGTAGGCAGCAACGTGATCGCCTCCAACGGCGGACGGCCGCATCTGTGAGCTTACTTTAATTCAATCTTCCTGCAATTTCTTTCCTTCCAGTTCCAAAGCATATTATCAACCTCTTTGTCACAGCTTTTCAACCATGTCCTTCGGCTGGTCGGCCGGCGACATCGCCGCTGCCGTGAAGCTGCTCTACAACGTCTATGAGGCGCTGGACAGCTGCAACGGTGCAGCGCAAGAATACCGCGAAGCTGTGGCTTTCCTTCGATCCTTGATCCAGACCCTCAAGCCCATTACATTTGTGACGGATTGGTCGGCATACCCAGCATACAAAACCGACATTGACCGAGAGATCAATTATATCAAAGTCCCTATCAATGACTTTCTTCAAGCCATCCAGAAGTATGAGCCTAGCCTCGGGAAACACCCGGCAACAACCAATCGCTTCAAGCACGCTGTCCCGAAATTGAATTGGTATATGAAGTGGTCGAGGAAGGTGATTACCATGAAGAGTTTAGTTCAATCACACATGATGATTCTGGACAATCTCATGAAGCAGCTCACATTGTCAGTGCTCACATAAGGTATTTTTCGTACGATTTCGAAGAGTTCTGGCTGACTATGCTTGTCAAGAGACGTGATATTGAAGACGCAAAAGGATCTTCCCGACGTATTTCGTTCAGTGTTCCAAGAAACAATACGTCCTGAACTTGGCATCTTGCTTCGAGATGCTTTGCGCCAGATGAAGACCTCGGAACGGCAATTCATCCCAGAACTCGACTTGTCCGAACCTCAGCCGAGCACTCGTGACTGCGTAAATGACCTGGCAAAAGCGGCTGCTGATTCTCTCACCACCCGGGTGCAGTCTACCGACTATACCGGGCTGCCTTTTCAGCCAGTAGCTCACTGGTCGGACCAGACTGATACTTTGAGTGACCTTCGCGAGGAGTCTTTACGTGAGGTGTGAGTGCTATGATGATGGGATGTAGTGGCCGGCGCTTATGAACTTCTTCCACTAGGTACTATCTAGCATTCGTATACCTTGGGCGGTTTCTGCGAGATCTATTGTAAGTCTCCTTCGGTTTCACGACTTGCGAGGATGAAGTTGAACGCCATCACAGTATTCTGCTTTCTCGCTTGGCTCAGCCATCCAGACAAATGACTCCTATCTTGATCGCCAAGTACCATATCACGTTCTTCGACGCAATGGGAAGCGCCCCTCGCGTCTTACAATACGACGCTTTTCGAAACTTTGAGGCAAGGCTTTTTTGAGCTCAAAACATAATCAGCGCTTGAGACTAACAACATACTTTGCTCGTCAGACCTTACGAGCATTCATCAAGGGAGAGTTTGGGAGTTTCCCACTGATCGACCGTCAAGACTACCTTATATTGGACGAACACGATCGTGTTCTAGACCAGTCAAAGTGGCGCGCCCGCATCGCTCCCGGCAGTAAGATCGCAATGTCTGTGATCATGAGGACATTGCAAAGAAAACCAGATTCGTGTTCACTTGAACACTGCCTCAGGAAGTCCTGTCGACATGCTAAGTTGAAGCGAGTCTCCGGATATTGGGGCAGGTGGTAAGCAGGCGATTTCCGAAGCGAAGAAAGCAAAACTCATAAATCTACAGCCCCGTTTGCTCGAGAAACTTCTTCCAACCGGATGACGTCCTAGATGACATGGAAACAAAGCCTACACCAGCTATGGAATCACCCAGGCACGGTATCGCAGGCCCCGTCAAGCCTCAAAGGCCACTTGAGCATCAGGTGCCCCAGCGACGACAGCCATGGGCTATCATGGCCATGAATAACGCGGAAGATCTTCCATCAGACAACAAAGTCTTCAGAGAAGTGAGAGAACTCGAAGACGAAGACGAATCTCCCTTCACCCGGATATCGCCAAAGTTCGAAGATATGTGGTCAGTAGTAGCGCGAATCAGCGAGCCGTACCCGTACTCGTATGACGACTTTGATGTCCAGCGCGTCCAGGACAAGTACCCGAATCTTCCACAACGAATAGCCGTAAAATTGGTGAAGGCAAATAGTTTGAGAAACCGCATCTTTCGCTATTGGGCCACAAGAGAAGAACTCAACTCCGCCAAGCACGTCTGTTCTCCGATGCTGGCTCAGCCTAGCGATGACTTGCGAAATCTGGCTGTCACCAACGATGACCCGGTTGTGGGTATTAATGGGGCTATGGCAGGGGCTTTCGTGAATCTCTTGAGATTGCGGTCTGGCAGCAATTGCTGCACCAGTTGCGCCATCTGTCGAGAGAGTATGCCAGCGCTGCGCGATACTCACAGGTAGGTGACCAAAGAGTGATTCAGGCGGCATCTGGGATGGAGCAACCTTCTAACGCACCACTTGGGCTCAGGAAAAATCATCTTCTTCAGGACGTTCGGCCATATCTGTGTCTCCATGACGCCTGCGAGCGGCCGCCGAAGTTCTTTGCTCTCAGGGAGGACTGGACACGACATATCACTAATGAGCATGGAGGTGCTGTCTATGCGCCACTCCCACCTGGTGCTGCCGGGAAATGCCCTGTGTGTTTCCGCCTGGTTGAGGACTCGATCTCTCATGTCGCATGGCACATGGAGCATTTTGCGGCTTTGTCTCTTTCGATTTCGTAGAACCCTTCGAATAATATCATGGTGTAATGTTGGAAGTTGATGCTAAAGCAGTGAGATTCTCTCCTCGCAGTAAATGGGCAATAAAACTTTCGAAATGGAATGTGAAAAACACATCCACAACGAATGGGTGGTGTCACACCTACGGAAGACCCTGCGATTCGGTAAAGGATCGACTCGACCTTCACGCAAAAACCATCCATGAGCAGCTCAACATGCAAAAGTCCACCGCTTTTTGCCAGGTTTCCCTTTCTTTCCATTAACCTCTGCGACAAATTGTACAGAATCATGTTATGCTAAGTTTTCAGCAACTACAATCACTAGTTTCGCGTCGTGTCTCGTCCGGCATTACTCGGCGGATTTACGCGGATGGCCCGACCATCTCCGCTTCCAACAAGTTATGTTGCGAATGAGGCGTCAATGCCTGGGCACTGGAGCTCATTGCCGAGCCAAGGTGGGAATTAACAAGCAGATAGGCTCTGGCTGACGAGAGATAGGCTATGGACGTGTCGGGAATCGGGAAAGGCCACAGCATCATGTCTGAGATGTTCATTCCGATAGGGGGCTGTATCGCGAAGACACTCTGCAGTCAAACCATCACTGCCTCCACGCTAGGCACGCTTCGCCACCACAAATTGCGTTTCAAGTAATCTTTGGTTTTATTGCTATCATCTCATCAACATGAATAGGTGGATGCTATTAAGAGACGAGTCTGATCTCAGTCGTCTCCCTCCTTGGGTGACGCAGCCTTGATGGCGACCAGTAAGGGGTCCCCGTTAGCTTGAGCCCGGCGAATAAACGCCTGGAACTGGCCATCGTTTGCCAGATCCTTCATGACAATTTCCCTGGTTCTCCCAAGACCCTCCAACTCATCGAGTCTATCAAGGGTTGCTTGGAGATGCTCGTCAAAACCTTCCTGCGAGCAAATCTCCCGAAACGCATTCTGCATTGGGACCGAGTCAGCGCGAACCATCGATTTCGAGTCGATGGAAAATATGTTGACGTGGTCATGCCTCTGGATGAAGTCGGCTCTAGTCATGATCTGTCTCGCTTCGTGAAGTGGGATTTCCGGAAGCCTGCCGTCGTTGATGCCTTCGCGAAGCATCGCCTTCTCTTTCTCAACCAGGGCTTTGGCCAATACCATTGCTGCTGCCGAGTACTCCTGTTGGTCTTCGGCATCGTCGTCCATGTATTCGCCCAGTATCCAGCACTGGCCGAGCAGCCAGCGCTTCTCCTTCTCGCAGATCAGGTCGCAAGCTTTCAGCATGTCCTTAGACCGGGCCACGTGGTCAAGGAATCTGATGCGCCCACCAACCTTGCTGTAGACTCTGTCCAGGGTGTCCTGCGGTACGTCTTCGTGGAATGTCTTTGCCCGGTATTGCTTTAGTGTGGTCAGGGCGGGACTTCGCGGCATGTCGTGGACGTCTGATACTGCCAGGCGGGTAGCTTGCCACTTGAGCCGCTCCATGGTGCTGTGATCGTCGCTAATTAGAATCACAGTAACGAGGCGGCTTGCCGCCCACAGTTCCGCTCGCTGTTGAATCAGTTCCAGCAGGTTTTGTCCCTCCTCATCTTCCCGAAGCAGGTGGATGCGGTTGATGACGAGGATCAGGGGCTTGTCTGTTCTGGCCTTTCGGTCTAGAGCCACCTTCTCCATCTTATTGAAAGCTCTCTCGATGTCAAGGATGGGTGTGGAATCGCGAGGGCCCTTGAAGTTGAACAGACTTCCAATGTAGTCCTCATGAAACTCATAGTCTAGAGCTTTTCCGAGTCGTAAGCGAAATACTTCGGGGTCCCCATGCGCCTCTAGCATGGCTGTGCCCTCACCCCGGACTTGTCGCATTGCTCTGAGAATCATGGAGGTCTTGCCGGTTCCCTTTTCGCCCGTGATTAGGTGGTAGTGGCCTTGGGTGCTTCCATTCACCATTCTGTCAATATGGTCTTGTTCGTCTCTCGTTATCCACTCGTCACCCTCGTGACAGGGCGAAGCAAGTTCTGCCTGAAGCCGATCTGGTGCAACATGACGACCAAGGGCTGTAAGCTCTAGAGTCGAAAAGCCAGCTCCGAAGGCGTTTTCCATTTTTCGAAGGACAAGAGACTTGTAGTAGGCATTGTAGGAGTAACCTGCCAGACCGAGAATGAGAACGGAGCCGAATGCTGTGGCGCCGCCTTCGATGATCTTGAAGAAGGAGTCTCTCCAACTCGATCCATCGTTGTCGGTTTTCGTATTCGTGTTGCCACGAGAAGACGTCTGGCTAGAACGACATGGAGGTTGCTCGACAAAGATCAGACGAGAAGGGGGCTGAATTCGTCTGTTGAGTATACGAGCCTGTATACCGTCGATGAATCGAGATCAACATCCTCATTTGCGTTAATTTGGTGCATGGATTGGGTTCCAATCTTACCTTCCAATTTTGCGGCAACGGAGTAAGTCTCGCCATGGTCGTTGGTGTCTGTCTCCTGGCTTGGTTTGGGATGCGGCCAAGCTCACGGCAACGCGTCTTAGTCCGAGGGTTCACTTGGTTGAAAGTCGGCGGATGTGTCCACTGCTCTGGGCTGTGCAATTGTTCTTAGAACGCCAATTTATAGCCCACGCGAGAGTCCTTGGAGATTGGATCCTCGATTGTACGCGGGCTGGAATAGCTACGAGGCGTGGAACTCTCAGCTTCAGTGAGGCGTGCAGGAAGGCACCTTTAGTGTGGACAAGTCGACCTGAGGCCCACCCCACGGTCCTCCCTTGTCCACGTTGGTGTCGCTGGAGGTACTACGTACCTTCGTCCCGCCTGGTCCACCGTGTATGTGGATGAAGCGACACCGCGGACGACCCCCATCGCTCCCTCCTTCATTCTGATTCTCTACTTTGCAAACCCGAGTCGCAATGTCTTGGCACGAATAAGGTGGCAGTCTCTACCACAACGATCCGGCCTGCTAAAAGCTGTATCATCTACGCAGCAAGTCAGCATCGGTTTGCATCGACTTGGCCTTCAAGAAGCGTTGATCTTCCCCTTCTTTTCACATTGATGAACCATTCACTCGTTTGATATTTCCTCTTCCCAGACACCGAACCACGTTCTTCGAAACAATCAACATGGACGACGAAATCACTTCCGCCCCTCTGGCTGGCGATACTGCTGCCACTGGCGTGCATGCCAATCGGGACCACAACGGTGCTAGAACACCCGCGATCAAGAAGCTTGCCGAGATGGACCTTGTTCCTGGGAACAAGTTCGCCTTCTCCCCAAGCTAACTCCATTGTCTGATCGAGAACCACAATGCCGAGTCTCTTCACGCTTACGGCGGCCTTGCTGGTCTTGCAGCCGGGCTGCGAACCGATGTCAAGGCCTAGTCAAGGCAGGTCTTGGAGTTGACGAGGATGTGTTGGACGGTACGGTCACTGCTTCTGAGCTCACGGCAGCTATGAAGAGCGCCGACCTCCACGTTCCTCCTGGGTCCGAGCCTGAGAACGCGTCAACTTCTGGCTCTGGCAACTTCACCGATCGTCGAGGAATCTACGGTGAGAACCGTCCACCTCGAAGGAAGCCTAAGACTTTTCTCCAACTCATGTGGTTGGCTTTCAACGACAAACTGATGTTCCTCCTCACGGCTTCCGCTACCGTGTCTCTTGCTTTGGGAATCTACCAATCTGTTGCCAGCGCCGAACAGGGTGCGAGAATTGAATGGGTCGAGGTGGGTTGATCTCGTCTGCGCTTTTAGTAGGAACGTTACTGATCACTTTCTCAAGGGGGTGGCTATTATGGTCGCCGTCATCGTCATCGTCGTCGCCACTGCGCTGAACGATTACCAGAAGAACTACAAGTTTCAGAAATTGAACGAAAAGAAGGAGGAAAGGATGGTCACAGTCGTGCGGTCCGGCAAACACCAGCCCATCTCCATCTTCGAAGTTCTGGTCGGTGACGTCTTGCACATCGAAGCTGGCGACGTTATCCCCGCAGATGGCATTTTAATCCAAGGATTCGATATACAGTGCGACGAGTCTGCGTTGACGGGCGAGTCGGAACTCGTAGCCAAAACGCCGGCTCCCGAAGCGAACGACTACACCAAAGACCCTTTCATCCTCGGCGGTACACAGGCGACAACTGGTGTCGGAACGTATCTTGTCCTCGCAGTCGGCTCGGACTCTGCGTACGGGAGAATCATGCTCTCCCTCCATGATGACGTTCAAGAAACACCTTTGCAACAAAAGCTCGGAGTTGTGGCCAAATACATCATCAACTTCGGCTTAATTGCTGGCGCTATCTTCTTCATCATCATGTTCATCCGGTTCCTTGTTGATCTCAAGCATATCGAGGGTGGCGCCAAAGAAAAGGGCCACGCATTCCTGGAAGTTTTGATACTTTCAATCACTGTTGTGGTCATTGCGGTGCCAGAGGGACTTCCGCTGACGGTCACTTTAGCTTTGGCGTTTGCAACTACCAGGATGCTCAAGGACAACAACCTCGTCCGTCTGCTACGGTCATGTGAAATCATGGGCAACGCTACAACGGTTTGTTCTGACAAAACCGGTACACTAACGCAAAACAAGATGAAGGTGGTTGCAGGTATCCTTGGCTCTTCCGCAGAGTTTCGCGACAATCTCCTTCCTATGCAAGACGACGAAAAGGACATTCCAACAACTAGCGACCGCATCGCGTCGCTTTCGACCGACATTCGAAGCCTGCTGAAGAGCAGCTTTTCTCTGAACTCGACCGCGATCGAAACCACCGAGGCCTCCCAGTTCGTGGGATCGAGCACCGAAGTTGCCCTTCTGAAGTTCTCAGTTGACCACCTGGCCCTGGGTCGCGTCAGTGAAGAGAGAGCCAACGGGAATATCGTACAGATTGTACCCTTCAACGCTTCGAAGAAGTGGATGGCGGTTGTTGTGGACCTTGGTCAGGGACGCCGCAGAATGTTGGTCAAGGGAGCAGCCGAGGTCATCTTGGCCAAGTGCTCCGGGATCGTGCAAGACGTTGGGACCGGCATCGACACTGTTCAAATGAGTCCAGAACACGTGAAGAAGTTGAACGAAACAGTCCTTGGCTACGCCCGACGATCTCTTCGAGTTGTCTCCGTTGCTTATCGCGACTTCGACGATTGGCCCTTGTCACAATCCACCGAGTCAATCGACCTTTCCGACTTGGTCTTCGTCGGCGCATTTGGCATCCGGGATCCCCTACGACCTGAAGTTGTCGAGAGTCTCAGAAAGTGTCAGTCTGCGGGCGTGTTTGTTTGAATGGTCACAGGCGACAATTTCTTCACTGGTACGGCGATAGCTACAGAGTGTGGCATCTACACTGCAGGCGGAATTGCCATGGATGGCCCGGCTTTCAGAAGACTTTCTTCGGAGCAACTCGATCTCGTTGCACCACGTCTACAAGTCCTCACAAGATCAAGTCCAGACGACAAGATGCGTCTGGTATCACACCTTAAGAGCCTTGGCGAGGTTGTCGCGGTAACTGGTGATGGAACCAATGACGCGCTCGCATTGAAGGCTGCAGATGTCGGCTTCTCTATGGGCATATCCGGCACTGAGGTGGCCAAGGAAGCATCCGCCATTGTTCTATTGGATGACAATTTTGCTTCAATTGCCAAGGCAATTGCTTGGGGAAGGGCTGTTAACGATGCTGCCAAAAAGTTTCTACAGGTTTGGACCACCGTTCTCAACACGTTTTGTTTGCACAAGCTGACCGATCTTCTTTCAAAAGTTCCAATTCACCATCAACGTCACGGCCGGTATTCTCACTGTCATGTCTGCCCTCATTGGCGGTACGGACGAGTCCGTCTTCAGTGTCGTTCAACTCCTATGGATCAACTTGATCATGGATACGTTCACGGCTTTGGCTCTTGGGACCGACTTTCCCACGCCAGACTTGCTCGAGAGAAAGCCGGAGCCAAGAGGAGTCTCGATCCTCAACACTACGATGTGGAAGATGATTCTTGGGCAGTCCATGTATCAGCTTGTCGTGATCTTCGTATTCCATTATGCTGGGGAGTCCATCTTCGGCTATCGTACGGCACATCAGCTCCAAGAGCTACAGACAATGACGTTCAACACCTACGTGTGGATGCAATTCTTCAATCAAATAAAGTGAGTCAGGTACGACTTTTGATCGCTTGGTACGCAAAACTGACATCTCGTCAACCAGTTCTCGTCGTACCGATAACCGTTTCAACGTCCTTGAAGGGGTGCACCAAAATCCCTGGTTCATATTGGTGCAAATGGTGACACTCACAGGCCAGGTCATCATCATTTTTGTTGGGGGAGAGGCATTCCAGGTCGTTCGCCTGACCGGCGCCCAGTGGGGGTGGTCTCTTCTCTTCGGTGCCCTCGCATTGCCGTTGGGGGTGATGATTCGGCTCATTCCCGACTCCATTCTGTTCAAGCTCTGGTCCAGCGTGTTGCGTCTTTTCCCCAATTTCGGACGTCGCCACTCTATTCCGCAGAACAATGAGGAAAAGAAGGTCGGGGCTTGCACTATCATGCTGCGAAAAGTACTTGGTATGGTACGCAGAGCAGAGACCAGAGACACTCTTGTCACGGCCGAAGGAGCCCAGCAGGTCGACATGGTTCTTCGTGACAGCCATCCGACACAGCAACGTCCTGAGGATGAATTCGATCTCGAGGGGGCTATGGAGGCTGCGAAGTACGGCTTGGCCGAGCCAGGACATATGGGCATCCAGCTGCATCCAGATACTCGCAAGGATGACCCGGTGTTGGTTGACCTGAGAGGAATGGGCATGCCACCCAGCCAGAACCCGTTCTTGCAGCGCTACATGCAATTCTAGATACGCGTCTGGACACCGGTACAAAAGAGAGGGGGACAGGTGTGGGATCACAGCATGTATGACAAGCAGTCACAACGACCTTATGAGCAAGCCCAATCAATAAGCCCACAATCCAAAGACAATAGCCCACAAGGATTGCTCGTTATTTTATCCGTGTTTGGTGACATTTTTGAGGTTTTCATTTTCTCTGAATTTCATCTTAGCTACAAGTTATTATCAGTAATCGAGCCTTTGATACATCCACGACCGGCAGAGGTACCATGTCCATTGTCCGTTGTCTAGCATCTTGTGGCACGCGAAAACCTAGCACTCGTTCGTCCCACGCTTGCTTTATTTTGACTTTTCCCCGTCATCCCACCGGATCTTCAGACAGCCCCTCCACATGTTCGCACTACCTCTTCTCGGGTCATCCCTGTCCCGAAGCAGAGGCCATTCCATCCTCAGCACGCCTTCTCGGCATCCCTGCGCTGATGTCTCAAACGCAACTTCAGCTCATTTCGTCAGTGTCCTCATCTCATGTCAACCACACCTCTCTAAAGGGAGCCACGCCGGCCAACGCCCGATTACAGTACGTCCACATGGCGCCGAGTCTCGCCCGCCTCACGATTCTGCTTTTCGGTCTTTCCTCCTTTGCCGCAGGCCTCTATTCGCTGCTGCGTCCGCTGCAGTCCCTCGACTCTCTGGGCCTGCCGCGGTCGGCCCTCCCGGCGGCGAACGGCAATGCCCTCGCCGCCGTAGCCATGGGCGTCTATTACAACCTGGCCGCCTTCCAGGACAACCGCGCGTTCTACCTCGCCACGGTGCCCATGCGTCTGACGACGACTGTGGTATTTTGGCGCCAGGACTGGAAGGGCGTGGCTTGTTGGGAAGGCGGGTGTGCGGTTGCGACGCTCCTGGCGTTGTTTTGGGATGCTAGGCAGGAGAAGAGAAAGACCATGTGATGGGATTCAGGTAAGATGTCTTGCAAGCGTATCTCATTCATTAGTGGTTTTTGAAGCGGATTGGAGGGTAATTTGGTTATGACTTGCGATATCACATCCCAAATGCGATCTATACTTCGCCGAGGAGAATTTTGCTGACGTCAAAGTAAGATGGTCGAGATGCTGATGCGGCGAGTTTGATGACAGGTTTCTGATATAAACTGACAAACTCAGTATCGTGAAAAGAATACGTCTCTGGGACTTCAAGGAAATGCGCACCAGTTGCACACAATTAGGCAAAATGTCAGGTTAGGCTTGGGCCACAAGCATACGTACATGCCCTTCAGCTGTAATCTTTGCGCGCTGATACATTTGATAAATTGTCATTCCTCATTCTCATCTCTCACCGACAGGCCCTAGAATCGAGGTTCCATGTGTCATGCCTCAATATTGGTTTACCCATCCGAGAGTGGTGTAATTGAACGCCCACGCATATTGACTGATATACACAATGTCGTAGGCAACTTCGTTCGCCTCTGAAGCTTGATTTCCTTCATCAAGGCAGTAATCTCGGCGCCCAAATTGAGTCCGTGGCGCAGCCCTCCATCCTGCCATGAATCGCCCAGAGTTTCTCTTCGTAAAGACCTCGAACACTTCCAGCTTTGAGTCCTGAATTCGGGCCGTGCCGACGGTCATTCACTCCGGATTCATACATGTGCGCTCTCCAGCCTTTCCGATCCTTATCGTCGCCTCTCAGATGCTCTTCTGGCCCAAAGTCGTGCCATGCGACAATACGGCACACGCCACGATCCACCAGGACAGAATAATCCATCGGGCAATGTCTACAGTGGCCCGAAACCTCTTGCCCACGACAGACTGTAAATGCCATGCAAACACTGTCGTGATAGGGAGTCACATTGGAACCAAAAGCGTGTGGTCCGAAGTACGCGCTGTGCGGGCAGAGGTCCATCCCGGTGATCGTAGAACCTAGCGCCTTCGGTCTGCTGTTGCCACTGGGACCAGGGTCGTCGTCATGAACCTCCCATTCCTCCCGAAGCACAAGTCTCTCAGCAACGAGTTTCGGGCTGGCGGTGTAGTGCCAACGAACCCCATAATACCACCTGTACTGCAGTTCTCGTGAAAACGGGGTCATAATGTCTTTCAGATGTTCTGGAGTGATGTTGGCGAGCCTGGCAAGTTTGATAGCTGATTGTAAATACATCTCCCGGATGTTTAAATTGTTGAATCCGTTAAAAGTATAACCACGGTCACAAGGACAAAATCCTTTGAAACTTCCAGGTCGTGCTCTTGAATCTGAGCCTGCCATGTTGATAGGGTGCAGCTTCGAACAAAAGTTACACAGCCATTTGTCTGGCCTATCCAAGGCAAGCAGAAAGTTGATTTTATACTGCAAGCGCTTTCGCTCTGGGTCTCGAAGGCGCGAGAAGAAAGATTCCCAATCTCTGTGTGTGATTTGATGCGTTGCCTTGCATACGTAGCCGAGAACGAAGACTTCGAGCGTATCCAAGAAGCTGACAATATGGTCGACGAGCTCAATAGGCAGGTCAAGCAGTTCGAGGCGTCCTGCTGGTGAACCATGCTTCTTCGATTGATGTAGAACAAGTTCAGTAGACTGTTCGAAAGCTTTGAGGTGTTCGGGAGGTGAAGCGGGCTGTTTTGGTAGCGCCCGACGTTGATGTGGTTGCCACCAGGCGACCATTTTGCTTGCTGCCTTCGCCGCTCGTGATGGGGATAATCAAAAAATCCGTAGTCGAGTGAAGTTGGGGATTGTAGGAAATAATATTCCTTTCTTCTAAAGAGAAAAAAATGGAAACGATGGAACAAGATTTGCAGGCCAGAAAATTTGAGCGTGAAATCGTCACCATCCAGGTTCTCTGCTTTGGACCGCTAAAAGCCAAGAGGTTATTCCTCATGGCGAAAGTTTCGAGATACTCGGTATCCAATGAACGATCAAAAATACCTTTCTCTTCTGTTTAGTTATCGTAGAAGTATTTTACACGAAGCCGTCAGGGTATTGTGTATAGATCCATTATGGAAGTTAAAGTCTCAAACTTTGCCCCGTAACTCTCTCCAGGTTCCTTTATTGTGCCTGGTCGGCCTGCAACGGTCCCCTATGGTATCCTGAACAAGATCTTCAACAGACAGTTCAGTTTCTCGGTCTAAGAAAAAAACTTTTCCTGGCGGCGTGCGAGGTATAAGAGATGGTCTCTTACAGAAACTTCCGGCGCCGGCCACGGATCCGGGGTTTCGGCCCCACAACGGAGTCTGGAATCTTGTTTTGAAGGCAATGACGTAGTGCTTCGGGCTCTTCGAAAAGCCCAGCGAATAATTTCTTCGACGCCACTCGAACAGAAAATGCATCATCACATCGCCGTTGGAATCCTAATTTCAACTCTTCGTCAAAGTTTATCAATTGCACCGAACAATCATGGACCGCAACGGTACAGCAATGGCGAAGCATCATGTCCAAAAGCGATGCTTGTTATGGGACTGGACAAATACGCGCGACCGGCCAGACGCCATCGACCAGCTCTTCGAAAACTCCAGCGACTCAATTGAACAGGCTTTTAAATCAGTACACAATTGGAATGCGTGGTATCCACCTGAGTTGAAGGGTCGGCTTCCCTTCCGACCCATGATTCGGACGCGCGAGCAGCTGATCTCGGAAGAGTGGAATTGGATCCGCGACTCAGAAGCCGAGATTGTCCACTATCTCAACGAGCCGGAGCGGCAGGGAATCTCGCCGCAAGAAGCGGCCGACTGGTGGTCGCACAAGGTTGTGCCGGAATTGCGAGACACGCGTGGAAAGAAGCTTGTCGGACCAGCATGCGCCAGTGATGATGCGGGCGACAAGTGGCCTACCGCCTTTATGAGCTCCGTGGGAAATGATGCTGCGAAGAAGCCGGATTTCCTTGGCGTGCATTACTACAGCGGCGACATCGAGCATGCTAAACAGTACATCACCTCAATGCACGAGAAGTACGGCTTGCCACTGAATATATCGGAAATTGCATCTATCAGCAGGGATATCAAAGAAGTTGAGGATTTCACTGAAGAGTTGAGCGAGTGGATGGATTCGCAGGATTGGATAGACGAGTACGGGTGGTTTGGATGCATGGCACACTGCGCTGATGACTTCGTTAGTCCGGCGGCGCAGTTGATGGATAGGGATGGAAGATTCACATTTCTGATGAAGAAACTAATGAGATCCTGAGACGCACGCAATGGCAAAGAACAACGGAAAAGTGGCCGGTTCTCACAAGAATACCCCAATAGAGAACAGGAAGCATCCGAGAAGTTTGTCTTTGATCCCGATGCATGTACGGGAGTTTTGGTGTATTTTGAGGCCTGTTACGGATGCATCGCTCCCCGCCCCGCCCCGAACTGACTCCCGAGATGTGTCTTGGCTTCTATTTTTCGCCTAGTGTTCATGTGACGACCTCCACCCCCGCGGTCTGAGTTCGTTCATAATGATTCCGGAAGTACGGAGACTCCAGAGTTCCGGACTGTTCGACCTCCGGGTGACTCCAACGGCGGAGGGTTCCACCCGAGTCAGCCTCCCGGACGCTAAATCCCCAACTCATTACCCCATTAGGCAGGTAAATTACATGTCGTGCAGATGGTTACTGGGTCTTGGCTGCTACGCGCCAACTCTTGTTTGCAGAGGATCTAGAATTGCGTCTTCTAGCAAATTCTTTGCAACCCTTCTGCCCTCCCCTCCCCTGTTTCTTGAAGTTGTTTTCTACCACTCATAGTCTTTCTAACCTCGTTGATGTTTCCCCCAACCCAATCACGATGAATTCGGTTACGTACACGTCACGTAACACCTTGTATCCGATCGACTTTCTAGGTGGTCCCCTCGACAAACAAAGATCCCGAAACTTGACAAGCTCCAGATATCAAAAAGCAACGAACCGATGATGGAGTCTCCTAGATTCGCCGCAATGTGTCTTGGTTGCCTTTTACGGTTAAGTTTTCAACTCTGGCCGAGTCATCGAGGTAGACCCGGCATGCAAGTTTCGAAGTCTGTTCACGCTTGTTCCACAGTCGGGTATGGTACAAATACCAAGAGTTGGGCTTGGTTGAAGCTGATCGCCCGGACTCTTCGGTGTTTTCTCATGAAGTTCTGAAAGACGGTACCTCGACAACCTTCGACCGCTCCGAAACAGCTCCCCTTCCTTCTTCCCTTCTTCACCATGGTGGTAGCCAAGGAAAAAGGGTCTGGTTCCTTCCAGGAACAGTCCTCCGAGGTTTTCCAACCGGAACACATCTCGGGACAGTCCAACAAGCCTTTGTCTCGACCGCCACATGCGTTGGAGTTCAGTCAAGTCGTTGCGGAACTCGAAGTCGATACAACGCAAGGACTCACTTCCGAAGAGGCTACCCGTCGCCTGGCGGAACTCGGTCGCAATGAGCTTCGTCAGAACAAGGGTGTTCAGCCCTTGAAGATTTTCTTGGAGCAAATTTTCAATGCGATGACACTGGTAAGTCGGCCACAAGCTAGTCACTAACATCAACATGTGTGTACGAAGTTTAACTCTTCCAAGGTTCTATTGCTGGCATTAGGTGCAAGTTTCGGTATTCAAGCGTGGATCGAGGGTGGAATCCTCGGCGGTATCATCGTCCTCAACATCTTCATCGGTTTCGGCCAGAGTCTCCAAGCCGAACGAACGATCAACTCCCTCAAGAACCTCGGCTCTCCGACGTGCAAAGTTTTCCGAGGCGGCAAAACCATCAACATCCAAACCGCCGAAGTAGTCCCAGGAGATGTGATCGACTTGAACACAGGCGATTCCGTCCCAGCAGACATCCGTCTCATCGAAGCCGTCAACTTGGAAGCCGATGAAGCCCTTCTTACAGGAGAATCCGCACCCGTGTCGAAAATCCCCAACGCGACTTTCGATGATGATACCGGCCCCGGCGACCGTCTCAACGTTGTCTACAGCTCAACTGTCATCACCAAGGGCCGCGGCCGTGGTGTCGTTTTCGCTACCGGCATGCACACGGAGATCGGCCTCATTGCTGGTGCTCTCAACGGCGGATCCAAGGACAAGGCCAAGTCATACATCAAGCGCAACGAGGACGGCAGCGCTACCTTTTTCGGATACGTCTTCGCTGGTTGGATGATGACTCGCGACTGGATTGGCGATTTTCTGGGTCTCACCGTTGGAACTCCTCTGCAGAGGAAGCTCTCCCAGTTGTTCTTGTGGCTCTTCTTGTTTGCCGTCATCTGCGCGCTTGTCGTTCTTGGCGCCAACAAATTCGATTCTCGCAAGGATGTCATTATCTACGCCGTGACAACCGCCATTGGAACGATCCCTGTTTCTCTATTGCTTGTGTTGACGGTTACGATGGCAGCTGGTACCAAGAAGATGCTTGAACGCCATGTCATCGTTCGTAACCTTTCTAGTCTGGAGGCGTTGGGTGGCGTAACCAGTGAGTTCAAGTCCCAACAATAACCATAATGGTCATCCCACTAACGGTGAACCCTCGCAGATATTTGCTCCGATAAGACTGGTACAATCACTCAGGGTCGCATGGTCGTTCGCAAAGCATGGCTTCCGGGCACTGGCACATATTCCGTCAACACAACCAACGACGTCTACAACCCCTTTTCTGGGTCCGTGCAGTTCACCTCTGGCCAACCGAAGGATATCAGTGCCGAGGAGGAGAAGAAACACGACGAGACCACCGAACCGATCGAGCCTCACAATGAGCCGGCGAGCAAGCCGGCCCTTGAGTGGTACCTCAACGTTGCGTCGTTGGCCAACCTGGCCAGCTTGAAGCAGAGTGATGATAGCTCTGCGAACCCAGGAGAATGGAAGGCTGCAGGTGCTCCCACCGAAATCGCTATTGAAGTCTTTGCTTCTAGGTTCGGATGGAACAGAATTCAGCTTTCGCAAGGTCCCGAGGCGTCTTGGAAACAAGTCGCCGAGTTTCCTTTTGACTCGGATGTGAAGAAGATGTCCGTCATCTTTCAGAACACCAAGTACCAGAAGATGCACCTCTTCACGAAGGTAAGTTTATTTGATGCTATCCTCACATGTTGGAAGAGCTTTGCTAACCACTCGACGTAGGGTGCTGTAGAACGCGTGCTTGCCTCCTGCGACACCATTGCCCTCGATGATACGACTCGCGCCCTGACCGAAGACGACAGACAAAACATCCACACCAACATGGAAGTCCTCGCCAGCCAAGGCCTCCGCGTCCTCGCCCTCGCACACCGAAACCTCGAGAACAGCGTCTCCGAGTCCCAGTTCGCCGAAGGCACAACACCACCTCACCGCGATACCTTCGAACACAGCCTGACCTTCCGCGGCCTCATCGGCATTTACGACCCTCCCAGACCCGAATCGAGACCCAGTGTGAAGATGTGCCAGGGTGCCGGCATCGTCGTGCACATGCTCACCGGTGACCACCCGCAGACCGCACGAGCTATCGCCACGGAAGTCGGAATCCTCCCCTCTCCCGAGAAGTTCAAGATGCTTCCCTCCGACGTGGCTCAGTCGATGGTGATGCCAGCTCACGACTTCGACGCCTTGTCCGATGGCCAGATCGACGAGCTGCCCCAGCTCCCGCTGGTGGTGGCCCGCTGCGCGCCTAGCACGAAGGTCAGGATGATCGAGGCGCTGCATCGCAGGGGCCGATATGTTGGCATGACTGGAGATGGCGTGAACGACAGTCCTAGTCTTAAGCGCGCGGACATTGGTATCGCCATGGGATCTGGTTCAGACGTCGCCAAGGAGTCGTCGGATATTGTCTTGACGGATGACAACTTCGCCTCCATTCTGAACGCCATTGAGGAAGGCCGACGGATTTTCGACAACATCCAGAAGTTTATTCTTCACGTCCTGGCCGCCAACATCGGTTTTGTTTGCGCCCTTCTGACCGGCTTAGCCTTTAAGGATCGGTCTGGTGTATCTGTGTTCCAGCTGTCGCCCGTGGAGATCCTCTGGATGCTTCTCGGAACCGGTGCTTTCACTGAGACTGGTCTTGGCTTCGAGAAAGCGGTTCCAGATATTCTCAACCGGCCTCCGCAGAACGTAAGTTGCCCCAACCTCCAAGGCTTGCTCAAGTACTGACAGCTCTATCAGCTCAAATACGGCGTCTTCACCCCGGAATTTCTCGTCGACATGGTCTACTATGGTGTCCTCATGGCAGGCTGTGTTCTCGGCTCGTTCACCGTCATCATCTTCGGTTTCGAAGGTGGCAACCTCGGTATCGAGTGCAACAACGCCTACTCTGCGGAATGCGACTCCGTTTTCCGCGCTCGCGCAGCCTGCTACACCACAATGACCTGGATCTTCTCCTTCTTCGCCTGGGAACTGATTGACGCGCGCCGCTCCCTGTTCTACATGCCGAAGGGCTTCAAGGCCTGGACTCTGCATTTATGGGGCAACAAGTTCCTCTTCTTCTCGGTCACGCTTGTCTTCCTCGCCGTCTTCCCCACGCTTTACATCCCCGTGATTGATCATGTGGTTTTCCTGCACCACGGAATCACTTGGGAGTGGGCCGTAGTGTTCATTGATGTTACTTTCTTCATGATTGCTTGCGAAGGTTACAAGTGGGGGAAGAGAGTGTACATCCGGCGCAGGGGGAATAGTTCGGATGTTGGCTTCGATGACGAGGAAGAAATGTCCGCATGAAGGGGGACGTATTTTGACAATAATCCATAGAGACACTTCAAGCATAGCGATTGGGGCCCATTCATAGCGATATTTCGTAATAGTTGGTTTATATTTTAATTCATTAGGGTACCAGCTTTCCGTTTATATCGCGAACTGTTTTCTACCTCCCTCCGTTGCTGTCAATCCATGCCATTGCGGATATCGTCTTTCGTGGTGCTGCTCATTCATTAACCTGTTGGCTGCCTTCACCTTGCCCTTCCTGATTCTCCTGGGCACCTTCATTGCGAAGATGCTCCCTTGCCGCCATCAACGCCTTGCCTAGACGATTCTCTCCCCAGTTCGCTTGGTTCACCATCGCGTTCTTCTCCGTAAACCCAATACCCCAAACCCGGTCCTTTGATGCTGCCTCAGCAATGATTCGGTCCCCGGTCCTCATGAGAATCTTCTTGAGCTGTGGATTCTGCCCGAACTTGGCGATATTCCCGGCCTCCACCACAGCGCTCTTGACTTCATCCCAACTTTCGTTCGTGAATCCGACTGTTTCTTTGCCCAGCGCCTTTTGAACTTTTGGATCCTTCTCGTAAAGTATGCGCGTTTGACGGGCGACGTCGCCAAAGCGGGCTGCTTTGCAGTACATCATGTACTGCTCGGCGCAGTTGAACGTGATGCTGCCGAAAGGATCGTCCTCGTCGACTGCTCGTCCGACCAGCTGAGACATTTGCGGCTTCGAGACCGTGAATGTTGCCGGATACCATTGGCAGAATTGGCAGTACTTGAACTTTTCCTGGGGCATAAAGAAGAAAACTGGCATGTCCTCGTCCGAGCCCGAGGGGAGCGAAGGAGGCTTGGAGCGGCCGGGCTTGTTCTGGTGATTGGCCTTTTTGGGCTTCTTGGTTTTGTTTGGTGACATTCTGATGATGTGATTGTGACTTTAAAGTGTTGATTTTGGTGGCTGGGTGAGCAGGAGGATGTTTGAAATGACTGGTGATAAAGCTAAGACGTTATTTGCAAGTCAGTCGTTCTTGCCTCTTCTGTCAGAATCTTCTGTTGAAGAAGCACCTCAGTCTTATGTTCGGGGTGAAATTTTCGGAGAAAGGCCTTTTTTACCTTGATGGGCTTGGATTGACTCCCGGCCGGTGAGAACTTTGCTGTTGCTTTATTTCGTCGGATCTTGAGATGACAGAAAACATTCTGGCCAAAGTCACCAATCAGCGTCTTAGCCTGAAGAGTCAATTCACTGGCTGGTAAAGGCTGATATTGTATCAAATTGTCAAATATGTTTGTACGTTCCGCTGGAAGCGGTACAGAGTAGATGAGATGTATTTAATACCTAATCTTCTGCTTGGTCAAAAGGGTGCGCAAAGATTGTCAAGTTTCTGCACCAGAAGACATACACGAGAACCATTTCTTCAGCCTAAGTTTTGAGAAATCATTGTAACGAACGTTTTCTCTGTTCATATATTTGACGGCTGTCTCGGTAAACTTTCTTTTTATGATGAAATAACAGCCATTCATGATGTTCGAACCTGCGGACCTAACATCTTCGCCCTCATTGCCGTTGGCTTCCCTGAAGAGAGAGCAAACGGACTTTGGGTAGCTTGAGTAGAATGGGGTTACGATCTATCAGATCGGCGGTGCCCCAAATTGGCCTTTTACGATTTATTTACGGATGGCCTTGACTCAGACACAAGAGAGCCGGCTACAACGAGCGATGAAGACTGGCGCGCATCTCTTGACAAATACGGTATTGGGTACGAAGCACAAGAGGCAATCATGGACCCAGAATTCAAATACCACTGATTATCGTGATCCCTTCGGCTCTGGATAAAAGACACTATCGACATCCGTGATACTTAGCTTCAAAGAAGACAAGAGAAGCTCGAGTCCTCGGAGACGCCAGCGATACTAGCGACATCACGTCACAAAAAAGCAACGCCCCACGTCCTCGATGGTCTAGAGAGGTCGGAGCGGCCGAAGTCCGACTAACAGTAGGAAGGACCTTTGCGGGTTTTGGATAGCAATTTTGATCACCTGGATTATGGCTCATTAGCCGAGTTCCGTGTTCAACAAGATGATGTCGGCAGCCAAGGTAACGGAAGACTGCGTGTACGTGTTTGAAGGGTCCAATGGGTTGAGAAAAACCCGCTGTTCGAATCACGTTCGCTGCTGGTGAGGGAGAAAGATATTTGAAACAAGCCGAAAAGTTTCAAGATCGAGAAAACGCCTATGACTGTGTGAAGGCTGTGCAAGAACACCTAGCTATGGGACGTCATCTTGGCAAGACTGGCAGGGGCTACTTAGAACCCAAGTAGCGCTTTCGGAACAGCAACGCCATGCAATCTCGAGAGACGAATTCAGCTTGCACGTCGTTTCAATCATAACCTCTCTTTTCTCTCGATGAGGTGAAATGACGTTCCGTACCATGAGGGAAAGTTGAGAAAATCAAATGACATCTTAGAATCATGTCGTGTCTTGTGTTGGAAGAGGGAGCTTGTACACGCCTTTTGACGATCTTTTCTCTGTACGAATGCCTAGATCTCAGCATGGCAGCGTCAGCCCATATAACAGCCATTAGCTGCTGAAGTTCGTGAACGTGTCTTCAGCTGTGAGCTTGGCAAGTACGTGGCTTAGCAGATAGTTCAGGGAGATTGAGGTCTATTTAATGAACTTTTTGGCTGTGCGCCGCACGCTCTGTTGTGCGCGAGTCAGCCCTATGGAGTTGTTAATGACTCGCATTGCAGTACCCCCTGAGGATATCTTGTCCCGGAGGGCGAGCCGGTCAACTCGGCTTTCTCGGCAGCCTTTCTCAAGCTGGGAATCCCATGTCGTCACCACTGTAAGACACAGATCTGGCCGAATAAGCGTAAAATCTTACAAAATTGGACGAACCTGACCCCGCACCCTGTGCAGTCGGCAGCTCCCGAAATTGGCTGGTACGTTGTGAACCGCAGCTGCCATCACGGAGCATTGTGGCATGATCTGCATGAATCCGGTCTAATTGGGGCTTTGGGGTCCAACGGGGAAGCGTTGTCACCATGGTGTCCATATGCTTCCAACCACGAGACGCACGGGACGAGACATATCCGCATCCGATAACGAGAGAACAGGAGCGAAAGAGACTCAAAGATGTGAGCCAAGATAGAAGAGTATATCGAATCTTACTAGTCTTCACGGTTTACCTGCGTCTGACTCAAAAATAGTGGTTCATATTGGTCGGGCGGGAGCCGCAAGAGCTGAAACATGCAGGAACTGGAGACACATTCTTGGCCGCCCAAGCCTTGCTAATATGTATGTTGGAGCATTCGCCAATAGTTCGCAGAGAGAGGTTAAGATGGGTCGCTTGGGTTCCTGATTTGTAGGTCAATGCAACTTGGAGCCTCCTTTTACGGAAGACATCAGGGTTTCATCCTGGCTTGCGCGTGGGGTATAGCCTAACACCAACACGATGGCTTTTGACATGTCAGATCCTCTGCATGATTCTTCAGGCCGAACTTCTGGAGTCAAGTTTAATGAGCATCTTGGCGATAGCTGGCAGACTTGGTTAACATAGGCGTTCCGAACGGACATATAAGGGAGGGTTTCTGGAAAGGAATACGCATTCAGAAGCATTCTCGCCAGCGACTTCTTCTCTATTTCACTTGCACACCTTAGCCTTACTCTCCCGTCGACGGTGTATGGTTATCCTCCTGATTAGACACAACTCTATAGATCACCACCACATCAACTTCGGTCCTATTTCTACACCATTGGCCTCCAAAACACATCATGAAGGTCATTAGCAACGTTGTCTTGGCCACTCTGGCGGCACAAGCCGCGGCCTTGGTCCAGATTGAGGTGCGCTACAGCGATCGTATGGTGGACGTCGGCAACCTCGACCTCTTCGCCGCGACATGGCAAGCCATCTACGGAGAAACCGGCAACACCCGTGCCATCATGACGGACAGATCCTTCGGTTCTCAAACAAACACATGCACCTGGGCTGAGGACTACGACCCCGACCTCACTGTGCAGGTCAAGATGAACGGAGCTTGGGGCCAGACCCCTGGTCTTTCCGTCAACCAGATGCGTGACGGTTTGGTGCAGTCCATGTGGGAGGTCCTCCGTCACGTCTCGGACCCCTACGGCTACGAGGTCTTCAACGGCTGCCGTGGCCTAACCTGGATGGAGAGCGTCGGATACCATGAAGGTGCTGCTTGCGGACCCAAGAGCGCGCGCAACTGCGAGTATGCGTGCCGCAACGAGAACTCGCCCGGTTTGGCTCAGTGCGAGAACCAGACCTGGGGCCACAAGGTCCCCTCGACCATGCGCGTCACGGCTTACATCGACGGCCGTCTCCAGCCTGATGACCTCATCATCGAGTTTGGCGCGACCAAGAACCAAGAGGCTGGTGGCTGTGGTCTCGTTGGAGAGGTGGCTGGCTTCCTCGCCGGTTTCATTCCTGTTGGGGGCGACCTCTTCGCCAAGGGTATCGAGATTGGCTGCGCTGAGTAAAGACGAGCCTCTTTCAGACATCGACCGGTTTCCAATGAGAGAAGATGGGCGTAAGGCAGACACAAAGGGTCTCACGGTTCAGGATGGTGGCCACGGCCACAGCCGTGAATAGCGACTGGAGAAGCTACTCGAACATCTAAGATTTCACATCTTGCCATTGTACATACTTTACTTCATGTTGTATATCTTCGAATCCATCAATTGTACATAAAACTAGAATAATGCTCGGAACACCACGGAAAACTTCCAAGTGCAAGTTTTGAATACTCGCGTGAAGTGATTTCCTCCCGCATGTGTGTTAATTATTAAAGACGTTTACTAGTCGAGACATACGTACAGATTAACGTGTCGTTGAATTATTTTGCGTAGTCTTTTATGGAAAGTAAGCTAAAGCCTAAGCAGACGCATTCAGCATCTGTCTTACTCAGTAAAATACCAAGGTGTCATTGCCTACATCACGTTACCAGCGGGGAGATTGTAAGTTTGGGCTATACCAGACTCATCGGAGCTTTACAAGCGCTAACCGAAGTCAAAGGCATATTTATTATAAGTGCAGTCTCATTATCTAATGTCGACTGAAGATAGTTATTAATAACAAGTTATTTACATTTATATTAAATGCTAAATTAGATGCCTTTGAGACAACCTTCGGCTCGTAAAGCAGTTTGTTCCTCCCAGAAGCCATTTAAATTAATGGAATTTCAATCATTCATCATATTAAATAACAAAAGCTCATCTTATGTAATACCTAGTGAAGCAGCGTCTTGTTGGTGTTGTCCTACTCCAATTGGCCATGCCCAAATTTTAATTACTTAACGTGGGATCGTCTATTCACGCACCTGATGTACTATTTTGTAGTCAGACTTGTGCGTTACTAAAGCGTCTCGTTGAGTTAGATCCGCTTATGCTTTCAATAGTTTGGGCGTTTATAGAAATTAAGGCGTATTATATAAACGGCTGCATTCTTTATGTGCCTCCAGAGTCTATACATCCGTCAAGTCAATAGAGAAACAAAACCTTAATGTCTTGAAAACCCGCCTAGAAACATTGTTACCTAATGATGTATGTTTAAGGTAACTGCTTGGTTTCAAGTCAGTGTCTTGCTGGAGAAGATCTTTTCTGGTGTAGCCTGGCTGGCGCTCTTAAGGCAGAAGTACACGGAGATACGGGCTCTGTTGAGGCAAGAACGATACTCTGGGTGGTCTTCAGGTTGGTCGAGTGAAGAAAACGTTGATAAAAATCTTTGATAAGACACTTCTAAGAATATTCGCCTGAAAGGACTGGTAATTGAACGAGTACTATTATAGTCTGTAGGGTTCCATTGCTATAATTCCCATAGTTATTATGGTGACTTTATTGAAAGTATGCTGTACTCTGACGGCAAGGTCTACAGGGAAAATAAGTAATGGATCGAGATTAGCGGCATCTTTTGTAGAATAGTGTACAATCTTTGATATCTAGTTTCAGTTATAATCCTATATAAGCTGGATTTCGTCTTGTATGTGCGCTCAACTGTCTCCATTTCATCTTGCTCCATCTATCATAGGAAATGAGGTGAGGCATTATAGAATAAGTTGAGACTCAAGACACAAGCTTCAATAACCCATCTAGACTGATAAGTCACTCTGCTATATTAATGCGATTGAGATATGCCTTGAAAGATTCCAAGTGATAAGCTCCTAGGTAATCAGTATGCCATTCTCGTGAGGGTTTAGACATGCACGCAATAACAATCTCGACATCTCATGATGCAAGACGTAATGATAGCTCTTAAACAAAGCAAAACGCTTAAATATAGTTCGTTAGACGGTACAGAACATAGGATTCACTCACAGCTCATGTGATTAGATAAGTACTTCCTCCGAGTGAGATGCCCTGGACCTATGTCGTCACGTATGTAAGCTTCACACCCTCCCTCCGTCCACGAAGATTTGACCTAGTCACTGGCTTCAAGTGATCATAAAAGTACATAGATAAGTTGCAATCAATACTTTTCATTCTTCTGATTGACTAAACAATAGGGTATTCTAGAAGTGTATTATTTCGTCTGATTCGTAAACTCATCCCACACAATGTCAGCGTCTAAACACTATTTCGACGCGTCCATCCAAACAAATCTCCCTTTATCCTATGTCGCACGTGTTGATTGAATCCATATGTAATAGCGTTCGCAAGACCAATGTACTGGCTTGAGCTTTGCAGGGCTGCCAGGACGCGGCTCTGAGAGTTGTTGCCGGAAGCTTCCATGAGGCGATTGACAAGACCGGGAATCCAAAGCAACACGTACATAACAGGGTACGCGTTGAGAAGCATCATGCGCTTGATCTCGCGCTCGACCTTTCTTGTCTGCTTGCGGATTGGAAAATCGCTCATCATCGTCGCCGTCACGTTCTGGGCAGGTTGTTTGGTGTTGACGTTGCTAACGCTCGGATTCGGTGGGAAATCTCTGGAGAGATCTCGAGAAGGCGGTAGGTTCCATGACAGAGTTGAGCTTCTGCTCCTGGAACCCTTTCGATGAGAGGAGATCATGTCCGCCATGCCGTGGCGGGAGAACCGTGCCTTTGATGGCGGTTGCATGTCGCGGTGGAGGTATGATGGGCCGCCGCCTGCGCTCCGTTGAAGCTTCTCCTCCTGCTCCAGGTATGAAAATCTGGCTTCGGATGCCTGGCTCATGTCCATATCCTGGTCGTCAAATCGGGAAATCCGTGCCGACATTTTTCGCCTCGTGTCAGCTTCTTCAATGAAGTGGGATGTTCTCGCCGGCTTTTTAACGGGCTCTTCGTCATCGTCGTCGGAGCTGGACCTTCTAGCTCGGCCGGCTCCGGCGTTGACTCGTTGTGACCACTCCTTCTGCTCGTCGTCCATGTTGGGTGAGGATTTGAAAGAATCGTTGAATGTTGCTTTCGGTCGCTCAAATTGATCCATCTCCAGTTCCGGCGTCCCAATGATCTCGAATCCTTGCTTCTTGCGAATCGAGGAGGTCACACCGTTGCCACCGCTAGAACTTGAGTTCCCTGTGTCGTAGAGAGGATCCGACGTGCTGACCATTGAGCGGAAATGGCGACCAAGATACCACCATACGTAGAGGTAAATGAGAATCGTAGTGAAGATAATAGCAAATCGCCATCCGTGTGTAAGAGCGTATCGGAGATCGGGTCGGTTTCGGGATATCCAGCACCAGTTACCACTGACGGGTTCCATTTGGCCCATGGCCGTGGCCGTGGCACTGGTAACAATCGGGACAATCCATACGGAAAGGCAGATGATGACCTTTCTGAACGTCGAAGCGTTGGGCATATAGGTTTTCCGTGTAATCGTAAGGAAAGTAACGACGGCGATGGCGAGGATAGAGAAGTCGGAGGCTTGGACTGATAACTGTCCAATCATGCCATTTAGTACGCAGGCCGGGCCGGGCTTCAGGTCTTTGTCTTTAATGTAAATGATGCCTGAAATGGTATTGTCAAGAGAGTTGATGAACTCTTTCGGACGGTCTCGAGTCAGCTACATCTTCCCTAATAGGAATTCACCGCAGACGATCGAGACTCACCGGCCAATGTCAGGTTGAGAACGAGGGCGTGTCGAAAGGAACGTTGTTGATCATGGTAGAAAATGAAGGAAATTAAGACACCGGTGGTTGCGAGAAAGGAAAGAATGCTACCCGTGAGGGTAACTGATGCGACTGCCGCATCGAAGGCCATCGTGAACCCGCACGCCAAAGATGTTGGTTGGCATCCACGCGAGAACCTCGCGTTGGATGTGGAAATGGGTATCGTCTTGTACAAAAGCCAGTGCGCAGTTCTCCCAGGTCCGCGGACCGGGCGATATTGGTTATCCGTTACATTGATGGAGTCACGGGTCAGCGGTGCGAGTCATGATGTCGTTGAGACGTGGGTCTCCCTCCCCTGAACTTTCTATTTATTGAGTGATTGGCGTCCGTGATGCCATCTGAACTTGGGCACCTTTAGACCCGGGCCTAAAATGCCTGTCTGTTGCTCAATTTGCGCTTTACAATGGATTGAAGATTTCTCCAACGACAGTGCATGGCGTGTTTGCCAGGTAAACGATGTAAGGCCACCACATTGAGGCAAGAAGTGAGGCTGGTGATACGCCTCGAAGAGTTCCAGAGCTGCCACTCTGATGTTGCAAGGGTCAAGGAACTGAGAGTCGCACATGAATTAAGACAAGGTCCCCCTTAATCAACACTTGGCGTTTTGGAGTGTAGCACTCACTGAGAAGACCCGCTGCATAACCCAGAAACTGTTAGCTGTTGCTCAAAATCGTTAGGCGAAGGCGCAGTTCCACGTGGTTTCATGTGTCAGAACGCCTCCCATCCTCCGATCTAACCGTAAGTTGCCTCTTTTGCCATGTTGAACCGTCATCCGAAGTGCGTGGCGCGTCTGTCGCCAACTTACCAGCCTTTCGGGGTCTCGCTTCAGACAGGAACCCCTCACTCATCATCTCTAGGCTCTGCTTTACTCTCGACTTCTGACGAGGTCTGGATTCATACTGGTGTAAGAGCGGCCCGTAGGAAGCAAAGAATTCGTGCAGCCCAGTATGCTGGCTATAACAGCACTTATTATCAACCTCGTTCTCGCTTTGCTTGGCGGTGAAAATCTTTTAAGGATCTGCTCAATTGCAGTTCAGCTCATATGAAGCCACCAAATGCAACCGGTTTTGTCGTAGAATTGCCTGTCTCGGCACCAAATGATCCCGCGAACAGCCTTGTTCGGAGTGGATGACAATATCAGAGTTTACAGCAGTGGAACTAGCAAAACCATGGCAACGTCCTTACCCCTGAAAATACATTAGGGACCCTTGCTCGCTTAGCGCACCGGAAGTGATGAACAAGGAGAAACCTTTGAGCTCCCGATCAACTTGCTGAAGGAATCAAGAGGACGAACAGGATGGCGGAGTCGGGGTTAAGAGTCCCTCTGCCCAGCTCAGCCCTGTCACGCAATCGATGGGCCGAATCCCAGGTGCTTCAGTCGCCAACATCCAGAGAACCTGCCGCTCCCCTGTTGATGGGCGTCAAGTCTGGCCAATGTTATCAACTCCGCAAAGTCTCAGTGCCCACAAGCCGGTTGTCGTTCCTTGGTGAAAGACCCTGGTCCCCGGTCGTGCGTCTGACAATTTTTCGTCTCCTTCGTTCACTCTCCGCATTGAGGACTGAAACCTTCGGATAGTACGCAGTAGGCGGAAGTGTCCGTCTCCTGGAAGCATTTCGCCACACTCGCACGCGCAACCTAGAACACCGCGGATATTTCATCTATGGCAATAACGGAGGGTTCTATTTTAGGCTGGATCCGACTGAACCGCGCGGGAGTCGGAGGAAGAGCAAGCCCGCGTAGCCGAGCTCCTGCTCAACCATCCAATTTGCCAGACGCGCCAAAGGGAGGGTTACAGCAATTTAGTTAGCGTGTTGCTAAAAGAATTGCTTTCGGTGGACGTGTTATCAGTCATCGACATGCCAAGAAGAGAGTGAGTCGAAATTGTGCCGAGACCGACATGGCACTCAAACAGCACGCTGTCACTCAGCGAATGATCGCATGTCGGGTTGCTAGCTCCCCAGACGTGAGGTGCCCATCGCTGACTGAAAGCAGAATGTTGTTTGGCCCCGTTCTCTCCATTCTCGCGGTACTGGGCTGCGTTTAAAGTTGGATGAATTCAATTAATTCCCGATTTCCAAGCGTGTCTCCGCTCTGCAGAGGGGCGAGGCGTGTTGAATGTGAAAGCACAGAGCACATCGAAGGTCCCGCGAGGATTGTGCTGCGATGTGCAGGACATGACATGAGTCGCGTAAGTGTGTGATGTTCAGCCTCGACGCCCCGAAACAACGGGTTCACCCTGATATTGCTACCTACTACATATAATAGTCCGCACGAATAAGTTTTCGTTTGGAAAAGTTGCCGGCCTGGAGTCTGGAACAAGCCCCCAGCCTGGACGTCTGCAAGATCTGCATCCAGAAGAACATGACGATTTTCTTCAAATAAGGCTCGTGCTTGCCTTTCTAAGGCACCCGACGTGGCAGTGCGGGATTGCTGAGCCCCAATATCGAGACGACGTCGCGTTACTTCTTAAATGTTGATGTGAATCATTAGCAGCTCAAGCGCTACATTGGGATCTAAGGCTTGAGCCCAATTCCGAAGCGCAGAGTCAGATACTGGCCTACCCATCGTGAGGTTTCGAATTATGGTGACATATGATCATGCATGTATTCATAGCTGTACTTTGGAACACGTCGCGACTCCCCTCAGGCCTTTTTGACAATACACTTGCTTATGAACTATCGTAAGTCAGAGACTTACTCACTGCACATTGAAGCTAACAGCAAAATTGGTTCCAATTGTATCTGAGGCTCGCGTGCAGTTTGAGCTGGCAGTGTAGCTTCGGAGAGACACAGCTCACACAAAGCATCAAGATAAATTTAAACTGGTCTTGATTCTAAATCGTTATCTTGGCCCTTCTATCATTTTAGATTTTCGAATTTTAAGACCGGATCGCGAGACGGAGTTCATTACCGCTCTGGACTTTACTCCAATTTTGGGATCTTCACAGTGTTGTGTAAGATAAGGTGAAGTGCGGAGATGCCTACTCAGTGTGCGGACTTGTCAACATCCAGCGTTGAGGTTGAGAATATTAAGAAACCCTTGATCAGGTATAATGGCGTGTGTTTGGTGTCAAGTCAGTATCACGTGTATGTGAGTGGGACAGCTGAAAACATGAAGCCCGTGAGTCCTGTGCTTGAGTCTGACATTGAACTGAGACAACTGCTGGGTCAACACTTCAATGCCTGTGGGCACCATGCAGGTAGTTGTCCCAAGAAAACCGTTCTTCTGCTAAGTCGGATTGAAAAGATTGAACTAACACAACACCGACATAGGAGAGTCCCTACTTCCGCACATTGCTCGTCTCCCGTAACAATCTTGAGACATGAGGCTATCGATATCGATCAGGCAAAAGAAGAAATTCAACATCATCGCTTAGATATGTCTACTCAGTCCGCATCAACAATCTAGTTTCAAAACCCATTTCCCTTGCAGCTGTAGATGAGTTAGCTTCGTCTTGTAGTAGGGGAATAGTCTAGATCTCTTACCTTCCCTGCGTGCATCGTTTGGACTAGACTTTGTATGTCGTCGAGCTTAGCGGATTGAATCTTGGGAATCACTGCCCGACGCTTGACAAACTCCAACGCCTCTAGGATATCGGCTCTAGTTCCAACTGAAGAGCTCAAAATCTTCCATCCCTTCGCAATAAGCCAAAGAGGGTGGAAATTGACTCGAGCTTCATGCCCCAAGACGGCAACACACATCAGCGTTCCAAACGGAGCGAGCACCTCGAAAGCTTGCTGATACGCAACCGTCGCCGTTGCCGCAACTACGACGGCCTTCGCGCCTTTGCCATCCGTCACCTTCATCACCTTCTCCGCCAAGCTCCCCGGAGTAGTAACATCAACGTAGTGCTCTGCACCCTGTGCCTTGCAAATCTCGGCCTTCTCCTGACCAGCATCGATAGCAATGACCCGATAGCCCATGGCGCGAGCATACGCCACGGCCAGAGCCCCGACACCACCTCCTGCTCCCGAGACGGCAAAGTACTGCCCTGGAGTGACATTGCACCCTTTGACAGCTTTGTATGCTGTGACGCCGGCACATAGAATTGGGGCAACTTCTTCGTCGGGAAGATCATCGAAGTGCGCTGGCAGTCTGGCCAGGTAATGAAGAGGAACAATTGTATACTGGGCGAACGTTCCGTCATAGGTCTTTGCCGAGTGAAGAGCCTTCTCACAGCGAGTTTCGCCTTCGTTGATGAGGTCCGTGCAAGCGTCACAAACGCCGCAGATGTCGCGAGTCCATGCTACACCGACTCTCTGGCCAACTTCTACCGTTGAGTCCAGAGCAGAAATATTGGATCCAAGAGCGGCAATGTGACCAACGCCCTCATGGCCCAGGATGTTGCCAACGGGCCCAAAGTGACCAAGAGCCAGGGCCAAATCAGAGCCACAAAGGCCACTTGCGCTCAACTTCACAAGGATTTCATTCGGGCCAGGAACCGGGCGAGGCTCATCGCGTACTTCAAAAGTAGGCGTGGCGTCAGGTGTTTGTGACGACTGCACTCTGTCAGTTCCACTGAATCTATGCCATTCAATGTGTCACTGCTTATGGGATGACAGACTGTTAAGACAGCGACTTTGTGGGTTTCCATGATGGCGGGACCGTTGCGACAGTGGTGCAGAACGAAAAGATGAAGCTCCAAATTTTGTCCAGCGAGAAAAACCCCGTCTTTAAAGCTCAGCCCAGAGTTCTCGGGGTCTATGATGTAGTTCCTCGCCGCCCCGCCAATCCCAAGCGGGGGAAGTTCAGATCATTCGGATACGTATATCCGCGCGCCACGAATGCCCGAGCGACCGAGGTGATGGAGCGGCAAAGTCTCCAGCTTCGGCATTTCACAGCATTTGAATTGTACGACAAGCGACTTTTCATGGTACACAGTCGCATGTGGAAGGGTTGCTTCTCGGCTGCGAGAAGCCAGCTAAGTTGTTTGCTTGCATTTGATCCCGGATACGAATGTCTAAATGTCAAGACACACAGGGTTTGTAGGAAGCAAATACGCCAAGGTCAGGTTTCTGCGCTGTGACATGCAACATGAATATGGCAACTGCATGTCATCATCTAATACCTTAGCTGTGATAGTTCATAGCTACTCCCGGGGTTCCTTGCTCATACATGCACGTGCATAATCTCTGCAGCATTAGGAGTTCTTCATGGGCATGCATTGACGAATCGGATTCAATTGACAATAGATGAACTAAGACATCTTTAATTAATTCCAGGATGAATTGACGCGTTATCCAAGTTGTGGGCAAGAACTCAGTATCGGTTACCACAAATGTCTTGATAATGATTTAGACGAACTGCAACATGTTACAGTCCCGCTGCTCTTTCAGCAGGCGAACGCCAACCCGACCTGGTCCGATTTGTAGGCATCGATAATACTCTGGATAGTGGTGTAGGTCCCGATGACAGTCATGAAAGATCCAAGAATCACAGTAAAACAATGAAGAACGCAAAGAGTCATCTTGATCCTACTGTCATGGCGAGTCTTCCAGTCCATGTAGAGACCCATGAATGCAGGAATGACCAGCTGCGGCAGGAAGAAAGTAAAGATCAGCTCTCCTCTAGTTTCATTTCATTTGAGCGGAAAGTCAACTCACACAAGTCGGCATACAGCATATGGAACCGATGAGGCCGACTAGATAGCTAAAGAATGGCACGGCCTCGGCGATGATGAACGCGACAGCACTGATCCCCAAGGTTGATCCCCTGTGAGTAAGATGTTAGTACAGCGACATCGTGATGTCTTGGAGGGGAACTTTTACTTACAGCCACGTCGCCCAGTGGATGATGCTCTTGTTTTGGAGGTGGGCGGAGTTGCGCAGGATCCGGACCAAAAGCTGTTGAGTATGAGTTGGGAGAACATCACGACTTCATGGGGACGCCCTCTTACAAATTTAGCCGCCAGATGTACCCACAAAGTGGAAGTCATGATGAAGCCAGGAATAGAGATGCCATAAGCAATCTTCTCCAAGGTTCCGCCCGCGCTTCCCAAGGATGGACTAGCAACGTATTGGCCACAGTAACTAGCAAAGCTTAGCTTGACGGCATGTAGGCCAAGAGGTTTACTCACACATAAACAACTGTACCAAAAGACACATAGCTTGCAGCTAAGAATATCTGTGACGAGAAAAGAGACTTCGTAAAAGACCTGGGACTCTTCATCTCAGCAATAACAGGCATGAAAGTCGGAGTAGACCCATATCCGACTTCACGTTGGTTGGTTTGTTAGCACATGAATTTTCAAACAGCGCGATGTGCGCAGGTTATGTGCTACGGGCCATACCAAAAAGGTTGATTGCGGCGACTACCCCTGGGACGAATTCGGGCATAGCGACGGCATAGACTTCCATATCGTAAGGTCCCTCCTGAGGGGCAGCTGCAGGTCTTTCAACTTGACTAACGCCGACACTATCTCGAAAGCATGGAAATTAGCATGCATCAACGTAATAGACAAGGCCGTACGCGGCAATCAGACTGGTCAATGCCGAGAGCCGCCGAACTGGAGACCAGAGCTCAAACCTACACAACAATGAAGACCGCCGTGAATATTGAGCCGAATCCAATCCAGGCCAAGATTGATAGTCTTCCCAGTGTCGGGATACTGGAGACAAGTGCCGTGCACACAGCTGCGATGAGAGTCCAAATAATGCTGCAAACCTTGAGGCTCGATAGAGTCTTGAATCCTTGAGCCAGACCAACAAAGCTTGATCCAGACGCCAAACTGAGAAGAAAGGTCATCAGCTGCTGCCCATAGCAGGCAGATCGCGCAAATGTGGGCAGGACTTACACCCATGTCAAAAGAAATAGACCACCAGAAATCTCTCGCGCAATGGGGCCACCCATGAGTCCAGCGGCGTCGGCAATGTTGTGAACGCCAGGGAACCTCATTCTGAAGGCATACATAACGTATGCATAGTCTGTAAGCCACGTCAAGAGTTAATCTCGGTCTGTGGCTTTGTTTCATGGTCAAACGAATGGATGGGAAACGTACATGTCGTTATGGTTCCCCAACTCACCAAGAGGATGATACCTGGTCCATACCCAACAGAGCTAAAGGCGGAGGGAATTGTCAAAACTCCAGTTGCGAAACACAGCTTCATCAGTATGATCGAAGTGCGAATCCTACAGCACGTTGTCATATTAGCACCAGGTAAAATGAAATTTGAACTCGTTTGACATACCAGCCAAGAGCTCGATACTCATCTTGCTGAAAGACTTCGCCTGCATTGCTGGAATCCAGGTAGTCCGTTTTGTTGCTGACATCAAGCTGGGATGACGCCTTTTCCGGGGAATTCGAAGTTGTTTTCTCAGACCGGCCATGAATCAGATCAGACCCGTGCGGACTAGACATGATGGGTGTAACTGAACAATTACTGGCTAAATGATGCTAAAAACAGTGAAGATGTCAGGGGATTGAAATTCAATCAAGTAAGGCTGAAAGTACCCAATGCTGAGCAATAGATGCAAGTAGAGGTCCGTTCCAAAACCGAGGTTGCCACGATGTTGACAAGACTTCGTGTGAAAACGCTGAATTTCAACGAAAGAATGTCACGGTTATCGGCCAGATATAGGGTCCGATCATCAATAGAAGTGCCTATCTCGGGACCAAGCTCTCGAAGTCATCACCTAGAAGTGCGGAGCATCCCGATAGTGTTCGAGTTCGAGGGTTGTGGTGGATACCGCTATCGCAATTCCCATGCATGTTCGCTCCATTACCCTGGTTCAATCCCGCGATATCAGATGTCGAAGCTGACTGGTTCGTTGAATCCCGCAAGGATGCCGGAGATAACACTTGTTGGTGAAAGGTGCAAGTGTGTTGGAGAAATACTACATAGATAAAGCCCGTGAGATCCATGATAGATAAAGACGGGAGGAGCCGCGCAGATCGCAGTCCCATGCAACTTGATGACATCACATTGATTCCTGCGGATAAGTAAGTATGCGTACTGCCATAATTGCTCTGTGTGAGCTCGAGCAGTTTACCCGATTCTGTGCTCGCAACTCTTAGTAACAAAAAAGATACGTGCATGAAATTCTTGTGTAGTAGTACAGGCGCTTAACTTTGCGACAAGTAATCCTGATACCAACCTGATCGCTTTTATTAGTGACTACCTACAACTTTGACTGTCGATTTGCTATACCCTTGTCCTCATAAGCTGCTCCTCCATCGGCCCCAATATCGCACATGAACTTCTCCATCTCCTTACTGATTAAATCCGGATTCTCCCTTGATGCTAGATGTGCAACACCCTTTGCAATAACAAATTTCGACGTCGGTATTGCATCCGCCATCTTCTTCACAATAGGGACGGGGAACTGTCGGTCTTCCTCTCCAGCAATGACGAGTACAGGGACATTCCGAATGCCGTTGAGAGTCCTGTGCATGTCCTTTCGTCCAAGTAGTATTGATCTGAGAGCCCACGCGATGGACTTGGGGTCCTCTTGAGATACCGATCCTATGAAGGCCATGAAATCCGGGTTGTTCTTCGTGGCCGTGTCTCCGGCAAAAGCTTGCTGCGCGATCGAAGTCCACCAGTCCGGCACCTCCGCATACATCATCAGTGCTTCAGCTCTAATGGTCATGGCGATGGTCTCAGGAGTCGTGGGGACCGAAGCTGTGCCGTTGACCACAATACTTCCGATGAGTCTGTCTGGAATCCAAGCCGGCAATACCGCGGCAAGCATTGCACCCCAACTGTTGCCGCCAAACACACATTTCTGAATACCAAGGGCATCGAGAATGCTGACAACGACATCTTTACAGTCGCGCAGGTCGATGTACCTTCGTAGGGCTTCGGACTTGTTGATGCCGGGACTGTCGATGAGAACGACTCGGTGAGTTTTCCGGAAGTACTCATATTGATAGCTCCACATCGAGCCTCTCAACATTAAACTTGGCCATAGCACCAGAGCAGGTCCAGTTGGGTTGCCTCCCACTGTGACATTGATGAAGCCAAGACTGGTATCGATGAGTTGCTCAGTCGCTCCTATCATTTCGGGGTTCCACAGGCTTTTCAATTGCTCTTCATTGTAGTTGGATACGAACTAAGATACCGGCCATGAGAAACTGCTATGAGTAGATGTACGTTTCAACTAGACAAAGATGACGCAAAAAGTACTTACAGGCTCTGGTCGGTTGATCAGGAAGTCTTGCGCAAACTGCGCCAGCAGAGACTGTAAGTCAAACGAAGGCACGGCCATGTTGACTTGTCGAGGATTGACGGATGGACTGAATGCAACAAGATTCTAAAGCCAATATGATCTGAAAAGTATGACCTGAAAAGTGTGTCTGTGAAGCCTTGGATTGTTGCTTGGGGCGGGACACGCCTTTACATAGAAGTTCCGCTCCAGGTCGATGTTGGTAAAACATGTAGCTAATGCTGTGATGTACCAGACGTTTTAAACTGCGACGCAACTGAGAAGACCAAACGTTGGACTAGATGCTTGGACGTTCTAATAAGCATCGGTAAAGTTGAGACGATATTCCGTAAGTAGAAAGTCTCGGGATTATCAACAGCGACCCTTTCTTTTTGCGACTTGCGTATCATGGCCCGTAAGCCGTTCGTCGGCGCCGAGCTTGGCAGCTTCGAACTGTGTGTGCAAAGCTTATGTTGCATGGTGTGAGACATTCATTATCTGACCACTATTCCACGCAGCACTGCTAAGCACTAGTGACTTAAGCTAACGTACCTTTACCCAAGCAAGTTCTGCTTAGTTCAGCCACTAGGTCAACCAGGCGCCTCTGTCGTCACCACGACCTCCGCTCGAAGCAATGACCCGGTGCCGAGGCGGCTCAGAGGGCCACTAGATGACGAGAAATCAGCAGCTTGAGCTTGAGATTTGAATCCTGGACTTAAAAGCTCCCTTCAATTACTGGAGTACGCACGTTTAAAATATGATTCTGGTCGCTTAGCTGATATTTGAAAGTTGACCAACTAATTTCCCACTATGACGCCTGTGTCCACCTTGCCCGCTCCCAGCATTTTTGCTACCTTCATTCGTGGGGGCACCAGCAAAGCACTATTCTTTCATGAGAAGGACTTGCCTCCTCCGGGGCGGACGCGAGATAATGTTCTTATTCGCGTCATGGGCTCTCCAGATCCTAGTCAAATCGACGGCATGGGCGGAGGACGCGTTGTCACATCCAAAGTCGCCATCATTCGGCCTTCCCAACGACCAGACGCTGATGTCGATTACACATTTGCGCAAGTTGGACTTGGCGAGTCGAAAGTTTCGTATGATGCCAACTGCGGAAATATCTCTTCAGGCGTCGGACCCTTTGCAATCAACGAGGGGCTACTGAAGAGCCAAACCTGGCGGGACGGCAAGAGAGTCGTCAGAATTTACAACACGGGGACCGACGCCTTGCTAGTTGCCCATGTTCAGATAGACGAGTTTACAGGAAGAGCACAGGAGAAAGGAGACTATGCCATCTCCGGCTGCCAAGGCACTGGTGCGCCCATCCTCATGGATTATTCCCAGGTTAGTTCGACGACAACCTCACATCGCGGACCAATTGTGAGGTACTAACAAATCTCCAGGCTGCTCTGCCTTCCAAGATGCTTCCAACCGATAATATCATCGATCATTATGACTGTACATTTGGTCAGGTTGAAGCCACCTTCTGCGAGGTTGGAAATCCAGTCGCGTTTGTCGCAGCAGAATGCCTCGGAGTTCTGGGAAGCGAAACGGTCGATTCTCTTGACAGCGACAAAGAGCTTATTGATCGTATACGCGAGGTGAGAGGACGTGTTTCTGAGAAATTGGGAAAATGCACCGACTGGAGCAAGGTCGATGAACAATCACCAATGTTGCCCATGATTGCGGTGGTGTCCAAGCCTACTTCGAAAGAAGGAAATATTCAGGCACGTCTCTTCCTTAACAACCACTGCCACCCGAGCATGGCAGGTACAGGCGGAGTGTGCACGGCAGCGGTTAGCCGTCTCGAAGGATCGGTGGTGAACCAACTATTGCCTAGAGACGCGTTGGAGTGTAAGGACTTGGTAATTCAGCATCCTACAGGACATCTACCGATCTCAGTCCAAACAAAAAACGATGGGGGGATGAAAGAATTCCCAAATTTTGAGGTTCTAGGTTTCATGAGGACAGCACGGTATCTATTCCAAGGCAATGTTTTTATTCCAGCTAACTTGTTGTGGGTTTAGCCGGCAGAATTGGGCAGCGTAAGTAGGCAGTATGAGGCCTAGCCTCTACCCCCACTATACTGCTACTATTGCGCGCATACCTACTAAGCTAGAACTTCCCTTTTATATACTTAATATATTATTACTAATAGAGCCCTATATTATATATATATAACCCCTTATAATATTAATACTAATTAATAGTTAACTTTATTATTATACTACTTAAACTATAAATTAATAAAGATTATTAAAAAGAGGTAATTTTTTATATTAACTATAGATCTTATAATCTATTAGTAAATAGAGCTATTATACTACTTAGAGGTATTATAATCTTATTTAGTTAATTACTATTAACTACTTAAGGGACTTTAGATCTATTTAAATAGCTATTATTATTTACCTAAAGATTATAACTACCTTTTATATTTATTATATATTAAATACTTTAAGTAAACTAATAGCTATTAATTAAGCTAAATAATAAAAAGATTTATAATAAATAAATCTCCTTTTTTATTATAAACTTTACTATAATATTACTACTTTTAATAATAACTATAAAAATATTATTATTAGCCCCTTTAAGCTTAAAATAAGTAAGGCTATTAATTTAGTCTTATTAGCTTTTAAATTAGCTTTAATATAATAAAGTAGTTATTATTTCTATTTCTATTTAAGTTATAAATATAAATAATAAAGTTTTATAATTTCTATATATTATAATAAGCTATTAATAATAATAACTATTTTCTCTTATTCTTTATTATTTTTAATATCTATCTATTTAGCCTAAATAATTAATAAAAAGTTATTACTTTTAATACTTAAAAAACTACTTTATTTATTATTACTATCTATATACTAAATAAGATATATAAATAAAGCTTAATTTAAGACTAAAACCTATTAAAAAGGCTTATTTAGATATATAATTATAAAGAATTTTTTATATATCTATTACTTAGTTAGCTTTTATATTAATTAATAATATTATTAATGTTATTACTCTCTCTCTTAGCTATATTAATATAAAATATAAAAATAACTATTATTACTCTCCTTAGAGATAACTAAATAAGCTAAAGGGGTAATAATTAAGTATTAATCTCCTATTTAAATACTTTTCTATCTTATAATTTAAAATAACTTTATTATAAATATTTAATATACTTTAAGACCTCTAAAAATAATAATAATACTATTTATAATATATTTTTCTTTTTATTATTACTTATTACTTTTACTTTTTATTTATTTAAAATAAATATCTAATAAATAAAAAGTATAAAAACTCTATTTAGATACTATATATAAAACTATATTACTCTAAATTATTATACTTTAAGTATAAATTATAAATTATATAGTAATAACTTTTAAAACTTATAGACTAAAACGCTTAATTTAGATATATTACTATAAAGATTCTATTTTTATTATTATTTAAAGTAGGCTTTTATAATAATAAATAGTTTAGAAACTATTATATTTCTACTTAGAGATCTATTATAGCTAGAATATAAAAGAAATAACTTCTTTTTATTATTTCTACTACTAAATAAATAAATAAAACTAACTCTATATCTATTTTTTACTTATTAAACCCTTTATTATACTTTATAATTTAAAGTAACTCTACTATAAATACTTAGTATACTATAGAGACTTTAAGAGACTATTTATAATAATACTATCTAAATACTTTATAATTAAAAAAGAAAAAACTAAATAGATAATAAATTACTATTATAATAGCTTTAGCTTATTTTCTCTACCCCTATAACTTAATAATAATATTAATAATAATTAAAATACTAATAGTATCTCTCTCTAAATCACCCTTATTAAAAACAGTATACTTAGAGAGAAAATAAATATAAATATCTATTTAGAGAGCTATAATTACTAACTATTAACTATTCTTTTATAGAGAAATAGAATAATAGCTAATATAAATAGTAATAGCTATAAATTATTTAATAAATAGATTTAACTTTAATATTATAGCTAAAGATATATTTATATTTATATTAGTAATAATCTTATTAAGAGGTTTTTAATAGATATTAATCTAATAGAGGTAGAATACCTTTTATATTACCTTTATAGTTATTTTAAATAAAATATAAGTAGTATTAAAACTTATAGCTTTACTAATAATATAAAGGATTTTATAGGTATTAATTTAAAAGATATTAATAATAATTATATAGTTAAAGTTTAAGTTATTTTTAAGCTTAAACTTAAACTATTAAAGTACTATTATATTTATTTAATAATATTTATAATACTTAATAAGCTTTTTAATCTCTATTATTATGATAGAATAACTAGCTTATTTAAAGATAATATAAAGTTATTAAATAAAGAGATAACTAAAGTGTTACAACCCGTTAGGCATAACCAACAAAGGACGCCCCACTAGGATACTAGGCAGTTATAATAACATATTTATATATAGGATCACGGGAACACATAAGGATCCCTTAGGAACGGAAGAACTATAGTATAGGTCACATAACAATAAGATAAGAGATTAGATCCATATAATCAAGATACAGCATCCATATTCCAGAAAGATGGAAGCCGTATGCCAAGGATACGGGAGCCGTACAGGGCATGTACAGCACCCAGCAATAGGACTACCCAGGACCTATATATAGGATAGACTTAAGTCCACTTAAGGACAAACTTCTATAGCTCTTTAGCAATTAACTTATAATTCTCACTTAAGACTCTTAGCTATACCTAAGTAATAATTACTCTATAACTCTTATTAAGGACTTAATTAATTACTAAGCCCTTTAAAGACCTATAATTACTTAACTTAACCTATAGAATAATAAATAACTATTACTATTATTATTACCTAACTTACTATTAATATAAAACCTACTATTAGTTAGCTAGCTATAATACTTTAATTACTCCTATTTAGTAAGTTACCCTTTAAAAACTATTAATAGTATTATAATATCTTTATAACTCTCTAGAAAGACCCCTAGCACTAGATCCTCCTCTAGCACTAAGAAGGCCCCTATTAAGAAGAACCTTACTTAAGAACTTAGGGATTAGAGAATAAAAGATAATAGTAATAATAATAATAATAATACGCTTAAGGAATAGCTTAAATAAGCTAACTATAATATCTAATAGATATAGGAAATATTTAATACTAATACCTATACTACTAAAGAACTTTAGACTACTATATACCTATCTAACTAGTATACTTAGGAACTTAAATAGTAGAACTATACTCTTTAAGCTACTATTAATATTATTATTACCCCTATTATAAAAGGATAAGAGAAGCTTTAACTTAACCCTCTTAATCCTTTTAATAGATCCCTAGGATAGCTTAAGGGATTCCTTATCTAAATTAAGAACTACTAGAATTTCTATTATAGTAACTTTAAGAATAAAACTAAAAAAGTTATCTATATATCTACCTTCCTTAAGGGATAAGCCCTCTAGTAGTTTAAACCCTTCCTTAAAGAGTACCTCAATAAGGAAATACTTAACTATTATTCTACTAAAGTTAGAGATATTTTTAGTAGCTTTTAGGGCTTTAAGTCCGCCCTAAAGTCTCTATTCTAAGACCTTAATAAGAAATAATAAGCTAAATAAGACTTACTTTACCTTAAATAGACTAAGTTAGCTAAAGACTATACTATAGAGTTCTAATAGATCTATATCTAGCTAGACTTAACTAATAAAGATAAGATCTTTATATTCTATAATAACCTTAAGGATAAAGTTAAGGATAAAATTATTAAGGTTAATAGACCTAAAGACTTCCTCTAGTATATTAAGCTTACTATTAAGATTAATAACTAACTATATAAGTAATATAAAGAGAAAAGTAAATAATAATAACCTACTAACTCTAGCTATAAGTACTAATAGTAGCCTAGATACTATAATAATAATTAATATAATAAATGCAATAGTACTACCTATAGATACTATAGTGGACCTATAGATCTTAGTGCAGCCTAGCATAATAATAATAATAAGGGTAATAGCTAGAAAAAGAATATTAAGTGCTATAACTATAATAAGAATAAATACCTTATAAAAGAATATAGAGTACCTAAAAAAGAATGCTTCTAGCTAGTACTTAAGAAAAGATAAATTAGTATTACTATTAAGGTAATCCCTTATAAATAATTTAGTTAAACTATCTACTTTAATAATAACTATAGAGTTTACTTAGACTCTAAGGAATATATAGGATAGTACCCTAAGAACCCTAATAGAATAGGATATAATACTACTAGAGTAAAGAATATTAGTAGACCCCTAAATTAATAAACTATCACTATAGGATATAGAAGCAATAGCAAACTTAAGCGTAAGGCTTAAGAACAACTTAATAGCCTCCTAGAATATAGGGCCCTTAAAGAAAACGGATAGTTTAAAACGTCTAAATATATTAGCCTTAAATAAGAACTAACCTATAACTTAGATAAGCCTCATAACGTTATATAATAACGTACTTAGATAGTAGCTATCTATAGGTATAAACCTAGTATTAATAATACTAGCTCTAAAGAGGACTCTAATAATAAAACCACTAGGGCTAA